CAATTAAAATTGTACAATCTCGTCTAGTACCATTGTTTGTGAGAGGTACCAACTATGATTGCACAATTCTGTCCAGTGTCATTGTTTGTGTTTAGTCAGTGAATCGTTATGATGAACGATTCAGTATGAGACGATAAATTCAAGATGGCTGATGGCGACAACATATGCTTCAAAGAAATATCAAAACTTTGTTCACTTTGATTCATCTGCAATACTTTTTTTAGAAATCTAGCGGTATCATTAGAATATCCTTGTCGGATCTTGTATTGATGAAATGTTATAACCTATAGCACTCAAGCGTCGTCTTTTCAAGACTGTCATATTCTCAAAAATCTGTCTCCTAATAAGTGCATTAATAGAGCTTGGAAATCTTGCGCTACGACTAAGACTTTCGGTCAACGATCAATCTCAGTGTTCCAACTTTTACTCCATGTGAGCCCTTGTGGCAAGCAACAAGCTAGACAAGACTTCTCATATGACTGGTTAGTTTCTTCCCCCACCACAAGGTGCCCATTCTTCGAAAGGTCAAATCTATTCTTACTATTGTTGAAAAAATTAGTAAGGAAATGAGAATGAATTAGCCATACTCAATGGATTCCCTTACCAACAAGGGTTGTCCTTACCAAGATTGAAATTTCCATCACGTGTACATGTTCAAATGGCCAAAGATGAAGAGTAAAATTAGCCGAATATTAGCACAATAATATCCGCTAGATGGTGCATATTCTTCAAAAGATCAAACCTATACTTACTACAGTTTGAAGAAATTTAGTACTTTATAAGATTCATATGATAAACATTACAATTCAATGCTGATCAATGCAAATTTCAATTAGAATCACATTTTAGAAAGATATTTGAGTAAGTTCATAAGATGTTGGATGTAGATGTTCAAAGCATGTTCATGATATGAGTTAGAATTAAGTCAAAATATGTATATTCACTGTACATGCTTGAACAATTTTCCATGGCACATCTTAAAAAAGTGTGAACTTTTTTGAAAGCATAAATTTTAATATTTTGCACAATTTTCTATGCTTGATATTATTGAAAAATTAAATATTTGGTCAATTCGCTTTGAAAAGATAAAGGTCAAGCTTATGTATATAATGATGAACAATGATCTGAGATTACTCTAGCTATGAGCAAGAAAATATGGACTGATCAAAACTAGATAAATCATGATGATTAGTTGTAAAATAGAATAGCAAATACATCAAGAGTATATGTGATCATAATTTTCTGTTTGATAGTTTGTTTGACAATGTGAACCCTTGTAATGTTACATTGATGTTGACTTTGAAGAAACAATCAACTAAAACTTTGAACCAACAATATACTAAATTGCATAAATGTTTACATTTGGAGATGAAAAATAAACCATATGATATGAAACCTCATCATATATTTCAGTTTACTTGCATAACCAAAATCCATTTATATCCCATGTCAAATATTATATATGAAAACCTCAACTTCAAAAAACATGGCTGTTTTATTCATGTCCAAAATAAACTGATGAAATTACAACATAATTTCATTAGGAAAAAAAGAACTATCCTTTTTTAATTAGTTTAAATCTCTGATAAACTTGGATCATACTCAAATTAAACCAACCAACTAATGGTTTTATTGGAGGAAAGTGATTGAGATTTGGCTGGAAAATCTAAAATGAATCTTTTTTATACCACTTTTGATCAACAATAGTATTTAAAATTTTAAATCACCAAGAAATGAGAGTAAATTACTTGATGGGATTCCAAGGAAACGCAACAAACTTGATGAGACCCAATCAGTTTCATTTTATGGGATGGACCCATTGACGGACCATAGTCAGCTATGTTCCGATATATTATGAGGTTTATTTCGAATGCTCTCGGCATTTTTTTGGATCCTATGGCAAGATCCTATCCGGAGTACTTCATCATCATGGTGCCAATCGCTTTATGAGACAATGTGGGAACGAGTCGCCAAAAACCTATCACGGGAGAAAGCATTTTGGACCCATAGTGGCAAACTTCCACACTATATGGTAAATTATTAAAACATTTTATAAGAATGGCAGTAGAGTGGGGTCCATTGGGTAAAATGAAACCTTAATTGGGTCCCATTAAGTATTTTGAGAGAACAGCCTGAGCAAGCCTCTTCTTCTCATTATTGGTCACTATCGGAACTATATCATCCCCTCAGCAGTTTCTTCCTTTGGATTTACAGCGTATATCAGAATACACTATGGTAAAACGATAATCACTTAATGTCGGCCATTGTTATGGTTCGGTCATGGCCACGGTAGCCAAATCAAAGGCAGTCAGAGGTATCTCTGAGTTTGTGAACACCATTATTATCCGGGAAAAAGATTTCAGAAGGAATTGAAGAGGTTTCAGCGAGGTTCGAACTCGCGGCCTTCTGCGTGTAAAGCAGACGTGATAACCACTACACCATGAAACCGATGGAGAAAATGTGATGTCAAATTGTTTTCATCTTTGATCACAAATTTTAACATAATTATGTAGTGGTCTACATGTGTTCACTGCAAATTAGTGAGGAATTAATTCTGGTGAACACTCGGAATATTAGCGCTATTTTGTGAGAAGAAATAAAACTCATTGTATGTCTTCGTCCTGGCAGCAATCAGACGCAAGTAGTAGAATGAACAATTCATTAGCAGCACTGGGAGGAATCATGACGGTGGAACGAAAGATATGTTTCACAGATCTGACGGGCGTTCTCGAGACTTGGAAAAGACGGGAGACCACGCGAGAGGCCAGCCTGAAGCAAACCTCTTCTTCTCATTATTGTTCACTCTCGGAACTCTATCATCCCCTCAAGCAGTTTCTGCCTTTGGATTTACAGTGTATATCACATGGCCGCCCGGTAAAACGAAAAACGCTCAATGTCGGACATTATTATTGTTCCGGTCAAGTTGAGGGAGTTACATTGGGTAAAATGAAATCAATTGGGTCCGAGTGTCACTTCAAGTAATCATCTCAAGAAATGATGTTATTCTATCCAATTTTTATGGCAGTAAGAGATTACAGTACAGCCATATATGAAATTATAGTCGCAAGTTTGCTAATTAATTCTAATTTTTGTGGAAGGTGCTGCAGTTGCGCAAGACCCACTCTAGTCCGAGCCAATTGTCAAGGGAACCAGATGATTCTGGAGAGAGCATACATTGTACACGGGCTCATATCAATCAACCAAATAAGTTCTGAAGGTAAATCTCAACGGATTTCATCGTCGTTTGTCTTCCATTTTCACAATTTCGTGGATTTATTAAACTTCGGGCAATTTATAACCCCACATGTTGAAAAAGAATCCTACTTCCTGACGTTCTCTCCCATTACTGTACTCTTATGAGTGTGTCACGTCACGTTGACTGTACGGGCCACTTGTACGGACTTGAAGATGAGCACGTTTTGGGCGGAGTCAAAGAGGTTCACAGGTTCTCCAACTGGGCTTCAATAGTCCTGATTCTGATAATATCCAGTGACAACCTCTCGAGAGTTGGAGGGTTTGATAAAGACTGGTCAGCTTTTTCCGCACTGACCCCACAAGGTTTATCAGGCTTTATCATGACCTACACCCTTATAAAAGAACCGAGTCTGATATTCAAAAGAAAGAGGGACAGGCCATGAAAGTGTTCCACCTCATTAGTGAACGATTTTCGATAATCCTGGCCTGATCTGAATACCGTGATAAAACTATCATTCAAAATCGGACTACGTCAACATGCAAGTGAGTAGCTATTGAAAGGGCAAGCTAGGATCTCAAGTCCACCTCAGGAACACTTACAGCAATTAAGTGCAAGTATCGAGCTCAGCCCCTTTGAGTGTGGATAGCCACAAACTGTTCTGGCGTAACACCAATGAGAACGTTTTTCTTATATAAGTATAAGGAATCTTCAGAAGTCATTACCAGCCTTCGTGTTGATCATCTGTAGAATCACTCTAATTTCAGTGTGTCTAGACAGAACCCAAAATTACACAACGTTCCGATCCCGAGATCTGAGGCCTGCAAAAGGAGGTGTGAAGTGTCTCTCATAACTTGAGGGAGAGCTTGAAACTTAGATAAAATAAAAACCTTTTCCTCGAGATATGCAGTAATGTGATGATAGTGCTGATGAAAAAACGTAACGGGCCGTTACCAAAAGCGTCCCGTTGGAATATTCAGAGCTTTTAGCCTTGAAATTTTAAGTACTCAGCAATCAATCAGCAAGACAACAGCTTAGTCAATTCTCTTGTACAAATAATTTTCAAAGTATTCAACTGTTTCTTAGAATTCACAAAAAAGTTAACATCCGAGTTATATTTAGCTATGTACTCATTCTTTGACAAGCTGCTGAGATAATATGAGAAGAATTTATTATACTAGTCAACATTAGTTTTAAATATTTTAAGATTCTTAGTATATTGTTTACCCTATATTTAACTAGGAGATTCCATTTTTTGATAAAGAGCTCTATTACAAAATCGCAAAGAGTTCATCTTTTCCAAATAGTTCTACGAAGAACACTACAACTGGACAAAGATTGCTTCACTTTCTATTATTTTATTGTAGAGCCTATTCAAGTCCATTAAAACCATTACACCTTAGACTAGAGCAATTGCTTTGGAAGATATTTTTGTCATTCGACAAACTCTTCGACTTAGATAGTCAATATATCTTAGATAAAGTGGAGTAATATGCTTTTTATTTTTACCCAGTTGGTTGCTATCATTCAATGGTTCATGGATCTTAACATGAAACATACTTTTTGCTAAATTACTCGGCCCTCTATTGCGCTTCATATCTATCCTCATGGCAAGCACTCGGAAATTATCTTTCATGCCGTCTCACATAAAGAAGTCTGCAAAAGACAATGGCTTCGGTTCTCGGTCAAAAAATCGGCTGATTTTACTCCGTCAGACAAAGCCTGTGGCCCGAATTAGGGCACAAAGGAGAACTTGGAAGGTTCGACGCGAGCGACATGAAGGTAGCTCGTCTGTCGGTAGCGTGGTGGCCGTCATCTTATTCGTAAAAGGATGCCAAGGATCTTCGATAAGAAGCGATCTTCTCGAAGGTGTCGTATGGCAGGTCGATGGAGGAAGTCCACGGGAAATTTCACGGGTCCACTGTAAACACAAGTGACCTTGCAATTTCTAATTTGAACGGTGGAACGCAACCAATTCCTGCTGTGCGGCCCATCCTCAACCCTCCCTCACTTGGTCCCAGTAATGTGAGCCCGTGACGCTGATTTGTTGCTTGAGCGCCATGGGAAAAGGTGTTGATTTCTATCCATGGGCCCCACCGAACCCTCCCCATGTTTGCAGTTGACCGATGCTCGTCATATATACAGCACAGTAACATACCTCTACCATGCGAGTAGAATGTGTCCTTTTCCTCTCGTAATTGCAGACAACGGACTGTTGGAATATGACAATGCTGACGGTGGGAAACGCACAGTGGCGCCAGAGGACGAAACGACAAGCTTGAGAAACTTCCGAAGGACCGAGTGAAGGAGGCACGCAGCGGCCTCTAAACTGTTGAAGGTGATGTAAACACGAACCAGCTCATCCTGAAATGAATTTGCGTTTGGGAACTTATGTTGAAACAGCTGAAGCGTACTTGTAAGTACAAGATATTCTGTTCGCCTTCATCGGCCACTGGATGATTTCATACCGCCTGTCCACGCTGAGTATGAAAGGGCTGAGGGTCTCCGATCAAGATTCATTATACGTTCAGAATCTGTCGGAGAGAAAGCCTCCGGCCGAAATGATCCTGCCTCACTGCGACCGGGGATAAAGGATCCCAATTGCAACGGTACTCTTGGGAGTCGCGACACAATCTAGATAGTTGTGAATGCGTGCTTAAGAGCATCCCCCTCCAGTCCAGTCAAGAGTCAAGAGTCTGATTGCAGCCACATACCAATGGTCACAATGCACAATGAAAGAAAGAAGACAAACACATCGCACTTGCACACAATGAACACAGACACCGAGAATTACACGGAGGTGGAGCAACCATCCAATTTCCAAATCTCCAGAACGGATGAATGAAAGACTGACTGACTGACCGACCGACTACGCGAGCATTTAGTTGATAATGTGCAAACCCATGGACTTTGTGCAGGAATTTACATTTACGTATTTTTCGCACACAGAAAGAGCTGCACAGCTTCGCGGACAATTTGTCACATACGGGTTCCGTCCCAGAGACTTTTCGTGCCATGCTGTGGAAGGCGCATACTCCACAGGTCCCAGATCGGATTTGTCACACTACTGTACAGTGGTGCTCGTTGGACCAGGCCAGAGGTGCTTTCCGTAGCCCTTTCTCGATGCTTTGGATTCGGCTTTGTCGATTACTCGTCCACGTCGTCTTGCGTCAACACATTGAAAGCAAAGAAGGCGCCATCCCCAGGGCAATATTACTCGGCTTCCTGTCCCTACGCAAATGCGATTATTCCTCGTCTTTTGCTTATCCGTCACTCTCAAGCCGTCCCAGGTTTATCGTGTCTCATGCACAGCCACGTGGCAGTTCGTTTGACAATTGCTCTCCCGCCGTCCTACTTTCCTACTCTTCTACTCTTCTGTCGAAGACTTGATTCGAGTTTTATTTCGGGTGTTATTACAAGTGGGCAATTTTGGCTGGGTGTGAATTTGACTTCTGAGTCGGCCGATCCTTATTTGCAAAGCGTCAGGCTTCCAATAAGACGGTGATTGAAGGAAAAATATCAACATGATTAAACTGAAGTCTTCTCGGACTCCAATTGTTTTACACGAACCATCACAGACACGATTATCGACTACATGACTACGTCAAACTGATGTGTGTGGAAAGTGAATGAATGACTGAAAAGAAAGAGAGAGAGAGAGAGAGAGAGAGAGAGAGAGAGAGCTCTGCAAATAACTAAATCAATGAGAGCGCTACTATTACAATCTATAGAAGTTGCTCACATTATAGACTTAGATTCCGGAAGCATTATGTATCCACTGCAAGCAGAGATCAGATTTTCGCCTAGGAAACCACAAGTATCCACTTGAGTAGATGGAGGTCGCATGTCGATGTAGGTCTAGTGCAGGAAAGTTTGAGATATTAACAAGAGTGGAAGCTGCAGAAATCTACCAGAGCCTGGGGAATAAACTCCTAGTCTAGATACTCGCAGTTGAGGGGCGACTCTAGACATGAGTAGTAAGCGTAAGTAGGTCAGGGCATATTACCTACCACCAATACTTGTAAATCTCTTATGCTTCTGATGGGACGAAAATGGTAAACCGCATAACTCCGAAGTCTCACGAGGGTGAGCAAGTGACCAATTCTTGTGCCATACTACCCTTTGGTTGTAAGGTTGATTCAAGCTTCCTTAACAATGAGGTTTGACATCAATTTGCAATTAGCTATCATGAAACTTCATTCGGGGCTGGATCTTGTGTTTCCACTATACATTCTCTCGATAGGAAGATTTTTTAAGAGCTTCATGATTGTACAATTAAAAAAATTACAAACCATTGTATATACACATCTTGTTATATTTTATTTAACATCATAGCAGTGTCATCCGCCGTATTCTTTTCAATTAAGTACACCGACAACCTAACAACAAATCTACTATCCGTAAGCAATCTATCTGCAAATTGTCAAAGTCAAACTAATCCTCCATAGTTTATATAAGAATAATAATATTTTCATTTCGTAAATAATATTACGTTCATAAATCAAACTAATGATTTATAAACGTGTTTTTGAAATAATAACTAGATATCAACAATCACTTCAAGAATAATGTAAAACTAATGATTTAATCTAGTTATGAACATTACGTGTGTTTAGTCAAATTTTAAGTGAGATCAAGCTGTTCAATAAAAGCTTCATTATACCAAGTTCTACCATAGACAAATAGTTAAGTATCTATTTTCATTTTTTGCGATCAAATTTCACTCTTCTCTTACTCATCCATCTTTGGGTGTTTCTACGCTTTTATAATTTTCATAATCCTTACTGTGTGATTGCTTTTACCTGCTCAAAGACTTATATGAAAAAATTTATCAGATTTGACTTATGTTGCATTGTTCCAATATTAATATAAGTCAATGCAAACTTATCCAGGCTGAAAAACCAATGAATCTTTTTTTGAAGTTGAAGGTTTTTTCAACTTTTAAGGAATTTTAGGTTTGTTATTAAGGAACTAACAACTCTATTAGCTCTTTATGTTTTATTTTTGCATTGTAAGTTAAATGAAATCAAATTAATCGTTAAAAATAAGAATCTATGTTCAAGATTCAAACAAATAACATATTAAATCAACAACATAAGATAATATACAACACATTATAGAAAAACTATATTTCAAGAACAATGATATGAAGATCTACAAACTGCTCAATTTAATCTTTAAATATACTCTTGATATTAAGAACTCTATTGAACAAAATTTAACAAGAAACTTTCAGAAGACCTCAACCAAGTACTAGTAATCTTTTCAACCCATATCCAGGACAGAGCTTATCACACCGGTAAAACTATAATCTTTTTTCTCCATGCTTTAGCTTAGATATTCACCTGCATTCCTTACACTCTTCCAGCCTCAAATATATTTGCGGCTCTCTCAAACGATCTAGGCCAAAAATCGATCGCATATGAGAGCATTTGGAGAGGCCGAACGTTCACCAGAGGGTTCCAATTAAATGTTCAATACTGTGAGCGAAATTGGGCCAAAATTGGGAATATGCGAATATCGGCTTGCTTCCGCTTGCATAACGGCCGATGGCGCGGGCGCGGTCATGAGGGAAGACGCTCCGCGCAACGTGTTCTTGTTCGAAACGAGACTCGGTGCCTTGGCGGCACTGCTGGCCCGCGGCTGCTTCGTTGTAGTCCGTGTCGTGGGCCTCTCGGGGGCTCATACATGCACACGATCTGCGACCTGAGCTTCGCGGATCGAAGGAGGCGTAGATGTCACAGCTGAGGAGGAAGGAGTGGCGACGTCGTCGAGCAGGAGCAGAAGCAGGAGAAGGTGCTCCTGTTGATTCTGGGTCTACAGCTTGAGCAGCCGCAGCAGCTGCTTCCGGCGTTGTGTGTTGACGTCCATGCAGTGACATCGACCGAATTCTGTGCTTAAAAGCTCGCCAAGTGCGCATTATCTTTCAATGGTTCTTCCGTGAGAGACTTCGCCTTCTCCGATTCTAAGAGCCCAGTGCACCGAGATTGCAGACACGACGCGACCCGACCCTGATCAGCCCTGCCCTCTTCCGCCTCCGCCACCTCCTCCTCGATCTTTGGAGGAGTTGCCGTGCCATAAGTTGGAATTAGGCGGAATCTTCTCTTGGGGCGGTGAAGTGTAGTGTCGGTGGGTCGTCTGCGCGTCATTCCGGAGGCTAGTTCTATGTAATAATTTACGGCTTTTGTGGATCTCCCCGGACGCAGGACCAAGGGGCAGATGTTGTTTGAGGTGTCCTGCATTTCGACATATTAGTCGTCGTTTAGAAGATCGGCTCCCTAGAATTTGAAGACCCACCGGTCTGCTTCCGCTGATTGGCTTGCCTCCCCTCGATCGCTCCTTATGACCGCGTGCTACAACTGCCTTCTGCTCCGGTGATTTGTGACTTGGATTCGCACCCCCTTTTGTTAGGTTTGAAAAGTGCAGACAAGAGCGCAATCATGACTGCGGGAAATGGTGCCTTAGTACAAGATCAGAAGATCGTTTCGGCTTCAAATCCTAAGGCTTCCAATCCTAAGACCGGCGTGAGTGACGCGAAGGGTATGGGCGTGCAACCGGTGGAAGAGTTCTATCAGCGTTACCAAAGCTTCAAGGAGAACAAGGCACCGGCGATCGAGAAGGAAGAGATTAAGAAGGTGTTTGACTTCTTCGATGAAAACAAAGATGGACTTATCTCCAAGGAGGATTTACGCCTATTCATGAGCAAGCTGGGCTTCAATCCAACAGACGATGAGATTTCGTCCATGGTTAGCTCAGTCGACAGTAATGGAGATGGATCTGTGGACTTCGATGAATTCTCCTCTCTTTATCAAACCATAACCTCCTCCGAAGACTCATCTGAGGGATTGCGCCACTGCGAAGAGGAAGATTTGAAAGAAGCTTTCAATGTGTTTGACACCGATAAGGATGGTTTCATCTCTCCCACTGAATTGCAGGCCGTTCTGGTGAATCTGGGAATGAAAGAAGGCACCAGCTTATCTAACTGCGAAATGATGATAAAAAACGTAGATGCTGACGGAAATGGGCGAGTGGATTTTACTGAGTTTAAGAAGCTCATGAGTTCAGACTTCATCCGAGGCTAAAGGACATCATCATACTGTTCCTCATTACAGTCTCAACTGCAGCAAGTTCATATACCGGTGTCACCTTGGTGGGATTTCTATATTCGCTCAGTGTTCAGAAAACCTTTTACTTCATGGAAGAATATGATAGGAATGTTGTTCCAGTCACAATATCCACTGTACCAGTACCTTTAAATCGTGCAGAAAACACGTCAGTTCACCTCGATGAATTTGTCGACTAGTCCCGGTTTGAGGATTGTGATCGTTTCTGTCACCTATGGTAGAGAGAGCGGCCGTGTATTCTCTCACAGTCAACGTAGAAAGATTTGAATCGAGATGATTATCATCGGCCGAAAGGATTTGTAAGGTGACTCCGACTATTTGATTCAATTTCAGGTTTGAAGTTCAAGGCCGAGCAGCCAAATATTTGTCACTTCGACAGTCTTGGAGAAGTCTCAGTTGTACCTTATCGACTAGTCCCGTTCACACTGAGTTTTGTGTCATTACCTTCTGCGCGATATGCATTAGCAGCACCTGGATACAAACTTTGTACTCGAAGTTGAGTCTGATTTTTCGCATGAAGGTCCTCTACGGGTTTAGGATCCATATTCATCGGTTGAAGATCGCGGTATCCATTATTTGTTTGCTGTGGCAATGTTCTTCTTGCAATGCAGTTTCTGTAACATCTTCGTTCACAACTTCCCCAAAGTCAGAACTGGTCGACCGGAATGCAAGGTGGGATACCACTTTCAGCACTGCGGAGTTGGAATAGTCTATTCGCACCTCAATTGATACATCTGATCAGAAGTGTCATTGCTGATCTGATCAACGGGATGCAGCAGAGTACATCCCTCTTCGACGGCAGACCACTGCAATGATCTATAAAAATTCTGAGCTCTAGCTTCTAATTAGACTTTTCTATCGCAGATCCTTGGACTTTGACTTGCATTCTCAGCAAGAGGTGTTATACGCAGCATGAAGGTGCATTACGCAGGTCCTAAGTCTTGTCACTCAGAGAAGATCCAATGAGACAAACCTTATCCTCTTCGAATCAGCCAGTTTCAGCAATAATATCATGATAGGCAACATCCTCATGTCAAGATTGCATCAATCTCAAATCGAGGTGAATAAAAAGGGACTTTCTTACCCTCAAATATGAGCGCTCGTAACCCAGGGTTATTTCTGATTTAAAGCGACCAAAATTTTGGCAATCCCGACATTATATGCTGAGGATCCGGATATTCTGGCGAAGTACACACTGGTCCAGCAGAGACCTGAACCCCCATGATCCAAGAGTGTGGGTGGGGCTGGCTCACCTAGTGGTCTTTGCCGCCTGCTGAGAGGGAGCGAGGGAGCACTTTCGAGGAAGCAGGGAGCGATGGGAGCTGGTTCAATCTATTCCCCGGATATGCGCATGCTGACTACAGCACGTGATTGGAAGTCCAGAGATATCTTGTGCCCACAGGTACGTGAACAACCGAGTCCTCGGGCTGGGACTGTGTCTTTACACAAAAAGAGTAACTATAAGTAGAGCAAGTGGTTGCAAGTGGCTAGTATTGCAAAAAAACTATGTTCGGCATTCATGACATGTAGAACGAAAGAGAGTCGGTGGCACCTGACCCACCAGTGCCAGTGCCACCACCATGCCATCGTGTGTGTGTGTGCGGTCGTTCAGATCGACACCTTAATCGCCTGCCTGGGTCGTGGTATTGGAGTCCAATTCCCTGTCACCGGACTGAACAGCCAGCTCTGCGCACAACGGTCCCTGCATCTGTTTGCTTGCCCACCTGCCACACATCCATGATAAGTCTCATCATGTTTGCAGCACCTTCTTGCCGGGCACAATTTCTAGACGCAAAATCATTTCCTCTCCTAAAATCGCGACTTTGACGTGTTCATGTGTCCTGTCAGCAGCGATACTGCAGTGGCTGAGGTCAAACCTCAACAACAGCTGTCGAGGAATTCGATGACTTTCTTTTCTCTCCAGAAGTCCATACGTAAAATCGAACTGCCCGGCCGCCCGGGGTGCTTTCCTTCGACTCTCACGGCATACTGAAGGCCACTTCTCAGCATCAAGGTAACTCTGGATCATAATAGTATACGTGATGTGCATACAGCTCTACATTCTACACAAGATGCTTCTACGCATGCAAGTTCTAAAGCATGAAATCTGTAAAGTAGTGTCGAGCTGCACCCCATCCGATTATACCAGGGCACATGTAACTAGTCCATATTTCCGTTGACTGTCACCGAAGAGATGACGGTCAGGGATTACGGTTGAACAGAGTATTGCTTGGTTGGTCTACGTTGACTCATGGGGAGGGATTCAGTTGTGCACGTCCTAGCGTTCTGTTGTTATCTAAGTAGTGCTCAATGGTTGTAACTACAGTTAAAGTTGAGTCCGATAGTCAAAGTTAGATAGTTGGAATATTTGAAGGGTAGTAGTGTATATATGTATGTATGTATGTATGTATATGTATATGTATACGATTGGGATTCGGTCAATCTTTTGGTTTACTCCGTGCATGGTTTGATTGGGCCTATAACCATCCGTGTTGCTAATAAGTGGGTCTACTTCTTGCTGAGATTGATTGTAGTAGGTTTCCTATCTGCGAAGAATCGATTTGAGGTGGACAGATGCAAGAATCAAGGCTTTTCACATGGAGAAGAATCACTCAAGACAATTACAGAGGTTTTCCACATGGACGACGTCTTGAAAATGATCCAAAACCACAAAACTCATCATCAGCACTGCAGCCAAGCACAGCAGCACTTTGTTAAATCCTCAACGTTGAATTCACAAATACATAATCACATTCACGCATAGGCACAACGCACATACATGATTTATTGTGAGCTATGTGCACAAAAGGACACAAATTTCACGGAGAGAAAATTCTATTTTATATAAACAAGGATTTTGTGAACTTTCTTATATAGAAAATTCTAATTAAACAATTTAACTAGCTTCACTGACTAGGGTTAAGTTAACAATAAATCACATTATTTAAGTACAGTTTGATTAGATTATCATCAATTAGTAAAGTTGGTCAGATCTCCATTATATAAAAGAAATGATAGAAAATATGTGACAAATTAGGAATTTTTTTAGTAAAATTTAGATCTATGTTAAAAAAATTATATATGTACACTGTGTGTGGTGGTGATAATTACGATGTATTTGTGACTTGGACGTTTAAGGTTTAGTAATTGGTATCAAAGCTTGGTAGAATTGATAGTTACAGATTTTGTGATTTTCTATCAATCTCGAATCTTCGCCCATGTGGAACGTGTGAATCATTATCCCGGCCAAATGCGCAATATTTGGCGTCACAATCAAGTTTGAAGCCACGACATTTTGTTGAAATGTATGTGGATTTTTTTTCAAAGATACAAAGATTTCTTGTAGACATTCCCTTCCAACGGGGTTTACTTGTTAGATTATCAGAAGTTTATATGTATATATATAAGAATTATTACTCGCTCGTTCCTACTCTGCCGTAATCATCATCTTTCAAACAATAAAGTTCAGTCGTCAATGATCCGGATCAATCACATATTATAAGTCTTGGCTAGCTTGTTGCTCGCCTCAAGTGCTCACATGGAATACAAGTTGGAAGAGTTAGTAACACTATATTTTCAAACTTCAATATAGAGTTTAACCTTCCATAAGTGTCATTAAATTCTAGAATCATTAGATTGTAATTGTTAAATTTGTCTAATAATAACAATACTTCACTAAATGTCATAATATGGTATTATTCAATAATGACAGTTCCAGGCGTAATTTTGGGAGTACAATTCCTATCATGATCACAATACAAAGCCGTGAAAAAGTGTCATGTAACTTACATTTATCTAAACATCCATCTCAACAATTTATTCTTTGAGTAAATATTTTGCGACAGATGCAATTTTTTATTTTTCACTCAATTTTTTTTGCATGTATCCATATTCAAACGTGATAATAGCGTTAACGTTATTAATATTGAATAAGAAATGAAGGAGATCTTACAACCAAACAACTAACTTACAAAATTAGACATCTCATAAGATCGCTACGCACTTTATTTGTGTGAGAGACATCTTCCAATGATGACATCAAATCCTAACAGCAATGTATGTTATTTTTTGAAGATGATACTCAAGGCGGAGCACTTATCTCTTGTGAGTGACACTTTTCAATAGTGACTTCCAACCCTAGCATCAACGTATGCCACTATTAGGATTTTATACTCTGTATTGCAATTAGTGAGGTATCGATTTGTGAGTATCGTAAAATTCTTTAAAATTGACTTCTTGACATCTATAGATCATGTCATTCTATGAACACGAGGTCTAACAAGAAAATATATTAGAGATGTGTGTCAAAACCTGTCAGTGACAAGAACACTGACTTAAGGTTTTAGAATAGTTTAGAATGCATAGGAGAAAAAAAATAGGTGTAGAAAAGTCAAATTAGGTCTTGTTGGATGTTCGGAGCGATTAGAGTTGCACGCACGTCCTAGTCAGATCCTTAGACTTACCAGTTGGAGCGAAAATCCTGTGGCCGATTCATTCAGCCTTCTCTGCAGGCCTGCACACGGGCATATGTTGAACGTGGGGCAATGAAAAATTGATGCGTAGTCGCTTTGGAGGCAAAAGCCAGCAGGTGTACATCTAAATACGGGGATGTCTTGGATGACTAAGTTCCAAGGGAGGGGTGCGTTGAAGAGCTGCAGGTGCGAACGGAGAGGAGGAGAGTTGAATAACGTGGCTCGTGGGGCCAAATGAAAGCTTCGGCGAAGGCGGAGTGAAGGCGTTGACCCGTTTTTTTTAGCAGTGACAAGTTAGCACCGAGATTTGTGGCAGCCGTGTCAGACTTTAGGTAAGCTTGGCGACCCTTGCATGGTCGCATTTTAGTTTGTTGTAGCTTTTGTAGGTATTTTTTAGTACTTAGTAGGCAGCGTGGCCGCCGTTGCATTTAGAGTAGCCGCCACCTACATTTTACCCCTTCGGTTTTTGTGAGGGTGGGCATCTCAGAAGTAGAACTGGTGGCATTATTTAAAGGAAGAGTAATGGGCATTCTTCCTTGTCTTTGTGTACCTTGCACTTTTTAATTGACTAGTCGTACATGCTTGCCCTAGTGTTTAGTGAGAATCTAACTGCTCAAAGTCCTTTGTAATCGGTTTACAATAGTGTCTTGGAGTATGGTTTGTGGAGACCGGTAGTGCTGAAGTAGTTGTGGTGAACGAGGTTCCGATTAGGAGACTAGGGGAAAGTCTGCTTTGTGAAGTTCATTAAGCTGGCATGAGACAGTGAGGGAAGAGAATCTCTGGGTCATGAGTTCAGCTGGGGCGGGTAATCTGGTTGACATTCAGTCCTTGTGCAAGTTTGTTAGAAGTAGTTCTACCCTGGATTTTAGAGTGGTATAGAAGTAGCTCAACTGTCGGAAGTACTCCTCCAGGCATTCTGTTCTCCGGTTTGCAAGTAGGAAGTTTTCACGAGTAAGGTTAAGATTCGGGCCATCCTTAGTGACCTGCCACCGGAACTAAAAACCGACGGTTGAAGTTTGGCAAGAGTCCAATCGGTCTGAAGTATTATTGAATTTGTCTTTGTGGGTTTGTTGAGTTTGTAAGTTATCTAAAGTGACCTTACCCACACTCTAATCAACGGGGAGAAGTAAATCCATCACTTCTAAAACTATGGAGATATCTCTTATGTATGATAGAGATTAATTAAACAGGTTGAGGAGTCAGTAGTAAAGAAAATTTGCCCATATTGTAAGTGAGAGAATCGGTAGTCTTTGCACTTCACAGAATCCCCGCGAAACGATATACCGGGGTAACACCTAAAAACGAGTTCTTGATACAAAAAAGTACTCTTTTGAGGAATACCATATACTGAGTGTTTTGATAGTGTGTTAGAACTAAAGAAGCAAGTATTGAAGATTAATCAAATAGAGCAAAGTTATGATACTTTTTTTAACCAAATGCCATCTTGAATTGATCGTTTGAAACTAAAAAGTTTACAATAAAATTTGACGGAGCTATCATTTATCATGATACTAAAAAAAAGTGTACAAGTATGATAAACTTTCAAAGTTGATGGACATTGAGGTGAATGAGTTCCAATACAAAAAGTAACATTATATTTAGACATGTTGCATGACACATACATGATCTTCACAATAGTTTGCTGATTTTGACTTTCAAGTATAACACATAAGAATGAAGTACCATAGTATACATTACGTTGTTGCAAGCAACAGCAAGCAGATAATCCTAGAGCACAGTTGTGATGATAAGTTTGGGTATTCATCATATTTTTAAATCACTAAATAGAGGAGAATAAAATTTTTGTTTTAAATCTGAGAAGTTTTGATGCCTTACACAAACCTCTTAAGGCATATCATGTATCAAAATTATAGAATGATTAGATTCAAGACTTTGCAGATGCATTGATTAGGTAGGATGTTGTACTTGTGAAAATTTTTATAGTTTCAAAGTATCACCTTCTCAAACCAAAAAAATATATTTTTTAATATTAGTGAAAGAATTTTTTTAATGATTGATAATGTAGATAGGTTATCATTATCTAAAATAATAAAAAACTAGAAGTGAATTGAGCAACTTCATGAAGATCAAACTTAAAAACAATATACAATTTCCATGTCTTGAAAAGTTTCCAATATAATCTTAAGTGTAGAAGTAATGATGGAAGATAAAATTTTGAAAGAAATGATACATCTTCATTGTGTCAAAGTAATAAATTAGAATGAACTTTTCAAAATGTTGTATTTTAAAGCATCATTTTTTCCATCTTTGTCTCTTTAGAGTTGATTCTTCAAATAGATGTCAAAATTTTGTTTGGTTGAAATGTGAAAAACATTTTGACGAATCAAGCATATTGTAACACACATGTTAAAAAAAATTCATTGGTTAAAATTTTTCATCATACATCGACAAAAATGGTTTACTAAGTGAATCTTTTCTTCTAACAATGTGATGATTATATGTGTTGGTTTTTAACAAAAATTTATTGGACGATGAGTAAATCACTGCATTTGTTATATAAGTTAAAGAAAATCATTCATCTGAATTTCATAAGGAAAAATTTCAAATGTTCAATGAACATGATGACATTCATAGAGTATAGTCAATCAATTTATGTAATGGATAAATAAAATGTGTGTGATGATTATTTGCATCAATGTAAAGAAATCAAAGTCAGGTTTAAGACTATGAGTTTGTACAACACGTTGAGATTTAAACTCTTCCAATACAAGAAAAACCAATAGAAATATCTTAGGATTTAGACTATGAGTAATAGTATATCATATTTGTAATGATATGTTTAATTGTAAGTTGGTACCTAAATCTCTAGAATAACAATTTCCTAGCAAAAAAAATATCAAACATGCTGTATATCTCCTTATGAATTTTAAGATGAAAATTTTTGAGATAAATATTTTATACGGGACTGTTAAAACGACCACAAACGCTTCACTTGTAAAAAAAATATTTTAGTATGAATGCTCTGAGTGGCTCCATTCTGTCTAACCATACATTTTGTGCTTGTGATATTTGTTGAGGAGTTCGATGGAAACGAGGCAGTAGCACTTGCGACCAATCTTGTTTGCGCCAGGAGCAGGTAAAATTTGACATGTGTGGATGTCAAAGAAGCTGCCGGATGCAAGGGGAATGATTGGGTACTGTGACAAGCCAAATCCTAAAGCCGAGACGTATCTCTTGTCTCAGTGTGGTAGTTTAAACATTCACAATTTTATATCATGTAAATGCTTTTGATGATCTTGTCATTGATTTTCAGAATTTTAGAAAAATAATAAAAAAATGGAAGAAATATTTCTTAAGCTCATTAATTGCATCTTATCAATCATTGTTATGTGTGTTTTTTTATTGTGATAAGTAGACAATCACTTACTCCTTTAACTAAATACTTAATGTTACAGTAGAGATTGAGAAAAAAAACACAAAAAAATAAAACACAAGATTCAAAGATGAGATATACATAGATAGTTTACTTTTTTCATATATAATTATTCAAATCACTTACAAGGAGATAAAATTTCACTTCTATCATCCATTTCATTTGTAATGAAATGATGACATGACAAAGCACATGTATAGTTAACGTTTTAATATCAATCAACACACTCAATACTTAATTAACAAGCACACATATTGCTAGCGTGTCGTTATGAAGTAATTTTAATAAAAATAATTAGTATTTTAATTGAAAATAATATATCAATTCATAATGCATCAAAAATACTTATTTTATGTTTGACATTTATGAATGTTTACAAATTGTCAATTTTTTTCCAATTTAAATAATATCTATTTTTTTCACAAATCAAAGATGATTAGAGAACCAAAAATTTATTAGAACTTAATATTAAAGAAAAAATTAAAGAAAAAAAATATGATCAAATTCAAAATAAGTTAATTGCATGCTCAGATACTTAATTTCTCGAGAAACCAGAGCCTCCGTTTACTGTTGTGATTTCTGCACCTCCGCTTGTAATTGAGCCGCTTGCTTTCTTGGGCGTATTGTTGCAATTCTAATGTATCCTACCAATAAATGGTTAATATATTGATAGGATACATATACTTGATATATTTAATATGGCAGATTTTTAAAAAAACATGTAGTCGTTTGATAACAATATTCAAAATTTCAACAACTCAATAAGTAAATGATATAATTGAGAAGTACAAATTGTCATCAAATTTTAACAATATAAAAATAAACAACCTCATGTATTTGATGATAATAAAAAAACTTGAAATTTTTTTAGTTATGAACAACATCAGCATATAAATAACAAATCCAGAGAAGATGCATCGGAAAGATGTGAAAAGGAATTTTCAAAACTATTATCAGATTTTCAATAATACTAATGATAGTGATATTTTATTTGATAACTTATTAGATAATGTCAAAATTTTATTGATTTATGTTGATCTTGAATTTCACAATATTCTTGATATAACAACTTTTGATAGCTCTATTTTAATGGATATTTTACTTTAAAAACATTCAGTATTATTCTAGAGTAATATTATAGATAGTGAAGGTTATTTATGAATAGAATGTTGAGATTGTCATGATTAATGATATATCCAATCCAACTAAATTTTTTTTCAAAGTTTTTACTTTGAACAATTTCAAGAAGCATTGAACTACTTTGCAAAGAAAGCAGAAATATACTCTAGTTGCAATTTTTTTAAGTTTATACATTCTTAAATTATATAATTTTTAATCATAAATTGCTTCATTTCAATTTTAATTCAAATTTTTTTTTACATTAAACTATTTTTTGCAGAGTAATTGTATAAATCATGAAGATTATGATTTTCATGACATGAATCAAGTTAAACATTGTTAGAACATAAAGTGAGATCTCTACACACTTGATTTTTTTGTATTTGTATACAAAAACATGATTCAAGTAAAGATCAAATGTGTCAAATGACAACAAATTAACAATTTGTGTGCTTGTTAGCTAAGTATTGGATACTTTAGTTGAGAGTAACACATTTGTTATGTCTCTAACCCATTGGAATTAGAATAATAGATGGGAACGAGACTTTATGTTTTTGCATTTGTTTATGTGATAACACACTTGTTCTTAACCTATAAAACACACGGATTTTTCACATGGCCAATATAAATAATCATGTATAATGCAACTATATATATCTTGAATAATATTTACTTTAAATTTAACTAACTTAAAATTATTATAGTGGGTTCAAGTTTAGGATTTTAACAAAAAATGTAGTTTTTATGTAGATTTTCATCATACTTCATCTGATATTTTATAGTGCTCTGTAATCTATTGCATATAAGCAAAAACGTGAAATAGTTTATATTTGATTAAAGTTCATAAAGTATGTAGATTGTCAAACATGTATTATTATTGTACAACATAAACATTTGTTAGAAATGCACAATATAAATGTGATTTTTTTATTACAATAAATTATGAACAAGATAGTGTTTGAAATGTAATTTGTAAAATGAGAGTAAAGTAGTTATTTTAAAGTAAATTGTTATTTTAATGTTTGATTAACTTTGTATGATAGTCTTAAAATTGGTCATATATTTTATTTACATAAACAGTATTGATGTATAAAATATATTATATAATTCAAAATAATTTTATTCATGTTAACAATCTAATTCATAGGTTTTTTTTAGAAAAAAATTAAATAGAAAAAATTATGAAATATCTATGCCCTTAGTTTCACTATGAGATGTTATTTTTAAAGATATTACTATAAATTTTAAAATAATAATAATTCAATACGTTCAATTGATTATTTTACATATAAGTTCATACGCAAAATAACAAGTTATATATCTAGGAATTTAAAAGTAGTCAAGAAATTTTAAACATCACTTCGACATAAGTAGAAATGAGTTTTTAGAAAGTTAAAATAAGCTTAGAACCTGTTGCAAATGTAATATGTTGTTGGTAATATTAATGACATTTAACAAGGTCAAAACGAAAAAAATAAACATTATCATCATATAATCATAATCGTATTTGCTTTATCTATAATTTGGTGCATTAAACAATAAGTTATGTTCAGAATGTAGTTATTGCACATTATGATTTTAGTATAATAAAATATAGAAAATTCAAATCATTTTTTTTATTACAAATATCACTTTCATCAATTAGATTTTTATTCAATTGAGTAAACTTAAATGCTCGTGAAAATTCGCATTGCATAATGAACGAAATGATTGTGTAAATATTGTTTGAAGAATTACAATTAGAAGCAACATCATATATTTGTACTCATGATATATCCCATTTTTTAAATATATAAATTTTAGAATGGTTTCAGATAAAAAATTCAAACAAATGAAGTTGGAAAATAATTATGATAAATTCAAAATTCATGATAATATAATCATAATGAAAATTGAACATTAAAACTATCATTGAATTATATAGAAATTAAAATAAATTTATAGATTTTGATCTCGAACTTTTTTCCCTTTGTGTCACATAATATTAATCAATGAATTCAATATTTACAAATTCTTTTGCAAATTAAATCGATGAGACCACGCCGTAAACTCTAAACTGGACGAGAAGAAAGCCAACACATATCCAATAAACTTTGATACAGAGATGAAAACCGTTGGAGTTGTCAAGCGGAGTCCGGTACGAACTACAGGAGGAAACGTCTGACCGGAAACTGCGAGCGGAATGGTGCGCACGCGGGGCTCCTCTCGAAATCACGATTCTTGGTACCGAGTCTCGGCGTGTCAAGAAATGGATAACAGGCTGCAGTACTGGAAGTAGGACGCACCAACTAACCACGGACGCCGAGCTTGCCTGCGAGCAAAGTCAAGTCGCTGCATTGCATTACGCAGTACGTACGTTACGTAAATGGGCGCCTATTCAGGCGAGGCGCTGGCTGAAATTCGAGCGCGGGCTGTGGCTTGAAGGTGCTCCCTTGATGGCGTGCAACGAGCGTAAGGACGCGCCCCTCGGGTGGACAATTCGACATGCTCGTCTGTGCGAGCGAGGGCCAGCGCAGTCGTCGTCGGCGACTCGTGCGCGATGGCGATGGAGATGCGGCTTGTGTTGGCCAGAGCGCAATGCCTCGAAGCACGATGGCTTGGCGGAGCACAATGTGGGCAGATTCGGTGGAGAAGAATGCGAGCGGCGTAGGTGACCTCGCGGGAAGAGGGATGTAGGTTTGTGCGATTGGGTCAAGACGACGTCAGGATTCACGATGCCGTTCTTTAGGTCGAGAAAGCGCGAGGATGGGACGTTCGAGAAGAACATGATTCTGAAAAAGATTTACAAGGATTTCGGAGGTCTGGGCATATCGTACGGGAATCCGTGCGGCCGGACTTATTCGAGGAGTTACTTTCCTCTCGATGTGGTGCAGAGTAAGAAGTCTTCGACTCCGCTGAGTCCCCCAAGAACAGCGGATTCGACGAACAAGTATGAACCTTACCGACCCAAAGGAACGCCGCGCTATTCAAAGATCGATAATTTCATCGATAACTTGAATGAAGCTTGTGCCGCTTTATCTAAACCCATGGTTGAGGAATTTGGGCGCGTTCGTCCGCAGACTCTGCAGTCCCAACCGAAGCGAGGGGTGAGCCTGATGGAGAAGGTAGAGGAGATTGAGCCCGAGCGCACCGAGGTAAAAAAAAATGCTCCAGTTGAAGAAGTGAAGCGTGATGAACAATGTTCATCTCCCAACGAAGACACTGAGCGTTCGAGCCCCATGGAATCTGGATGCATTCCGGTACTGAAACTTTCACAAATAAGCACATGGACGCCTCCTAAAATGCCATTGGGACCTTGGGGCAAAGCTCGTGATGGCGGCAAATGGAAAAGCGAGAGGAAAGTCGTCAAATCATGCCCAGAGGATGACGACCGAGCTTTCGAGAAGAAGAAGAGGATGGAGGTGGTGAAAGCTGCCACCACGTTACAGTCGAGATACAGGGGATACAGAGTACGTCGTTCGCAGCCTTTGAAATACCTGCTCATGATTGGGAGTGCCAAGAAAAGGCTTCAAGAATTGAAGCAGCAGTTCAATGCATGGAAGATCGCTGTGTGGTTTCCCACCGATCACTCCGAGAGACTCGCCATGACGGAAAACGTGATGAATTTACTCATCAAACTTGACTCTATTCAGGTGCGAACGTAGTACTCGAGCAAGTTTTAAGCACTTAGATCTATTCGTCAAGCTGTCACTAAGAATGAATAAGAATCCAGACAAAGACCAAATCCCTCGAGCACGGTCGCAGTACATGCAGGCCACGTGTGTACGACCTTCTGCGGCTATTTGGTACGAACCGACTAGCTGCAATATGTACAGCCATGTGAAGTACCCGTCCAAGTAGCCACATCAGCCATTCACGATCTTATCCAATCTGAGTTGGGTCGAAACTTTTGGCCCGCCAAGCTCGAAGTTATGGTCCGTTGAGGTCACGCATAAATAATCTACTCAATAAGTTTTTCACAGTTCAGTTGGCTGTTAGTGATGAAATGATCGAATTTGGAAGAATCGCTTTGGGTCTTTGTTGGGCAACCTGATTGTGTGAATCTGTCATGATTACCTTCCAGTTGATTGTCATCGAGTATATAGACGAAACAGTGACGAGTTTCATTTGTATGTTAAAAATCGGTATGATGCAAGAGATCGCAGTACTGATCAGGATTTTGACCTACCACAGACTGTTCCCTTGTATATCCGAGAATTTCGAAAGACCGTGGCACGAGATGTTATTAAATTTCAGAACGAAGTAGATGCCTTTCTTGACCACAACAGCAAACACGGCGCTTTATTTGATTTTGCGGGGAATGAAATTCACGCACGCATGCAGCGTCCGAAATCTAGAACTCAAACGAGGACAAGCAGTGGCAAAGCAAAATATAGTTCTTATGGCAACGAGCAACCCATGAGTCCGAAAGCAACGGAGCTTAAAAGACATCTTGCATCAATGGGAGATTTCAGTGGAGCTCAGAATTCAAATGACTCGCTCTCTACAGCGGTAGGTGAAGTGGAAGACTCTGAAGCAGAGGGCCCGGATCAAATTGACCGAATTGAGCCAGAAGCAAGTTCTGTCATATCTCCTGAAGCGGCGACTGCTGCTGTTGAGCTGAAAGAAATCTCCCCCGTGTGTCCACAAGGGCCTGTTGAGCCCGAAACCGGTGCAGACGATGGAACTATCGAAACTGATGAGCCCGTTAGCGTAGTATGCCCTGAGGTTTTTGACATTTTCATTCCCCAGAGAGAAGATTGTTCGAGGAATGCAATGCGGAAGAAAAAATATGCGGTCAGATTTGAGGATGCTGCCGTTGAGTGTGAGAATATTTGCAGCGTTCAGCCCTATTCAGCTACAGAAGAAGATTTGAATTCAGAAAATGAGGACTCACACATTCCAGGCAGCTCTAGAATAGAGAATGATGTTTTATTCTGGAACTGCTCAGATGACAGTGAACGAGGGGAACTGACAGATACTGTCGTCGAGCATCGCGACCGCATCGACCCGAGTTTCGAGAAACCGGAATCCCTTTCAATGGATGCTGGAGATGGAGCCGAAGGAGAGAAGAGCCAATGTGGCTCCATTGGGCAGCTTAATGATCAGGTTTCAGTGGGTCCGTGTATTACAGTACATGTTCACAACGGTGAGCCTCTGGGCATTGGAAGCTCTGGCGACTCGGAGAAGGTTGATTGCCTCAACTCGGATGATGACGTGAGCGAGCAGAGCAGATTAAGACATCAGGCTCTTATGGCTGACATCAGAAATGCTTCAGTTAACAGATGCGGAGGAGTTTCTGGAGAAGCCAATCTTATCGCGAAAAGTCGATTTCACAGCGAGCAGCAATCACACCTGCGGACCACTGCTGCTGGTGGCTACGTAGGAAGACCAGGTCACAATCACGTGACGTACGAAGGGTTTTGCAATTCTTTGGATACCCTCACGGAATCGGAGTGTAGTGAGGCTCTGGATGGCGTGGAAGAACAAGAGGGGACTCGTGACGTACCCCCCAGCAGGCAGGAGCAGAGACACCTTAATGACTGTGACCTTGCGTTGGGGAGTCCAAGGTTTCGTACAAACTGTGCGGACTTTCAGTCCATGCGCATCTCCCCCAGAAACACTTTTGACGATAGAACATCAGATGCAGATGCAGAGGACATAGAGTTGGAGAGCGACGTAGAGATGGATGGAGTTCCGGAAGTAGAAAATGTGAGTTGCTGTAGTGACTGTGCTCGACCGCCAGGCCATTACACGTTTGAGCGTTGGGGTGGTACATGTAAAGAAGAGCTATTACGCCTGAGGCATGCCTGTGAAGAATCTCCCAGAGAGGTGCAGGAGGAATATATACCTACGAGCTTCCAGATTGCAGAGAGCCTTGATGAGGTCTGTCGGCCGAAGGAACGATTTGATCGTCGCGAGCTTGATTATTGTGCAGACTCTTACACACAGAAACTTAGAAAGCTGAAGGAAGGAGGCCGAGCCAGAACATCGCAGAGCGACAGTCGCTGCACGTCTCATAGACCTGAGAAACCTCTTTTGCTCCAAAAACCCTCATCAGTTCCAGATTCTCACGTCAAACGTATCGGTCATAAGAAAACCTCGGTCATTCCTTCCACCGGATTGGTCTGCTCAAAACAAGATAGGACAATATCACCTCCGAGGAGCCGGAGTCGTTCCCCTTACAGACAGTTCCTGGACCCTGACGGGAGCAAAGGCATGGAAGCCCATGATGCAGATGAGATCGAGGATAGTTTACTACTAACTAAACTAGTGGACGACAACAAGAGACTGAAGGGACTCTTGAATGACGTGATGAACTGGAATAAAGCCCAGGCTACAGCCATGGTTAGCATGACTGAGAGGATCCAGCATCTGGAAGGTTTGAACATTTTGACCTGATGATGAACTTCATGTGTACAGTTGTCGACTCAGCAGGTCTACAAGTTGTGTGTCCTCTATAAAGTTGACTATTACCCCTGAACGGCGGTCAGTATGTTTCCTTGCAAGTCGTTCATTGCATGCGACTGCAACTATTTCCATGTCAGTCATTTTACATCTAACCAGTTTCATTTATACTTGCTTTTCCTACTCTTGAGAGGCGTGATTGATAATAATATACATCTACTTACACCTTTGAGTGATGGCTTTTCTTCTTTGACTACACTCCACGCGATCAGAAGAGATCTCCGAACGATCGAAGCGTGACAAAGGTCACGGCCCTCTTCATCAATTAGCAAGGCAGTTGGACAATTCTATGAGGAAGAGCATAGCATCTCCTTATAAGAGTAGGTTCCATATCGAGAAGCCTGCGAGGAACATGAACATGTATCGGCACATCAGTCAATGCGCTCTTCGTTACAGGAGCCTATATTGATCCCAATGCTTGAAGCAAAGGGCCTCGATTTGTCGTCGTGTCGGGTGATGGTGCTACTCGATCAGAATGATCAGACCTAATGACATTCGGATGCTCCTGGACATCGATGGGGCAAATACATGGGTGCTAGAAACAAGTCATTGTCTAAGAATGCTCTGAAATTCAACCGCGTGTCGGATCAATCAAAGCACACCTACCAGCGTCGTTGCTAGAGTAGTCAGTACAGTACTGATTGCTCTCACGTTGTGTGTGCGTGAGAGCTCGTCACGAGGTTGGCCTCCTGAGCGGTGAGGAGAGCTTAGGATCATATTGCACAAACTGGAGCACGTCGAAAGTTGCAGGGATGCAAGCGCCTGAGCTTTCTCGACCTTCCCTCCTGAGTTGGATTCATTTCAGCCTCGCTTCTCGGAGCTTAAAAAGTTTGGAGTGGACCCTCAGATCCGATGTCGTGGACGACTGAAATTCATTCATCCCCGTGTGAATGATAGAAAAGAATTGAACCCTGAGATCCGGCAGCCCACATTGGAATCGTGTCATTTGCAAACAATGACCATTCAATTCTTCGGAAAGCCCTCGGCAATGAGAATTCTCCTCAGGAGAAGTTGGAGGTTCTGGATAATGAAGACGGCTGTCGTGGGGATGGCGTTGGAGAACACTAGGCACGGATGAGGAGGAATGTCGATCTTTGCTGAACGAGGAGCGAGTGCAGCAACGACAACATCATGCCAACGCTCGAGCTGCGTCGAGATCTGCTATTGGAAGCTGCCTGAACTCTGGCAATTCCAAATCACACAGCGCACCTTGCCTCACAGATCTCGTATCACTGCGGATTCTTACAGAAGTCTCAAGTCAGCTCCTACAACCATCGACTCTGACTCAGCCACAAGAGCTAAAGAAAAGACACAAGAATACAAAGTTTTGGAAGAATCTGACATGGCTCCATTCCACCTTCACCAACTTTGGGAGCCGTGGTATGGCGTCAGGTGCAAGGTGGCTGAGTTCATGTATAGGACGACTCGGAGGCCGAAGTCCTCTTGCCGAGCGTTGTGCAGATTGCAGATTGCTGCTCTCGGAAGACTTTCGAATCTCTAAGTATCCACAAAGCGGGTGCTGGAATCGGATCAGCAATCGAACTTCGATCCTGACCAGATGAGAGAACCGCTAGAATGATCAGCGGCATGGCCTTCGAGCATTATGTACATCATGGAACCAAGGTGGGTGCCTAATCGTTTTTATTCTCACTCGTTCCGAAAGCCTACAAATCTTCGAGCTGGCAATTCCAATTTTTGCAGCCAATGTTTGTCTGAAAATGTGAGTTTGCACGTTCGCTCTCTGTGCGTGATTTCTGAGGTGGACATCTTTGTTTTCACTCCTCTTGACGTCGACCGAAGGAATTCGTGCATTCGCTTACATTTGTTTATTTTTGCTTTTGTATTCCTTGTATAATAATATATGGCGTCTGGACGTTGAGATTCATGTCGGATCCTCAGAATTACTCTTCCTGCTACCAAGCATGGCCACCAGTTCATCGAGTCTTCATTCAAACCAGAGCAAATTTTAGATCAAACCATGAGAGCAAATCCATTGGTCTCTTCAGGCTTGCAGTGGATCATTATTCGATGAGGCTGATGAAACAGGTCTGACACGATACGATTGGACACTGCTTCAATCAGATGTTTTGAAGAAGAAGACAAACTTGCTAAATGGCGATATACTAGAGCAGGAAGGAAGGAAGGAAGGAGAGAGAGAGAGATACTTGTAATGCTTACAGTTTCCTCTAAGTAGTAAATCGGCTGAATTAAATGATTAAATAATCGCTCATATACACTTGAAGTAGCAAGGCCCAGTACTTAAGTTAATTCTATGAGGCCAAGTTCAAGGTCTCTGAAGGACACAGAATTTGCGCTGCATGGATCTTCCTGTTCTGAAGAAAGCTTGGAAGAACTTTAGGCTAGACAGCCCTACTCAACTGTCAACTCTTACCCCCATCCATGTCGACAAAGATGCCAGCGGTTCCAGTGCGTCGGAGTGGCAACACTGCGCTGACGAGGCACTGCGCACTCGAACGTTGGGAGATTCCGACAGGGAACGAACCGCGGGCGAATTTATTCGGACGCCGATCGGTCTCGGAAGGGGAACCGACGAACGGCACTTTTGGATCACGCCGCTGGCTGAGGCTGGAGGCTGATCACGTGGACGGTGAGGGGGGATGAGCACCGGCAGCGCCGCGCTGCCCCGTGGCCATGCAGGACGGTCTGCCTCCACGTGCTGCTCGGAAAGCTCGAATCCGGATATTCATTCCCGCACGTCGCGGCATCCATCGCAGTCATTCGCGCCGTCGCAGCTTCTGAGCTCGACCTGGCGTTGACAAGTGGAGCCTCGGGGACATTGTTCCCCAGCCGTCAGAGGCACAGGGCGACTCGATCTGATCAGTCAGTCCGTCAGTCAGTCAGCAGCCTCGACGAGTAGATGGCCCTGGAATTCATTCATTCTCACTAACCAGTCAAATCTGTGAATCGCCACGAGATTCGTGAGATCGGTCTTGCCCGTGGTGCTTTCTCCGTTGAGAGACCTACGAATGCCTGGGGACGATCAGGACGTTTGGATCTAAGGGCGGAAGCTGTTTCGGTCATACAGGAACTCACCACAACTTCCCGCCCTTGGGGACAAGGTGTCGTATCTCACGGGTTGCAATCAATTGCTTTAAGGCGTGGAGATTTTGTCAACATGAGACCTTGTGTCATGGAGCTAATCGTTACGCAGTTGGATCTTTAGGGCACGGGTAAGAGGTCAATCGCAGAGTTGGTGCCAGAGTGATAATTTCGATGTAAAAAGTTATCACATCGACACCAAATCTGCGATTGACACTTTACTACTATAATGGATTGGGGGTTTGCTCTCTCATTTCTGGTCGAACAGTCAACGAATATTTCAAACGGTACAGTAAGCACATCGGAAGCTTAAAGGGTTCAGAACTTAGGGTTTAGGGTGAGATCTGGGCAAGCGCGATCATGTCGCGCATTCTGCCCTCAAAGCCTGCTCTGTGGGCGTGACAATGTCTTCGTTGCTTGTACAGAAACTATGAAGGCCCAAGTTTCTCTCAGTTTTACCTGGCGACGTTGGTTTCCTTTCCTCACTTTCTCTTGACGCATGTTTCGGCCTCACTCTTCTGCAGTCTTACAGATTGTTTTGACAGAATGTTGTACACACTGACTGGCACTTGGTTCACAAAACATCATGTTGAAATATTGTCAGCAGTGGAGGGAAAAAAATCGATGCACGATGGTGCACGTTCTAAAACATGTTGCAATTATGTAGATGGAAAGCCAGAGAGAGAAGGTGCAAAATATTCAGAGCTCTCACCCATCAATCACATGCTCTACCTTCGTGTCATCTGGTCCACGTCTGGCGTTATTAACAGCAGGGTCCCCATCGTCTTCGGTAAGGTTCGCTTGATAATTGCTTTCTAGAAATCGCCAAGTTGAAAAGCGAACGAAATCATTCGACGTGAACCAACGCTCGCGTGGTATCGATGCGAGAAGGGAGGATTCTGTTGATGACCGTGTGTCCTGAAGCTCGGCAGAAAGTGATTATCCCAGCAGTGTAGAAACTTGCCAGTCGGCAATGAAGTGAACATTCATCGACCGATGTTTTACGTGCCCTTGGGGACGGCGGAGTCACGTACCAGAGACTGCAAATCGGAACAGATGTGGCACTCCGATTTTAGAAGAGAGTAGATTCAGTACTTCGGTCGTTTTTAGACGTAAGCTTATGTAAGTAACGAAGAACCGACCTCCATTGTTCTCATGATCGGTCGCTATCTGTATACTATGACATCAACGAGGTACCGCAGATGTTTTGAAATCAAGACCGACACCGTTCACAAAACGAGGCAGTCAGCTTTCGACTCCGTGTAATCCACAGTTACCAGACTACGAATACTAGCTCTCAGACCCAAATCCGATACAGACTCGCAGTATATACTTTGCAGGTCAACTTTCCATGCTTACCTTCTCGATGCTTATGCCAGCAACCATAGCTACGCAGCTCGATCTCACGGATATTTCAGGGACTCACGCACTCCTGTCGATCGAAGACTTGTTGAACTGGAAAGCGGTCTCTTACTCAAACGATTATCTTTCGAAACAAAAGCTTTACCATTTCCGCTTACACATCAGCTGGATTCTCAGAGCAGTGACCAACTGTCCGCTGTACCCCAGATTCTCACGTTCCCTGCAAAGAAGATGTAACAAATCTGTGATCTCTGTCCCGAATTCTCACTATCTACATTTACACCCTGGACCACGAGCATTGCATACCCCAAGCTTGTCTCCACTGGAACCATCGTCTGATCTCAGTTGCGTCCACGAGGTACGTATACTTTATAGGAACCCGTCGGCGTGAGGCATGCTTAATCGCAGCTTTGGAATAACTTACATTGATGTCATATTCAAGGTCTAAAGGCCTGACTGCTCCAACTTGTGACTCCGACTGGCTGTTTTTCTGATGCTCGGGAATGTGTTTCGTTAAGCGATCTGTCAAATTACATTTCTGATCTTAATACGCAGTCCGATTTCCATGGAATTGAATAATATGAAGGTCGATCGATGGACTGCGTGCGTGCTCAAAGCCGAACGGTGGAAGAGGGAATCAAACCCGAGCAGCCATTCATGATCATGTCCAGCTCGGCGTCAGGCTACGGTCAAGGATGCGGAGTGAGTGAGAGAGTGAGCCTTATCTCCAAAGACAGACGAAGAAATGGCTCGCGGTGAGGAGGTAGGTCCGTCCTCGATCGAGATCGAGAGACGAGGAGCGAGGAGCGAGCAGGAGGCGAGAGGAATTCGAGGACTCGGGGGAATTTCGGAAGGCATCGCACAACACGTGGCGAACATGAGGAGCCGGTGGTTCACGAGACCTCCTCATGAAGACGAAGGGTGAGTCATCGCGCACCGGCCAATGAGGCACTGCCGCTTGTCGCCCCCTCACCTGCAACTGCCTATCTCAAGTTCCCAGTCCTTCAGATTGCAACACGTCATCCCCCGCCAAGTGTCCTCGCTGCACGTCGCGCGAGCTTCGCCGCGGTACATAAGGCTCCGAATCAGCACCTTCCTCTACCAAATCAGCACTTCCATCTCCATCAGCACCAACAGCAGTATCAGCAGCAGCAGCAGCAGCCTTCGCAATCGCCATCGCCATCGACATTGCTATTGCCATTTGCATCAGTCAGTCCGTGGAATTGCCTTAGTGTCGTCAGGGCGGCAGATAGTAGAAATCGAGATCCCGTCCCGTAGAGCAGCGACAATGCCTCAGTACCAGGCCTCGTCGGAGCATGTGCAGGGCGCCAAGGATGCGGCCCGCGACACGGCCGAGGACGCGAAGAGGTTCGGGCAGAACACGAAGGAGTCGCTGCGCGAGTCGTGGGACAGCTCGAAGCGATGGGGGCAGGAGCAGACGAGCAGGGCCAAGGCCAACATCGACGCCGGCATCGAGAACCCGAAGCGGAACGTGATCGTGGATTTCGGGCACCCGCTCATCAACCGCGTCTTCGACGGGTTCGTGAAGGTGGGCGGCGTGGGCGTGCTGCACGCCGCGTCGCAGGACACGTATGGGTTTCTGCTGCAGGAGGAGACGACGAAGAAGAGCCTCGAGAGCAGCGTCCAGCGGCTCGGCAAGGAGGCCGTGCAGTGGGGACTGGTCGCCGGCGTTTACTCCGGGGTCACTTACGGTATCCAGGAGGCCCGCGGCGTGCACGACTGGAAGAACGCGCTTCTGGGCGGTGTTCTGACCGGCGCCGCGCTCTCCCTCACCGAGGCTAACCCCGGCAGCGACCGGGTGCTCCGCGGCGCCATCACCGGCGGCGCCATTGCCACCGCCGCCGAGGTTCTGCGCAACATCACCTGAACGGCGCACGAGCGTCCCTTTCCGGCCGCGCTGTAAAATACTCGACGCCTTGTGCCCTTGTAATAGATTGCGTAGTTCTCTTGGTGACGCCGTCCGGCGGCGGGAATTGTACATGCTCATCCCCATCGCCATCACCACTACCACCACTACAACCATCGGTCAGCTAGTCGCTTCACGGCTCTGTATTTGTTTAGAGATGGCACTGCAGTAAAATGCTCTCGGCACTCTCTCCACGAAACTGGAATTTTTTTCAATTGCGCGTCCTTCTGAATTTTTTCTCTCTGAATTCCTTTTTTTTTCTCATAATTGGTGCCTCTCTGGAGCGATTGGTATTTGCCCTTGATCTGCCCATCCTTCGTTACACGCTTATGTTATCTGAATGTGCCTCGAGACTCCGTTCGGTCCAGTTTGTCCGTAGTAAATCGTGTGTAGTCTCGAGACTGTCAACGATTTTCGTTGAGTGGATGTGGAGTCGAAGTGCGCTCAATGTGTATCGTATTCACTTACTGCTTCCGAGGAGTCAGTCGTCACATTTTTGCCGTAGAACATTCATTTGCAATTGATGAGGATTTGGAGCGTATGATTTTGACAAACAGATTGTTATCATGGAGGAAGAGGAGGTTGGTGTAATGTAGTTACTGTAAAACTTGTCAGTGCAAAAGTTAATCAGTTCTGAAAAAGTTTGTTTTTGTTCTGATCGAATATTTCAGACAGTAGCTACATCTGTTCAATTGACCATGTGCCCATTAGTCGATTTTGATCCAACGAGTGAATGATGGGTGGAAAAATAACTGCATTTGCTATGCTTTTGTATGATTAATGAAAAATCAATTCCTGTCGGACAAAGCATGGTATATTTGTAATACGTTTGTGAAATTTAGTACCTTAACTAACTTTACCTCATAACGTAAAGCAGACCAGTTCATTCGAAGCAACGATTTACAACTGTATCACAGCTATTTTAGTGAAACTAGTGAGTCTCGGGTGTAGAGAAATATGTTCCTCTCGATAAAAAATATTGAAAATTGTCTGGACAATTGTATAAATTGTAAATGTGAGCATAAAGAAGTGAAAACAAAGGTAGAAGTGAAATACATTCAAAAATCGTATATTGTGAAAATTTTAGAATAAATACCTAATGTAACGGTGAAAATTTGTGTATACACTTACAATTACATTTTATCAGTAGCAAAAACATGTAAATATTACTCAAATAGGTTGGTAAAACTTCTAAAACTTGGTAAAACTTGCATATTTTGTATCTGTAACTTATTACTTCAATTTCACCTGTCAAAATGATAAATACTCGATATGAACGAATTTATAATGTTGACAAACTGTGATACTTCACATATTCTGGAAATATGAAAATTCGCTTCGAAATTTTTGATCAATTTCCAACACCTACTCTTATTAACATTTTGGAAGAGAAATATAATTCTCCTCTCAAACATCAAAGTATGTTAAAGAGTAAAACTCACAACCATTCGATATGAAAGATAAATCGTGGCCAAAACTGTTCAAATTCTACGAATAATTTCCAGTTTTACCAATTGCTTTTTTTGTAGTACAAATACTCACTCAGTTCCGAAAAAACCAACCCTGAATACTTAAAAAATGATATAAAACAAATACAACCAAAAAAATTGTGTCAAAACTAAAAATTCTGTCTAGTGAAAGAGTAAAAATCTTCCATCATAACTCTGTCAACATTTCTAGACACCGTAAATACACTTTCTCTTAGTGGAAAGAGACATTACGTATTCACTTGACCACTCCCATCTTCACTTTCTAATTTCATTCATGTCACTCTTAATTCTTCTTCCGTCTCTTTCTCTTCATACGGTTTGTAATCTCTGATTCAGGTAAAAGCCAAGACTCAAATGCTTTAATTCTCGCTTTTGAAAAGCATTCACTATAGACACTCTTCCATTTACCATCCCTGACTCCAGAAAATGCCGACCCTTACACTTAGTAAGCACGACTTTGGATGCTTGCGGAGCGGGAACCATACTCAGCACCTTCAGTTGACCGTATTAACCGTTTGCTAGGTCTATGTGGTCCATATAACAAACGGATAAAAATGGATATCACAAAAATAATTTTGCCCTTGAATTTCATGATTTGATCTCTTTTGCTTGAATTAAATTGAAAATGCTATACAATTAAAGCTTTGCTACTGTCTCGACAAAGTGGACCGAAGTTCTAGGTGAATATTCTAGGGATTTAGTAACATCACTTTCCTCAGAGATGTAAGTGCAAGACTTTTGTAGATGTGACTACCAGGAATCTAGAACGAATCTGTACATGTATAACGTGCTACAAGCTAACTGGATGGGGGTGAGTCCGGTTCATCTTCATCTGGCATAACATAGAACTCTATGTACGAAACTCTTACTCCCTGTGTTTGGTAATTATGGTTATGATCCATTGGGTTCTGTCGGACAGAGATCAGATGCTGGACTTTCAGAAGACCACCTTCTCCGATTGTCAATTTACTTCCTCTGTTATCCTTCAGAATGCTGCTCGGTATGTTGGCCGTTGTCGCCCTCAAATGCTTGTACTTGTATCTGCATCCACCAGGACACACCCACAGGTCCGAATCACGCCTCGCTAGAAATACAAAAGGATGAAAGGATGGACCCACTTCTCCCTGCGCAGGACTCAATACACAAGGACATCTTCCGTGAACTGTACCTGTAGGAAACCTCGCGCTCGCATTGGAAAGCAATGAAGAGATCTGCGTGTACGCTGTAAGGAAATACAATCTGCACGTGCGATGGGCATGAGGGCGTCCTCGTCAGTGGTAATAAAAGTGGGTGCAAAATGCTCGGGAGAGGTTTGGCTGTGTGAATGGTGAGTGTAGTTCAAAATCCTGCAGGTGAGATTGGACAGAAATGTGAAGTTCCATGCTCGAAAACCAGAGTTTCAAGAACATCCACCATGGAGACCAAGTGTGAGCCTCAGGCACACTCTCCTCGGAACACATACTTTCAAGTAGACATGCTCGAGAAAAAGGCGATACTGGGAACTGTATGCTGATGGACAGCCCAGAAAGTTCTGCAAGATAATCTGAACGGGGTAGAAATTGTGGAGAAGGTGCAGGAATTCAGTAAGTTCCTGGACGACTTGGACACTGGTCGAGGCGCAAGCTCAGGAAATGTACTGGAGTAAGGCAGACAGTCGACTGACCTGCAAGTCTCCATGCCCCTCTCCTTTGAAAACCACTTGAGGAGGATCAGGACACATCTTGATTTGAATGCTGGAACCAGGCCATTCAAGATCGTCAATCGCTTCCTTGAGAGAAGATGACTGCAAGAGAAACGGAATGACCTTCAGCATAATCTCTTGCCTAAGCTCAAATTCACATTTCCTCGCTTCTATCGAGAAGCCTCCGACTAGCCAAAGTAATACAGACATTCATCCAGCAGCAACTGAAATATCTATTAAAGGCACAAACCATACGTCTTATGCGAGGTACTTTTCATAATTTTCTTCTCTACAGCGAACAACCGAGCTCGTGGAGAATTATGGCTTACCTTGACAGCAAAGCACGTGGGAGATTGACCATCAAAGTTCCCATCGGCGCTAAAATCTCGAGGAATTGTGTCTGGTATCAGAGTTCTAATTTCGGCACTGTGGCATATATTATTGGCATCGACCAACCTGTCAAATGAAAGAATGTACATACATTAGGGTCACACAAAACTGGGATATGTGAGCAGAAAATAGTCGTAGCTCTCAAAAGAATTGTGCAAACATGTTGTGTAGAGTCCACTAGCCTTGCAAGACTGAGCCGCAGAACTTACTTGAGCATGAGTTGCATATCAAAGCCAGGATATCGAAGTTCCAGTGCAGTGGACCCTGTGGAGGATGTGAAGGTGTTGAGGCAATCTACGAGGAGATTGAGACTCACGCCAAATCGAGGGCGTACTTGGGCTTGGTAGTCGTATGTTCGGAAGAGCTGCAATGACAGAATCACATTCCATGAGCTCCAACGTGAGGAGACGACGACTAAATGAAAGCTCGGAACTTTCCCAAGAACGATCTCGTGGGCGTTTTAAAAAAACGGAAGATTCTTATGTTGTCGAAATAAAACTGAAAATCTTCGAAAACATATGTGTCGTGTAACCTCGTGCTTTCTAGTTTAAAGCTTCATTCACTGAAGTATTGTACCCTTCAATTCAACCATAATAGAGCTAGGATGTAAAAATGAGCAACGACTACATACTTGAAAGCAACAATAAACTGGTAAACACAGATGAAGTGAAGAGAACCTCCTTTCTGAAGTACACACGGGCCTGCAGACATGACCATTCCTCGACAGTGAACACCATTCCATGCTCAGAGATCTCACATAGTGCATCCTGTAAGCACGCGAGATGAACATGTATGCGCTTCACTGTCAAAACCAGTCAATTTAATCGAACAATATCGAGGCAAAAGCCTTGTCCGGCAAATCCACGGAAATCGGTGTGAGACAAACGGTAATTGACTACATGCATGAACTTGAGTCCACCAGCTAAAAGAACCCAAAATCCACATACCTGTTGCTTCTTCCAGCGTACAGAAGTCAAAGCATCAACCAAGCCCTGGACGTTGTCCAGCAAGCACCGCAATCTTCCCACATCTCCAGGCTCTGCATCTCCATCCCAGTTCATGTTGAATCCCTTTCAAACTGCATGGCGTTCAGGTACAGTCAGACGATCGAAATATGTAGTGCCACCACATGAACCACACTCTTAACTTAGGTCTGACTCGTAGCAGGGGAAGCGCTTTCCAACGCGGGCAATTTTCTGACTGACTAGTCATCCCATATGTTTTTTGGGGATAAGAAGCCAAAGCAATTCAGCTCCAATTACGATCGCCAAAAAGAAGGGTCCAAGACAATAAATGAAGAGAACACATAATCGCCATCCGACGTGACGCCAGAGTTACAGAAAAATGGATTTCCAAACTTCAGGCTCAGTCGGTTCATAACCGTGAACCTCTCCAAAACTCTCGCGGCAGACGATCACCCAATTGCAAAGAATTTACAACAACGAGCACGAAGAAAGTCAGCATCAAGAGCAGTGGCTAGCAAACGAACGATCAAATGCTATCTCTCTTGCGAGGCTCTCATGCAATCGACAGCAGTGACGCACACCAATGCCCGTCGAGTTGAGTCGTAGCCGTCATCATCCTCATGCTGTGATTGTTCGGAAGACCAGTCCAGAGGGGCCACCGAGTCCTGACGATTTGAATTGTGTTCGTTCCAATGTCGAAGACAGTGGTGGAATTGTCTGCGACTACGTCTGTGAAGGTAACGGGTGCTAAGCCCCAACCCCTCGGAAGTTTGAATGCTCCAGAAGCCAACGTGCTCCCGCGTCAGTCAGTCAGACACTCTCAGGAAGCTCAAATTACGTAGACCTCGTCCGCAAAATAAATAAATGCACCAAATGCACTCTAAACCCGGCAATTAGTCGTTAATGGCTTGATTAATAGTTAATATAAAATAGAATTAATAGATATTACATACCTCTAATCTGCTAAGACCATAAATTAGAAGCATCTAATAATCAAGCCCACTACAATTAACCCACTACAATAGACCATTAATTCTGTATCCTGCAGGGAACTAAGGGGACGAGGAGAGCCTTTCAGGCTTGACAGTAGATCATATTAAATGAATTAAATTGAATTGTAAAGTCCACGATGAGGAGGAAGCTTCACTTCTAATCTCTATGAAGATTTGTGAAGAGTACATGTTTGGCCTGAGCTGTGGTACAATTTTGCTACATGTTCAAATTACAGTTTTGCTCTGTCTGTGAATTCGAGATTAATTATTGCTACCGCAGATAATTATAAGAATATGCCAGAACTTATGCAAACTACGGAGTCTAAACTTGTGTTCTAATGTCAAGACTCGACACTGAGTACAGGCAAATGCTTAACTCAAACTTGAGTCCAAGTTTGAGTTAAGCTGTACTGTGCAAACTTATTAATTAAGTACATAGACTTCGACCTGTTAGATCCAGTTGTTATTTGGTGAAATAAAGTCCCGGGAGGACGAAATCTAAAGAGGACCCATCGTGGAGCAGCAGACAAAATGATCCTCGTGCTTACCTTTGAAGGTAAGTCCAAAGGACGCGGGGAACGCTCTTCGTCGATGAGCAGAGACGCTGACACGTCATCCCTCGTTCTGGTTCCCGCCAGACAGCGTTCAAACTTGGCTCTCTTTCTCGTTCGAGCTGATGCTCGCAGGACCTCGCCGGTGGCCTTCGATCCTGGAATTCGATTGAAGTGCTTCGCCGATGGTGCGGCTCAATTCGTCGTTTTAATCCCCGGGAGCTCATCAGCGGAAGTGGATGGGGTGATTCGACGTCTGCTTTGACGCAGAATTGGATTTGTTTGGTCTCGTGTATTATGCGGCGACATCTCGAGGAAATGGGGTTTTTACGTCTTCCGAGTGTGAATCTATCTTTGAACAGATTTTTCTCCGGAAGCGGTTCCAATTGGGTGAATTTCTTGGAGGACGTGAGGTGCTGATGCAATTGATCACGTTTCAGCGTCTGCACGCTCATGCAATCGGATGATTGTATTTTCTGACTCGAGGAACTTGCCGCATACGAGTGGATGTGTCAAACGCCCAGCCGGTTGCTGAGAAATTATGTGCTCCTTTATCGACACGGAAACATCGAAGCATTTTTAGACGCGAGATTTTTCAACGCGTTCGAAGATATATGTTAGTATAAGTCGAAGAGTTTCTTGGTCCGAATCTTGTGACGAAGAGCTACGGCTTTGAATTGTACAATAAAAATGGAAGCTTGGCATAATGACACGAGTGGAATCTCAGCGGATTATATGAAACAAAGATCTTTCTTCTGAATTCGTTATTGCTGATGGCATGCGCTTGAAGTATACAGAAATAAAGCAAGCAAGTGAATCGTCTCGCCATGAGGATCTCAGAAGCTCCGAGCTTTATTCGAAAACGAGCTGCCATCTACAACGAGGTTGATGATTCTTCTACCAATCTGTCAAAGAGACAGAAGAAGTTCGTATCTCCTGTTGCGAGGACTGGTATCCTAAAGCAACTCCCCAGCAACGCAAGTATAGGAATCCCGAAAGGAGGCAGCTGTGCCGCATCGGTTATGTGTAATCAGTACAACGTCACGAGGACTGCAGCTAATAAATCGAATCCTGGAGATATTGCGACAGGGGTTATAACCTTAGAGGAGGATGATGGCGATGGTGAAGGAAAGGTCTCAAATGACCAAAACAGGATTCAAGCAGTGTGCGAGAAGCAAGTCCTCTCAGGATCAGGGCACTTTGCGGCGAAGAAGAAAGCACGGCTTGGAGTCGGACTGATGAAGCCAAGATTTAGGCCGCCTGCACCGGCTCAGAGCCTCTCTGGACCTAGTCCCATACAAACAGATAGTCCTGGTTGTCCATCAACATCCTCTAAGTCTTCCTCAATAGCTTCAATTGTCCCCCAAAGTTGTCAAATTCCCAGGAAGACCGAGGAGCAAAGTCCCACAAGCTACTACTGCGTCATGTACTGCACCAGGAAGCCGAACGCCAAGCACAAAGGGCCTTGGTCGGATGGCGTTCTTGTCTGTCGAGGACGATCATGCACTTTGCAAGACACCGAAGGGAAGGTTGTGACCAAAGACAATGGCCATCGTGGTGGTGACAAATCGGAAGGTGCTATGTTTCCGGTACTGTTTCAATTCAGCGTTTAACTTCTGACGTCAGACTTCGACTGACAAGGAGATAGATTGGATGCACTAGCTGGTTAGTTGTGCTATATCTCATGAAATTTGAGTCTAGATTTCTGGTGTACTTGATTGAGCAGGATGGACTGATCCGAAGGCTGGTTATTCTCCTTACCTTAATTTCTATCTTCCTGGGGATAACAGATTGGTAAATTTGAAGTTGAGATATTGACCAAGAGTACCGAAGAAGCGTTCCTCAGTGGCAAGATCTTTACAGGGACACTCGACTTAGAGGCAGATATTACAATCAACCTGGCGCCCAAATCAAGGTTTAAAAGCTTCAAAAGACCGATTCTCAAACATAGCAGGTACTCTGAAGACTTGATCAGTTTGATAGATTAGCTCAGAGTCCAAAATGCATCAAAATTCTGAACTTTTTTGTTTGCTTTTACAGCAGTGCACGCGCTGGTTACTATATGCCTAAAAATTAGTTCGATCTTCTTTATGCGAAGTGTCATCTCGCCTCTCCTGATATCTAAAGGATTGTAAGAAAATGGTACTTTCTTTACATTAAACTGTTGAATAGCTATCCGACTGGTGTAAATTCAAAATATGGTTCGAAACCCTTGCAGAGATGGAACAGTCCTTCCTTCGACCACTCCATCAACTCATTCAGGTCCAACAAATCTGCACCGTTCGCTGAATGATCCTCAGAAAACTACATCAGGACAAAGAATTGTAGGTTTGAACAAACGTTTCGCAATTTAGCCCAGTACGAGTTTGCAAAAAGTAAAACTTGGTGCATTCCTGTATTTATACATCTTGGCACTCAAGAAATGCTGCTCTAACATGAAAAAGTTTTCTATCTTGCGTTGCTAAAGGTGACAGAGGACTCATTAATCTTGAATACAAAGGAGGTTCAACGAGGAGCCTCTCCTGTGATTGTTGACCCTGTAAGTAATACAAATGCAGTAAAATGTTGGCATTCCTCTTTCTTCTCTTTTAATATTTCGTTAAATAGAATGCAGAAAATTGGGGGATGTTTGCTGAATGAAAAACCCAATGCAAACCATGAAGAACAGTGGAAGTTTCATTGGAACGACGAGGGTTTAGTGCTTGACATTTTTCGTTGCATCTGATTTACAGTACCTGTCTACGAAGCTGAGGCAACATCAACGCGAAGGAGTGCAGTTTATGTATGAATGCGTTATGGGGTTGAAGAACTCTAAGTTCACCGGCTGTTTGCTAGCAGATGCAATGGGTAAGGGTCTACTAGCTTGAGGGTTTCTTATCCCTTCAGCATTGTGGTTTCTTCAGCACGACTAACTACGTAAATGATAACAACAGGTCTTGGAAAGACGCTTCAAGTGATTGCTTTGATTTGGACACTTCTTCACCAGGTAAATTACTTCAGGATTTGTAAGGTGTCGATGTTGAGTTTCCATACCGCTGTTTCGAATTGTTTTTTTCTCGTCTCCCTCCAGACATCACCATTTTAACAGATGCTTCAATTATGTTTCCAGGGTCCTAAAGGACGCCCTGCCGTGAGGCGAGTGCTGGTCATCTGTCCTTCATCACTTGTGGAAAACTGGGGAAAGGAGGTAATATTCAATTGTGAAACTCCTGTCAAACTATGTACTCCGGTTCAGGAGTTGCAGCTTTTTCAAGGCGAGTGTTATTATGTAGTATGACCATTGTATCAATTGAAGAACGTGGGTCAACCCGGTGTGTAGGTGCGAAAATGGCTGGGAAGTGAAAGATTAAATGCCCTGATAATCCATTCGGGAACCCCAGCAAAAGATGTGAGTGATCAAGAACATCTATTCAGCGTCGTTTCCCTTACAGATATGTAGTGCAGCGCTGTAGTGCTGAGGCGCGTCTAACAACATGTTAAGTCAACTAACACCTCGATTCGTTTACACAGGTGAAGCAGAGCATTTCGAAATTTCAAATAGGAAAGCTTGCTCCTGTCCTAGTGACGTCTTATGAGCTCCTTCGAAAGCATAACGAGGACTTAAGATCCGCCAAAGCTGAGCTGCTCGTTTGTGATGAAGCTCATCGACTCAAGAACTGGTATAAGTGCTTGAACAAATCCTGTGGCTTTGCAGTATCCGAAATAACATAAATGCAATGACTTCTAGTGTCAAGTACATTCCAAGAAAGCTAAGCTACGAAGCACAAGAGCAAGCTATACAAATGACAAAGCTGATTGATTCTCCTGTAACTTGCTTCTGTCACTCTTTACGAATGCCACACCTAGAGGGTATTTAAGGAAGTTGACACGCTATGTGTTTGCATGTTCACTGCTCAGTGCTGGTAACAAGACAATCGATGCACTCCTAGCTCTGAAGTGCTCCATGAAGGTTCTTCTCGTAAGTTTTCATATTGCGGTCTCCTCGAATGTTTTATACAATCTGGAACTTGATTGCCAGTTTTGACTTGTTTGTGCTCTAAACTGGTCCAGCCTTTTAATGAATTTAGTGAAGCCCATATCTTACCATTCCTTGCGGTCTTTACTATCTGCTAGATACCCTTTCCAATTGCTCTAGCACACTGTTAAGTGGACTACCCTGATGTATGTGGCAGACAGGAACCCCTGTGCAAAACGACCTCATGGAATTCTATGCCATGCTTGATTTTGCCAACAAAGATCTTTTGGGGCCTCTTTCTGCCTTCAAACGCTTGTATGCCGATCCCATCCAAAAAAGTCGTGACCGGAACGCAAGGTATTTTTTGTTTTGATTTGGGCCAACTGTTTGTGCAACTAGAGACATCTAGGCTTATTCAGACCAACATAGAATGCTTGCGCTGCTTACTGTGACTTGATTACCTCATTTCTTTCCCTGGAAAATCTATTAAGGAGCTGATCGTGGGCTACAGTCGTTAGTCTGAAGGTACAAGCTTCATTGTTCCTTGCAGTGACGAAGAAAAGAAACTGGGGCGCACAAGATCAACTGAGCTTCAGTATCGAACGCGTTCATTCATTCTGCAGAGGAGTGCTGATGTGAACTTGATGTATCTCCCAGTAAAAACGGAGTAAGTTTCTTGGACTTTCTTCTGTTCTACAAGTGGTGGAATATTATTGAGTCTGTTTTGAGTGGAGTTAATTTTCGAAGCAATGTACCGTCGAATAATTCTAATGGGTGTTTCTGAGCAGGCTTATCGTCTTCTGTAAACTTCAAGCTCCTCAGATTTCACTTTACCTGGATTTCCTCAAGTCTAAGGTGTTATTCGATCTCTATATTTTGAGAACATACAACATGCATTTGCGCAATGTCATCTTCAATGTTTCTTAGTGGTCTGAATGGTGATACAACTCACTTGGAACTCTTCTAACTCCTCTTCTGTCTCCTGTTTCTTGGAGTCTACAGACTGTTGAAACCCTGTTTTTACCAACGAGCCATTCCGCTGTAATTTTGTCCGCTATTGGAACTTTGAGAAAGCTCTGCAATCATCCCAAACTTGTTCAGGCTGAATTGAAAAAACAAAACAATCAAAGATCGTGCAACGAAAATGAGATTGACTCCTGCCAAAGGTGACTCATTTGAGCTCGGAACAACTGCAGCCTCCCAGATGATAGACATTACTGACATATAGGTTGTTATCAGTTTTATGTAAGTTTCACAATGGCTAATGGAAGGCAAGCAACTAATCGATGAAATAATTGTGTAACGCAGCGATGACTGGGGACAATCTGGCAAACTTGATTGCCTTCACAAGATGATTTCAGCATTGCATGCGGATACACATTTTGGTCCCAGAGATAAAATTGTTGTCGTCTCCAACTTCACTCAGACCCTCGACATCATCCAGGTTTAACTGGGTTCTGGTACCTGGAACCTTTCAAAATTTCTCCAAGTTCAATGCCAACTCAGGAATCCTAAATATTCATGTCGCCATTACGGAACTGCATCTGCTGTCGTTAGTCAATAAAGTTCAATAATTTCAGAATTTCAGACTTTTCTCAATCTCTTCCCCACGATTCATCTTTTTGCAGAGCTTGTGTGAGCAAGAGAAGTGGAAGTGGCTTCGACTTGACGGAACTACAGAAGTGTCTGAAAGACAATCAAAGGTAGATCGATTCAACTCTGACTACAGTGAAGAAAGAATTTTTCTACTTTCTTCGAAGGCCGGAGGAACCGGATTGAATCTCATTGGTGCCAACAGGTACGTTGACAACCCGTGTCAAATAATAGGAATAACAAACTCAACAGATACAGCTGAATAAATGGAGGAAGTGATAAAAAAAATTTCTTGCCTCGCCTTCTTCTTCTTCTGTGGTTCATCAAGTGTGTCCACAAATTGCCAATCAGATGAAAGTTTTCTTCGTTACTTACTTTCAATGTAACTTGGATATCACAGGCTTGTGCTGTTCGATCCAGATTGGAACCCAGCGACTGACGCCCAGGTAAACCTTAAGGATCTTTAAGCATGTAATATGCGGAGCAGATAGAGAAAGTCGGATCTAAATCTGTATGCGAAAAATGCTATGCACGTAACTCACTTCTTTAGTGTCTGTTCTTTCTTCAGGCTATGGCTCGTGTTTGGAGAGATGGTCAAAGGAAACCCGTGCTCATTTACAGGCTTCTGTCAACCGGCAGGTACACATGCAATTTCATGAAATTGGCCCCTCATGGATATGTCATTGATGTTGGAAAGCGCAGTCGACTATCTATTGAAGATGTTAATTCTAAGCTTCCTCTTACTTTCGTCGGTTGCAGTCTTGAAGAGAAAATATATCAAAGACAAATAATGAAGCAAGAAATAGCCGCAGCTGTAGGAGAACAAGTGGAAGGACAGCTCGGTCATGCTGGGCGTCATTTCAGCCGAGAAGAACTTCGTGAACTCTTCACATTAAGACTGGTAAGACATGTGACTCTAACTTCACATTTGACTGAGCAGCTTAATTTTAGTGTCAGTGCTGTGTCCTACACCGAGACAACACCTATACATGATAGTGTCTCATGCATCTGTATACTTACAACCTACGTTTCTGCTTCGTACTTCAGGATACCCGCTGTGACACATACGACTTACTCACCAAGTCAAGTGCACGACGAACTGAGCGTTGGAGGGACTACTCTGATGAGCTCCAAGACCACGCTTTGGAAAGTGCAATAAAGACAGGGACAGTGACATTTGTACACAAAGTAGCAGGGAAATTAGACAAGAAAATTCCTCTCTGTAGCTCTAGTGGGCTCAATACGACCTCTGAGTTATCAGAAGAATCAACAGAGTTAGATATTTGTGAGAATGAATCTTCTTTACTATCAACGGAATGTCCTCCGATATCACCAGAATCTTGTCAAGAGCCGCTCTTGTTCAATGGTAGCTTTCTTGCTAATAGAGACCTCTCAGATCTTCAACAACCTGAGAATGGAAACCGAAGTGTAGTTAGCGATAAAACCTGCTCACCGTCGGTTTCAACTGAATTTGAAGACGACGAGGATTTCAGTAATCATCCCGCTGGTGTTTCTGAAAGGCCTACAGATATAGAGGAACTAAACTACAACACAGAGTTGAATATTAACCATCAAGCTAATTCGCCAATGAGGTCTCTCTCAGTTGATATCAACTCGCATGGTCGTGATCCGCCAATGGGGGATATAGAAAGTGACATTGAGGTAGAGAGTGTGGGTAGAGAATGGGAGAAGTGCCGCTTAGGGTCTTGTAAAGGTGAGAATGAGATGATTTCAGAGGCCATGCACCAAGATATCAGGGATGAGACAGCCTCCACAAGACTTATAGAAGCCTCAACAAGTGCAATTTGTCAATCTGAAGGCGGATGCAGTTGCTTATTAGGAGACGAAGGCCACAAGCTGTTGAGTTATATGCTAGAAACTATTGGGCCAGTGGGATCCGATGTCGACGATCTAGAAGCGTTAGATATGCCTTTCTTGTCGAGTATGGAGTTGGAACTAGAGCTGGAGAGAGCGCAATTTACACCGCAGAAGCTTTGGGAAGGATTCAAAGTAAGAACAGTCTAGCCCATTCCAGCCTTTACTCAGATGTCTTCACATCATACCTCAAATTGCGGCACTCCAGGTTTTCTTGGCATACACATTTAAGCGTTTTTGTGGGTTTTGAAGCTCTTTGCTCTTGGATTCATCGTTGGAGCGAAACAAGAACAGATTTACTACAGCTGTTGTACTCTTGGTTAGTACAACCATCTGTAACTTATTACGTCCTTCGTATTGAATGTATAATGTAGTGTTTATCTAGTTCAGTTCTACGAACTCTGTCGATTTTCTTTTCCATATGCTGATAGCATATCCTGTCACAGGACTTATTCTGGAAAAGTGTAACGGAGACAAAACTTCATCCGTTCAAAGGTAAGAGAAGTGATGGTTTGCCAGAGATTACTCGTTCAAATGTGATTGGTAGCTTTTCCTGTTTTTGTTCTTATTCTTACATCTTGACTTCTAAAGTTATTTTATTTGAGTATATAAATTGCCCATCTAAACGAGATATTCTTTCTGAAAGTTAATCACTCACCACAGTATTGTACTCGTTCCTAATCTTTGTCAGTGTCCGCAGTGTGTTTTGCAAGGGGTTACCATTGGTGAGAAGTGCGCTTGGCAGGCGACATGGTGACAGTGCAATTGAACTGTCGCACCTCTTGAGCGTTTACGAAGATGTAGAACAACTATCCAGCACAACGAATGGAAGGTAATTAAAAGTTGAACGTCAAGTTGACTTATGGTAAATCTTCTTTAACCCGGTCGTATTGCTGACATATTACGCATCCCTTCTGTGCTGCAGATATCTGATCGAAGTTACCAGACGATGCAAGTCACTCGAACATAACTGAGCCCAATAAACTATGTTCATGTGCAAATAAAACGTCTCGTGAAGATGTCTTCAGGTTATGTCCATCATTACAAGATGTTAAATATATGAAATGTTCTTGTTATTGCACGATCAGTACAACCAATATGCATGGATCTCATATGATCTCATGAAAATAGCCTTTTATTCATTCCTCGCAAGAAACGGATTTCCGATTTGTTGTGGTTCTTCTATTCGCAGCATACTCCACTAACAATCAGTCATCACATTTGAGATGAAAGCACCCATTCTCATACAAATTGTAGTGAACGATCAACATGTGCTAGCAATTGGATCCAGAACGAGGAAGCTAAATAACAAGAGAATTCTTTTTTTCATTTTAAAAAACGCCAATTGGGTTGTGTTTATATAAATCAGTCTTATCTCTTCAACATGCCATGAATCAATAGACCATACGTTTCTTTTGAGATCGTTCCTTCACTCAATTTTCTTAAACATGGCACTCAACACGAACCATCGGTAGCGAAGAGAGCAAGTTCGACTTAAAGCACATCTCACGAGTATATAAAAAGAATTTGCTTTGGCATCTTAAGCGTTCACGTCCTTATATGAGCACGAGGGCATCAAAGTGTCATTAATGAGAGTATGGGAGGAGGCTCCAAGTCGGCTGGGTCAAGGCTGGATGATCCTGGCTTAGCATGCGGACGGAACTCGTCCGTGTCGTCGGCCGTTACGGAGCCAGCGATCGATTTCATTGCACTGACTTAGTTAGTTCGATTCTCAATCACATGTTCCACAGAAAATATAATTTGGAAATTGGTGACGACTGCTGAAGTGCATGAATCTGGGAAATGATGTAAGGTCCAGGTTAGCTTGCAAGTGGTGGGAATGGATATCGCCCTTGTGGTTGGCAAGGTTCTCAAACAGGAGCAAATCACGACTGTGGTTGGCAAAGACTGCAGACTATTCTCTGACGACGGAAGGTCCGAAATCTGTCGATTTGAATTCGTGACTGGGATTCGAATCGGCCAGCGCTTGAGGAAGAATGGTGTACAGCCGAAGCCTCCTTGCTCTGGGAGTGAAGACCGTCACCTTGGTTGCTCGACATTGCAGTGAATTGCAGGCCGCGGGCGGAGAATTTAGAGTTTCGAAATTTGCTGCTCATAGAGCCCATTCTCAGCTATGGACGCCTTTTTGGACACAAGTGAATCGCATGTCCTGCTGTGCGAAGGTGGATCTTCCTCCTCCCACTGAGGTATTTCTTATCTCGTGCCTGCAACCTTTCATTTCACTCTTTCGAGGGTCCTGTCCCCTTCTTATGATCGTCGACATTCAAGAAAGTAACTTCCATGGCGCGTTTATAATATCTAGTGCGCTGAAACTGGTCAGCCGGCCAGCATGGTTGAAATTGAGAGTGAAGCACTGGTTAGAACAGCCCAGCATTTCAAATCTTTTAGCTCAGCTGTTTTTTAACTTTGTCTGACAGTACCCCCGTTTCACCGACTATGCTGTGGATCGAACGTGGGCATGAAACGGATGAGTTTTGTTGAACATTCCACATTCTGCAATGTTAAGAAGAAGATGTTGTATGCCAGCGATAATATTATGGAAATTTTAGAAATCGATAATTGGAAAGCTAATCAATTCTCTCACTAGCTCATCCCGATCTGAAACACAGATAGTTCAAGAGCTTGACCGGACAAGAGTAGCTGCTTTTATTGCCTCAACAGTTTTCCTGCTTGATGTTTACAACACGTTGTCCTTTACCGGCTGAATTACAATTTCCCTTCAACTACAGTAATGATTTCTTTCAACTGCATCTACGCTCTGTTTCATTACTCTCTGCATCCTCAGACCCCCGAGGTTGATCATCTAGTACCTTATTTGTTTTGATAATCTGTCGGCAGGTGGAATAGGTGAGGTAGCCAAAGTTTAGTAGATTAGTGATCAAGGTGCAAATGCATTCGGGGCAGATTTTCTGAGGTGGAGTAGCGGAGTGATCCGGCTGTAGATGTTTTCACTTCAGATTTCCTTACCATCCTGGACGTATTAATTTGGGTTTACACCTCTGAAATGGAGAGGAAGCCCTGACCTTGTTTTGAGCTGTTGGATTGGCTCCTTCGTGTCACGAAGCATGAGTGACCGCTGAAGGGCTCTTTCCAGAAAGTTTCTTCATAGCTCTCTCATGTCAACAAGATGATGGCAGGAGTTCTTCAGGACTTTCAAACTCCGTTTTAATCTGGAAATAAGGTGCCTCAGAATCTCGTTATTATCCTGACGGAGTTCTCTCTTTTACTGTCTTCTAATGAGTGTCCCAATACCGTACGCATGGTGTCGCAGGTGACTGTGGAGTATCACGACAAACCAGAAATGACTGACTACTTCATTGAACTTGCGGACGGCATCGGTACGTTTCATTGTTGATGGTTTGGCAACTATTTATGCTCTTATGGAAAGCGACATAAACGCTGGAGAGCTACTGCACTCGACTGTGAATGTTGTTTGCTGAGCTGAACCATGGAATATTTAGAATGCTATTCCGACGCTAAGCCCCGGCTCGAAAAAGTGGCATGTCATCTAAAAAGTTCCTAAAACTTGCAGGAATTACCTGACTTTACCTGGTTTCTGCGCAGAAAACGCACACCCCGATATTATGGTCACTGGAAATCCCGAAGGCATGCAACCGAGGTAAGCATTCACTCGGCAACACCCTCATTCGTGCTCAATACCTGTTTGGAGACATGCAGTCCGGGTTTTGCTTTTGGTACATTGTACTTCATCTTGGCATCTGTTCATGGAGAGCAAAAGGTTTTCTGCTGTTCAGTTCAATGCGAGCTATTGTTGAGAGCTTTAGCAGTCGTGAAATGTTGTTCTCCTCAGAGTAGACGCGAGGAACTCTGCCGTTCTTTTCATGAGCTATCACATAACAGGGTCGTTTAAACTTTCTACTAAGCTACAGTTTCGTCGTTGGAGCAGGGATGGGGCGTTTGAAGTTACCACCGGTGCATACGTTCTGTTCTCTAAATTGAAGGTACAGTTCAGCTGTGTGGTAATCTTGTAGTTCCTTTGATGGCATGGGATGATGAACTAGTTTTATGCCCTAACTTGCTTCACGTCGTATCGAAGTGTTTTTCTCCTGTTTGAAGTTGATATCATCGGCACAGGTTAGACTTGTTGACTTGATAGTGATATTTGTCGAAAGCTAGTACTTGCAAGAACTCAATGCTGAGAAATTTCTTGTTATGTATCATGATAGAAATTATGTTCCATGGATTACTTGGTCCCCATGTTCGGAATTCTGACCTTGCTTTGAACATCATCATCAGGAAAATCGGCTTCCCAGCCTGGAAGATATCCTACGTGCTATTGACGAAAGACCAACTCAAGCTTTGAGTTGCGAACTGGAGAATGGAGAAAGAGCTGCGAATGTATAGGCCCAGCCAGTCATGCAGCTATTCGCTCAGAAGATTGGAGAATTGTCGTTATTCTTCCCATATTTTTTAGTCAGCAGTAAGCAACTTTGTACGTCTGGAACTTAACTTTTGTATCATAATAATAGGAGACAAGGTGTATTGCTAAATGAATGTGACACCCTAATGTACAAGATGTTCTTTCAGATGTGGCTTTGGCATTTTCTGTCTGTCCCAAGGATTTGTTAACCTACAGGTTAGACTCTGTAAGGGTAAATTGGAAACTCGAAGTATAGGAATTTTATTGGAACAGTAGAACCGTTTTTTGGGCTCGTGAGACGAGATCACGGTCCGAAGACCTTCCGTTCGTAGATGCGTAGCCTGATCCGTCTCAGTAAAATATCTTCAGCAGGTGACAACTTCGCTCTACTTCCTCGTGACCAATTTCATTTCGTGGGCATATATCGATGTCCAGGTCAAGTTCTTGTTTGAGGTTAAAACCTTGTGCATGGATTTCAGATCTGGATTCTTGACTTCGCTCTGGATAAATCATAGAGCCGTGCTTGGGTCATGTGGTGTAAGCTCCTTTGACGTGATTCGAATGCTGATTCTGACAACACGTGAGCATGATCTGAGCGCTTGGATCTTAAATGTGGACATTGGATATCGTACAGATTTGTCTCCGTTATGAGCAATGACCAAGGTATCGATCTGAAGTTCGATTCATTCCCAATATATACGACTCGTAGATTTAGATCTCGTCATGCTCAAATTGCAGACCTTGAAATCAGATCCGATAACATCACCATTGAGGAGGAATGAGTATTCCATGAATCGGCTTTCTGTTGTTGCACAAATTATCCGTAGACCAGAGTTTGCCGCAGAGGATCTGGATCAGATTAGATATCAGTCTTTGAAGAGTCCGATGAAGACCCCATCCTAAGTAATTCGTCATCCAATTAAACCATAATCAATAAACTGAGTCAAAATACTAATGACATCCTTGAAATAGATGTGTAAACTGGTGTGATATCATGACAATTTTTCATTCACATCAATTCTCGAGCCTGTATTGGCATGATGTTAACTGCCAACTGGATTGAAGTTAAAGTATGTTTCCTTATGAATATGATGTGAACTAGACCATCGGATGGCGTCCTCTACGTTGAAGTACCTCAACCCGACCCAGCATGAGGAATTACGCGATACCACTAACGCAGTATCGACACTGCATCAAAATAGGGAAACATGTGGCATGAGAATACTCAATGTTACTAACCAGAGTGTCCTATCCTAGAATAATAGAGAAAGCTGTGACGTCTGATTTTCCGGTGATATAGTTCCAACATCCACCACCGTCAAACTCGGCACGAAAAGCACCTGCGAGAGGCTAAGAAACATCTTTTCCAATTGATCCTCACAATGTTGTCACTGACACAAGGGAAAAGTCCCATCCCTCTTCATAGTCAAAACTTACATCAATGCCAACGTCTTACATACTGTGTTGAAAAGTGGAAGAAATCTACAGTAGTATGTGGTCGGTTGTAACTTTAAAACTAATTACTGCCCATGCTACATATGAAACAAACATTTTGCAACTTTTCATCTACAAAAACTTTTGGATCTTTTTGTATACCTTTTGCAATAAATATAAAATGGATTACAGAAAAATGAAACTCGAACAGACACAGAAGTAGCAAATGATCACTATGTACTAATTTCCGGAGTGTGATAGTGGTTAAAAATATTCGTCAATTTTTAACCACTATAAAAATGACGCCATTTTCGTCATCGACGAAAATGGCGTCATCTCGACTTATCGGAGGAGAACTGAAGCTTTACTTTTTTATTACATAGGCTGGTGATAATCTTAAGCATGTGTGTATATATACACGCGATAAAGGCGTAATTAGTAGTCCTAATTTTTTCAGCATTAGGATCGAGCATGAATCTCATCCGCTAATCTTCCTGAGACAACACAACGTGTAGCATGGCTGAAGAATTTGCAACCAGATCCGTAAGAATCAAAGACGAATTTACAATCTGCAAGTATACCAAACTTCAAGCATGTACCTTTCGATGGTTACCAGGAGTGAAGTTCGCTTCGGGAGTAATCTGATCTTAATAGTCAACTGGCTGGTGGGGTTTCATTAGATCGGTGAGAAGGGGGAAAAAGCATCTACTTAGCATGAAATCTTCTGTCAATGACCTGAAATTTGACCCCCGCTGCATGCTCCGAGCTTGCTTTGATCTGATTTCCACCCCAACTCCAGATTCGTCTTTATGTTTAGAGAATGCCCAACAGCTCAATCTGCCATCAGTCGTAGAAATATCCATTATGCTGCTGCCAATCTGACTACTGAGATGTCGTCCTCGACAGCATGTGCAACGCATAAAATCCCCCTCCATGTAGGAGGCCCTTAATACATTAACGACATAGTCTCAATAACTTGATACATCCGATCAGCTTTTTATGACATTATGAATTCTCCGAGACGAGAAAAATATTTGTATTACGTACCTCGATGAGAACTTGGAAAAGAATAATGTCAGAAACTCAATTTCCAGCTTGGTTACGAGTACAGGGCTCTCCTGGAGAACCATTTCATGCTCTACGAAGTAATCTCCGGATGCGTAGCAGGAGGAATCCATGTTCTTCAAGTTAGAGTCCTCAGTAATGTCTAAATTGTATCCGTCGCCAATCTAAAGTTTGGAAGAAGTGATATTTCAGTAATATTTACTGAAATCAACCCTTCCAGCGAGTATGTGAACTTTGTGAACGAGCAAGTTTGTGGTCCGGGTAGATTTGCGAAGAAGGTCTGGGTTGTGCATGCAGATTCGCAGTAAGGTCTTTGTGGGTAGGATTAAGAGGGATACTGACTCGATATCATCACTGGGACTCCAAAGCTCACAGGAATTTCCTTTCTCGAAGATGGCATGCTCGTGATCCGTAAGAAAGGGGTAAAGATTCTCTCAAATTCATCGATGTCGGTCGTCTGCAGATGCACCGAAGCTCTATGCTGTATCAAAATGTGAGTCGAGACAAGCATTCCAGAATTACATCTGCGTTCGTTTGCACGTACAACCTTTCAGCACAACAAATGTCAGCATATGTAAATCACAGATTGCAATGGGCGCCCGGTACCTATTAAGTGATAAGCACATGCATGTTCCCTTTGTGGTTCTCTTCCCCATCGTTTCGTTTCTAGATGCATTCTGACAGATGTCGGTCGGCTGAGAAAAAACAGTTGGTGCTTCGTCTGATCTTCGAGACTAGAGCTGTGAGCACAGGGCCTGGCGGTGTCCGAGCTGCTCTAAAGCTCTGGGCTTTGAGATTTCCCGGTCTCATCTGAGTTTTACTCCGACAAGGAATCCGAAGAAAATCCATGTCCCTCCACTTCCTTCTGATGCTGAATAGTCTTCTCTTTCACCTCCAGGTCGATCTGTTTCCCGAGAGACAAGAAATAATGAAGGATGATCCCAATCCGCATCTTTTCGTCACGTAACTCCTTAAGATTCTGCGCGGATACGAAGTTTCTCACAGTCTCGTCTTCATCATCTCCGCCAGGTATTTCGTAAGCTTTCAGTTCATTTCATTTTACATCAAATTCTGTTTAGAGGCGTTAATAGAAATTCTCTTTATTTATATTTCGAATGCTCGATGATGCATTTTTTTCCCAAGTGCTTTCTTCAAGTTAAAAAACACTTTGGATGGTGCAGAATCCTTTTGCCTCAACCAACACTTCAGAGAACCCTGTCATAAATCATATATTACCGTCACTTTAAGCCGTTTGAACAATATGTTTTTCTTACAATAATTGATACACCGATGGTTCTCAGATTTAGAAATAAAATGCACGTAACAAATAATGACTTAGCTTCCAATCACAATGGTCTCATGGAAAACAAAAGTTTCGATATTCTTTCCACGGGTGACAACGCTAGAAGCGGAGCTTCTGCTGCTGATGTCATGGGGCTGACATAGCATCGATGAAAGAACGTCCAAACCAGCAGCAGCAGCAGGTTATGGAATTATCCTTCAGCCGCTCAGAAATATGGGTTCCCCGGTTTGGCATGACGACGCGTTTGCAATTTGTTGAGAAGAAGTTGCACTGCTCGGGTCGGTCTGTGCCATTGGACGAGATCGAGTCGAGGTTCTGGAAGCAGTGAAGAGTCGAAGTCAAGCGCGAGCAGATTTACCGATCCGCTTCGTCTGACGGCTCAGGCGGATTTGGAGTCGTAGAGGCAGAAACGCCATGGCGCACACGAGCCTTTGATTGCATGCATTTTACATGGGGATCAGGACAAGTGAGATTATCAGACAAAGGAGAAACGAAAGCTTGTCTTGTCAGATTGTGGCACGAGCGTTCCACGTTCTGTACTGCCGAGACTGTGCGTCAATCCATAGGCTCGGCATTTGTAGGACTCAAGTGCATTGAAGAAGGCTCTGCAGCTTCGATGGGTCTCGTGGAGAAGAGACGGAAGCGGGCGAAGATCCTGAAAGGCTCTGGGTCTTCGCATCCACCAGTCATCCAAATCCAGTGGCGATTGGCCCAGCAGTGTTGCTCACCCCACCATTGCCTGCTCCGGCTCTAACTCGATTACAGTGCGCGACGGTCTGCGTTCGGACTCCCCCTGGACAGGAATCTGCATTGTGTCGAGGGAAGTCGGTTTCTTCGCCTCGTTCGGTTCAATTCAAAGCGTGATTTTGAATTCTCGCGTGCTCATCGACTGTGGTGCGAATGTTCGTCTGCCGCAGCTTTCTGGAATTAGACATGGTAGGCTTCGAGTGTCAAATTTAATGATGTCCAGGAGCGACGAGACACAGCTCAGATTGTGGAATGCTATGAACAAATTGACACGAGGAGCTCGCCACATTCTGGAGCGGAACTGGCATTGAGTCATTGCAGAGGATCGAATTGAGGAAATCTGCTGTGAAGGTAATATTCATGTCAGGGAGATACTTAAGGCTCGGAAGAGCTGGAGCTGCTGGAGATATTTGTCCGGATTCCCCAAGCCCGACTGTGCAAATAGAGTGGATCTAAAGTTACTTTAGATCCACTCGCGACAAGTCGTCCACTGTCATTCCTGTTTACAACTTGTCAATGATGCTGTCCCGTTTCAATCCTTCTCTCGGGGGACCAGGTGAACGACAATGCTCAACTGCTTTGGGATTGAATGTTTAGCAGGAATCTGCTTTCTGAACAAGGCACATCCCCTGTGAAGAGGTCGTGCCTCAGAGATGATCGCTCTGATCAGCGGCGGTCCCCTACAAGCAGAATTCGTCGAGCATCATGGATGAGCATGAAAACGAACCAAAATTGTAGGAGAACAAGCATCATGGCATCGTAAGCGACAACTTGCACAAAGCTGAGTCCCGTCATGTACTTACAATGCGAATTCTGATGAGAAGCTGTTGCTGCGTGAAATTGCTTGGACGTGTGTGTATGTATGTAGACTGTCATGGGTCACGCTGACAAACTCATCGACAATCTGCACCCTGGCGAGATCCTCGAGTTCCCCAGGCATGAGCTCAAGAGTTCTGCATCGGATAGCCCAAACAGACCACTGGCAGTCACTACGATGAAGTTTGGCGATTTGCGCACATGTTGGACTTTTAAAATCTTTAATTTGGATGAATCAGAAAAATGTATAAAAGATATAAAACTGATCATTCACTTATCAATGAAAATATATCAATTTTTGAAATAGAAACAGAATCATGACCTTGTGATCTAATATTCTATATTATGAAATGAGTTTCTGATAGATAAAAAATGAAAATTTAAAATTCATGCGAATTACAAAATACCTAAATATTACCAGAATGCAGATATCAATAATTTTGCTTTTCATTTATTCATTGATTTTTTTTTTTCGTTTCCAATAGAGAAGTGTTCACGTGGACTGTAAATAGGAATGTTCTGATATCAAGACTCTAGCTGTCTCTCACATTGGACTTGTCCTGGATCCAGTCTTCTGCAGGCTCTTCTCTTATAGCGCCTAATTTCCAGGCAGTACTTGCTCAGCATCGAGTACGTCGATCGGGTTCAGAGACTTCCTCTGCTCTCTCTCTCTCTCTCTCTCTTTGTCTGTTTGGCCGATCGTAGCAAGTCTTCGAAGTCTGTGACCATATTTTTCTCGTGAAGAAGGCAAAGCTAGAAATCTTCCATATGTCACTCTGTGTGGTCCGTCTGGTAAGGGAAAGTCGAGGCAGCTGGGCCTCGCAGATGCTTGACTCTGCTCTTCTGACACCATATAAACCTTGCAGGCCTTCAAGGCGTAAGGACTGACATTACTTCATGCATGCATAATCGTTAACTTCGTGGCGGCATATCATTGTCGACTTTCGATGGTACTGATGATCGGTCCCCAGTGGTTCCCTGTTCAGGTGAAGTAGGTACTGATTATATGGCACAAGCATTAAAGATTCACTACAGGTCTCGTTACATTGTCCTTTTGCTCTTTCTTCATTTTGATGGCAGGCCGGGACCTTCGGCGTCTTCCTTCATCCTCATCGTCCCTTTATATCCTTCGAGGCAGCGAAGCATAGATTTTCATGGCTAATGTTTATGTTCTTCACGTTCTCCTACTTACCACGGCACATTATAGAATTTCATCCGATTCCTGTCGCTGCAACAGGAGGATCCAGTTAAATCCCTCTATATGACCGATAGTCTATTGAGCGCATGAAAATTGCGTTAGATTATGAATATTCTCCATGCTATCATCTTCTAATTCTATCAGAACCATTTGACTATCAACTTGAGTTCAATTGGAAATTAGATTACATGTTTCCTCATATTTGGTTTGTTCCATGTCTTAAGGGAAAGATTTTAATAATTGAGTATTAGCTTTAGTCTATCTTATTAGACTAAAGCTGATACTCACTTATGTTTCATGTATGTCTCTGTGACTGTAAGGGAATCCACACTCAAGATTTCGAAGCAATTCGAGTATTCAATTTTTTCCAAATGCTGGTGACAATTATCAATCACTATTTTAGAAAATAAACTACATATTAGTTTTCGATCATAAGTACTTCAGTTTATTTTCTATTCGCCTGTAGAGATCATTTACTTTTAGATTCAAGTCACGATCGCACTCTATTTCAGATGGGTAGGAGTGTAACATGATGTTGAAAGGTTTTTATATCCGAGTTCAAATTAGCAGTACTTACTGTGAAAAAGAAGTCTGGGAGAGACTGAAGCTGTATACCATAATAACTTAAGCAGCACTCACTTCTTTCTCTTATTAGTGCATGTACGGGTGCACAGAGAATCACCACCATCGATTCATCGATAAATGATGTTATTACAGTACGTACTTCTAGTTCAGATGGAAGCCGAAACTCAGAGCACGAGAGGCTGTTTTGTAGTTGCTGGTGCAAACGGAGGCTGTGAGATCATGCCCAGGTATTCAAATTGAAGACAAGGTGATGCAATGATGGCCGATGTTCGTGAGAGTGAGACACACACAGAGATATCACACAATGCTCGTATGGGTGATACTGGATGGTGAAGGCGAATCTCACCCCCTGCTAATCGAGATTGAGAAATGAGAATTGGTTGTATGTGCCACGATGAGAACGCTTGACAGGTTTCAACCGAGTCGGCCTCTTGCAATTTGCAAGAGGTCGAAGATGAAGAGAATTGTTCATTGAGATTTACCTCCCATTATCCATCCGACTGTGATTTCGTGACAATTTGCCATCTGCTGTCTGTCTGTCTATGGGCGAGCGAGCTATTCCAGGGCCAGATGGTTCAGACCTCAAACAATCTTAACCGAAACCAACCATCTCTGCCCCCCTTCACAGCTCAGAGATCGTTGCATTCAATTATATTTGTTCGGGGACCATAGTCTTCGTCGAGTCGTCGGACCCGAGGACTTCAGAATCCAACAACACGACGCCATGCCCGAGGGATGATGATCCTTCGATTACACTCTGACCTGAAAATGGTCAAAATTCAGCTGCACCATCGTCATCGTCGGGAAGATTTGACCTTCCTGCAGACGCGAGCTTCCTTGTACACGAGGCCAGGGCGGCAGAAATAGCCCGAGGCCGGGGCGCAGTGAATGTCCTCGCTGCAAATGCAGAGCCCGTCGAGGGCGCAGAATGGCGCAAACTTCTGAAGCGTGGAGGCTGCGCCGTCCACATCGAGCACGGCGTCGGTGAACTCGTTGGAGAAGAGTCGGTCGGGGTCGAGCTGCTTCATGGCGCGCAGAAACCTCGGCAGGTCCGGGTACAGCGAGGGCGTGGTGGCGAAGGCCACATTGCGATTCTTGGCCCAGTGAGGCCGAGCTTTGTACTTGAACAGCAGCATCTGCTCGATCTCCTCCATCACGTCCTCGTCCAGGCGTGGCGTCTTGGGGTCCAGGCTGCGGTAGTACGTGAAATCCACATCCACCGCATCCTCGAGCTCGCCCAGAAATGCGCCGCTCGATTTCTTCACGTAGCGCATGAGAACTCCCAAATAGAGCCCGGGCCCGCAGAGCGCGCTCGGCCTCAGAGCCACCATGGATTTGACATCGACGATGAATGCGGCCACCTTCGCCAGTGGCACCGAGAATGTCGTCTGCAGGTAGTACGAGGATTTGGTGCGGCGGTCCCATGGGCACACGAACGTGGGCAGCGTTGCGTCGTCGCATGGCCCGCTCGTCTGCAGCGAGTTCTGGTAGCCCACGATCGGGTAGCCCGTGAACAGCAGCCCATTGCTCGTGTACCCGAAGGCCGTGGCCACCATCGCCGAGTGCACCGCCGCCAGCTGCACGCACTTCTGCTCGCCGCTCTGCAGCGCCTCGGCCTCCTCCTCTGTCATGTCGCCCACCACATGGTCAGGCTTCTGCAATCGATCGAGCACCTCCTCTGAAAGCTATCGATGGCAATCGAGCCATACGCTATGACTGTTTACGATCTACGAGTGCCGATGTCGGACGATCGAATTTTCTGAGTCTCGAGGAGCTTGAACCGCTCGATGACTCCCAGCTCCTCGAGACGAAGCTCGAATTCTGCAGTCAGGATTCGACAGTTTCGATGCTGCTCGATGACTCAGAGCTCTTCTAGTCTAAGCTAGAACTGTCGGTGACTACTGACTGAGTCATGAAGTCAGGATTGCGAGCAGCGTGATGATTTAACTTCAATTCCAGGTTGAAGCAGTTTTGTGCCTGAGAGGCTGGTTGTTGGCTGGGGATCCACCAGAACAATTTGTTCAGGTGCTCTACGCTGCAAACAGTGGGTTAACATCAAAGATTATCATCGCTGCAGAGATCAGCTATGCATATACGGCATCGAGAGGTGGACGATTGGATAGGGAAAGAGAAATTTTCAAATCCATGCTCTGAGCGTCAGATGCAGTGTCTGCTAGAAAGGGTGAAGTGCATGCTAGAAAACATTCTTACAGCGTCAGGATGCTGCAAGAATGAGGTCGAAATGCGCTCGTTGTACTCGAGCGTAACAGTCAGCTTCAGCTGCTGTGCCGAGTCTCGATAGACACGAGAGGTAATCCAGCATGACACTCTGCAGCTTGAGCGTATGAGCTACGAATCAATTCATGCTCGAACGTCAGCCAGTCAGCAGAAACTGGCAGTCCGTTGTTTGCTCGATCTTTCGAGGATCTGTGCTTTACTTCTGAGCTGATGCTATGAGGACGTGCTGCTAGCCTCAAAAATGTTATTGTGAACAAGATCCGCCTCGATATTTCAACCTGCTGCGACATTTACATTCATTTACTTTCACATTCGAGTGTGTCCGAGCTCATGTGGGTGGTGATGGGGCACTGTCAAAGATGAGATCTATCGGGACTCTAGAGCCAGGCATCGAAATCAGCAGTGAAGATTTCAGACGTAATTTCAGACTGTTGTGTTCTTATGGTGGACCTCAACGAGGTCAGTTTGTAGCGATGGAAGTAGCAGAGTGCGTCAGTCATGGCAGCAGAAGATGTACGCACCAGAAATCCTATTGGCCGCGATGAGGGCCGAGGACTGAGCTTGAAATCCGGTGAAGTTATTCGTCCCTCGACCGAAAGTGCCGAGGGACACTCGATTGTCGAGCCTGTAGACGGCGAGTTTCAGCGCAGGCTGCCAGAGGATGTCACCGAACTCGTTGTGCCATGCGTTCGGGAGGATCTGAGACTCGAGATCGGAATCGGACTTCTGCACGAAGGTGATGGATCTCTTGAACTGAGGCTGCAGCTGCAGCGTGATCGTCGACACGACTCCCAGCACGCCCAGAGACACTCGGGCTGCATTCAGAAGCTCGTCGTCCTGTCCTGCCACGAGGCTGATGACTTTGGCGTACCCTTCGGCTGCAGACGCAGGCACCACGAGCCTCATCGCCGTCACGTACTCGTACACGCCGCTGCCTTTGCCCCACAGGCCACTGCCATGAGCGCCAGTGGCCAGCACTCCCGAGATCGACAGCCCCGCCCAGTAGGGGAGATGGGGGAATGCCAATCCATAGCCAGCCACAGTGTCCACGAATGGCTTCAGGCGGACCCCGGCATCGAGGGTGGCAGTCTGAGCAGCTCGATCCACGACAATATTCTGGTCGTAGTCTCTGGTGCTGATGATCAGCCCCGTCCCATTGCCGCCCGGACAAACGAGCTTCGGAATGCTGTGGCTGCCTTTGCTCACAACTCGCATCTTCTGCCCATTTCTGACTGCCTGTGCCACGGCTGCCACGAGCTCCTGCTCCGTGCTCGGGTACACCACTGCTGCAGCCCTGCACTGGCTGCGATCTGGAAACTCTCGCAGGTAGTTCGTCACCGAGCAGCCTTCGTTGCCCGAGCTGCAGGTTACTGTCGGCACCGATACTCCCTCAGTCGTGTCGAACTGGCATGCTAGAGCCAAGACCAGGACCAGAGCTGCTGCTGCTGCTGCTGCTTCAGGCAGGACCCATGGCCAGCTTCGCTCATCCCTCATTCTCCAAACCAGCTTCAGATGGTGGATGATGGATGATGCTGACGATCTTCTCGTGGCTCTTGAGTTTCGAAACACTCGGCTGAGACCAAGAAAGATATGGAGTCCGGTGAATCTCGTGATTGTTGACGTGTTTTAGCGAGTCTCGAGGTGACTGGAGACCTCGAGTGCTTACAGATGATGGCAGCGATTCGGGTTCAGGAGCTTTCTTCGAAGAAACGCGAGTCTAAGACATTGATGTGGTTTCCGTAAGTCTGCCTGTCTGTCCTTCGACAGATCTGAAATCGAACCACCTCGACATCATATATAAGGCAGAGAGCAAGTTCTGGCTACTCTTGCTTCAAACACAAATTACCTCAATTCATATCTCACTTTTGAATTGATATTGAAACACGAAGTGAGCAGATTTAAATGCCACCTGGAGGGCAAAGAACCTGGCCTCCAATCGATTCTTGCCATCCTTTTTTGGCGTGGCTATCCATAGGGCCCCCTTTTACTTCACTGGGAGGTCGGTTGCAGTCATCTAGTGAATTGTGCCTGAGCACCAGATATTCAGTTCTCAAAACTGAAGATCGAATGACTTTACAGTCATACGGGAGGACCAGTGTCATTGGTCTATCGTGATCCAAAACCATGTCTAGCACACTGTGACGAAGAACTAAAGTTGGCTCCTAGAAAGTTGGAATATACTATTTACCACATCGTTTCCCTGTAATGTCGGATGGACTGCCTCCTCCCATCCTCTCTTGCCAGAAGCGTTTGTGACCTGGATAGCCTCTGTTTGGTTTCATCGATGGAGTCTTCTCATCGTGGCTCTTTAATCGGCACACCTTGCTTCACTTATTCCTTTAATACAATCCCGCAGCGATTGTGAGGTGGAGAGCATCTCCACATCCTCGGTTCAATAGTTGTATACGTAGCCTAAGAAGTGATACTGTGATTTGTCTAAACACAAAGTTTCTGTAGATTTAAGTTTGAAGAACTGTCTAGTAACATCATGAATGGATAAACTATTTATGTATGTATCAACCTTGGGATATGTTTTCATCTTCATGAAAAAGATTTATATAAATTTTGATTCTGTTATTTGTTTATTTGTATTGCTTTGTCCATCAATTACTTAATAAAATTAATTTGCATATTTATAAGTCGGATTATAACATGATACCATTTTCAATTGTTTGTAAACTTGTGTGTGGAGACATCTTTCGGTATACAGTACAACGAGAACTGACATCTGGATCATCTGATCCCTACAACTCTGCAATCACCCTCGCCCTGCTGATTGCAGATCGAGACAAAAAGGATGCAAGGATCGAGACAAAAAGACTCTTGTTTGGAGACTATTTATAGACTCATGACCCAATAATGCTGCACAAATAATGCTCATCCGGAAATGTTCAGATGTTCATTATCCAACTTTCAAGGAGCTCAGATCGTTTCGTGACGAAAGTGTCCACCTGCTCGTGTGACGCGTGGATTCGTCGTCACCTCCTTGGGAGACATTCATTCATTGGCTTCTGGAATGATGAGAAGCGCATGTGCCAGCTCGGTTGAGGGGAATGAGTGTCTTCCGTCCCTTTTGTCGAGGGCGGTGACCATAGCACGAATGACATGACGATCGAGATCTGCATCCTCTGCACCCTCTGAATCTGCATTAGCTCTTTTCAGGAGAGGTTTGGATCCACGAATCCATGCCGAGTCCGAACGCGAGAGCACTGCAGAATGTGCGTGTCGAAGTCAGATCTACCTCGATTGGCTTCCATCCACGAGGTGCAGGAGTTACAAATTACGAGTGCTCGAAGTTGTGAGTTTGTTGCACGTCAGTGATAAGCTGTTCAGGAGGCGAAGCATTCCAGCGCAGCAATTTCTTCGAGGACCCTGCCTTTGGAGAAAGATGCTTAGCTGGAAGGGTTGGCTTGTTGCTCTCAGGTCCATGCCAGAGATTTCAGCCACACTCAGTGCAGTGATGGGATTCAGGCCAAAGCGTCTCTGAGTCGGTAAAACTTGCAGGATCGGATCTCCTTCATCTGAGTCACGGAGGTCTCGTTGAAGGCTTGTGTGGACGAGACAAGTTTTCTCGTCAGAATTGAGCTTCATCGACGCAGTGGTGTGACTGAAGTCAGTGCCCGGAGATGTGAGCTGACTTTCGACAGATCAGGCAATATCAGGATGAGTTTCGTTCTTCTAGACACGAGCTCCGAGGATGATACATACCTCGGAGCTCGATCGACATCATACACCACCCATCGAGTTACTGTCGAATTCGAAGGTCGACAAACTAGCTTCGGACATTGGTTAAGCATCGACAAGACGCTCCAGCCGATCCTTCTGCTGCAGTTTGTGGAACGTGGCGAATCTTCCCCGACACCAGGTACTGGTCGTTGTTTCGAGAGAAATTTCGCTTCCAGTTTTGAGACATTTGAGAGATGCAATGGCAGTCATCTGTCATGGCGATCATCGGATTTCTTCTGTTAGCTTTTGGAGTATGCCATGCAAGCCTTCGAACGACGAATCCCGCTCAATGGATTGAGCGGGATTCAACATGAGGCTAGTGAAAAATATGTCAGCATCTGATCATGATCTGAACTGAAGGCACCGATGGATGGACTTCCGGGATTGTCAGGGAGGGAGATATGGTGCAATGGGTGAGTTGACAGATCAAAGTATGTTCTGCCGCCGTGTACAAGGAAGCTCGCGTCTGCAGGAAGTTCACATCGTCGTGACGATGGTTCAGCTGAATTTGGAACTTTCTCAGGACAGAGGCTGTGGCGGTGTGATCGAAGGATTATCTATCGGCCATGGCGTCGTGGTTGAATTTTGGTGTCCTCGGGTCCGAAGATCCGACGAAGGCTATGGTCCCCGAACAGATATAAATGAGAGGAACGATCTCTGAGCTGTGAAGGTCAGAGATGGTTGATCAGAGACACTTGTTTGAGGTCTGAAACATCTGGCTCGAGCCCTGTCATAGACAAACAGACAGACGGCAGATTGTCTCGAGACGGCAAATCATCATGACTCTTGGTGAGGTTTTAACAAAGAACAGAAGACCATCCGGAGCATTTGGATTCCAGATATCACGATCTGGTACGTGGCATCACAATCGAGTGAGGATTGGAGTGAGGAATCGTATAGTGTCTCTGCAGATTCACTTTAAAACTCGTCAGTCAGTCCTTCACATCCAGCCGTTCTCAACCTCTAATTCTATCGATGGGTTTGTCAGCAGCCTGGCAAAGGTTAGAGTGGCCCTTGTCTGATTTCTGATCATGGTTTGGCACAGGAAGAGTTCATGTACCTCGCATAGCTGCTTGGCGAAATCAGTCGATGAAGTATAACTTCATAGAACGAATTGGGTGCTGTCCCATTCGACCATTTACGTGCGTATCGTTCATCATTTCCCCAGAGGCCAAACTCGAGTATTCCGGGATGGTGATATTATCGCAGTCTTCGAAGAATTCGAGTCAGAAGGGCAGACTTCATGGCTGACGTGGTTGTGACGTTGTTTCAAAGTTTGTCGTGGATATAAGACTTCACTCGTGCTTTATGTGATCTCACAAGCCATTCACTTCTCACAATCCATGAATTCAATAGTGTTTCAGTAGCAAAATGTGATTCTCTCGAAGTGCGATCCGTATTCCCATAACAATTGACACTAAGTTCAAAACGTCACATACTACTATGTAATTATCATGCTCCTAATACCATACGTACACAATCGATGACGTTACCATATATATATCATGCTCATGATTCCATACGTACATAATTGATGACGTTACCATGTATTTATCATGCTCATATTTCCATACGTACATAATTGATGACGTTACCTAGTGATTTTCTGCTATAATCATATAGGAGATTCCACTGCTAAAGCTTCGTATATATACAATATAGTAGCTCCATGAGAATTTGTACAGGAGTGGTTACACTTGGCGAGGTCCGTGCCCACGTAACATTTGATCATGTAACACTATATGATCCGATTCTATTCTATATATATATATATATATATATAATTCCTGAAATTTCTCAGATGACAAGAGACGATGAGAAAGTGGAAGTTCAAAGACTCGGAATATTTAAGTTTTACTTTGTGTGTGAATCCAAATTAGATCCAACGAGGAGAGCACGCGATATGTCGGTCAACATCCTGCAGTTCTCCAAGTTCAACAAGGCACTGAGGTGTACAAACCTGTACACGCCCACAGTTTCCATCTGTTGCTGCGATTCAACGGAGGAGGATTGGGCATTGCAAAGTATGGAAGAAATCTCGTGCAAACAACAACATCGAGCAACAATGACTAGCAGGCATCGATCCTAGAGCGTGATCCTCTAGATTCAGTTCAGGTCCACTCGTGACCTTTAATTACGTCAACTCTTGTCTACATCCTGACAAGATCTGCGGCCATATCTGCGGCGACGAGAAACTTCCTCTGCATAACTCTTGCGTCCCCATGTGAAGGGGTTTTGAAATTGTAGCAACCTGCGGCCAGCAAAGTGAGAATTCAGTGTCCAAAACCATGCTGCGGAGTCGGAAACGAATATGCAATCAAGCCATATATAAGGTCAGCGTCAGCCATGAATTGTGGTGTTAGATGCAAACCTGTGCAAGACTCCCCTTCTGCCTCCTCGAATCCTTCAGAGATTGCGATGATACCACCATCCTGCAACACTGATGCTCGGATTTAGCCACTAGCGGAAACGATGTAGCGACAAGTACGTAAATGATCAGCTCGATGTCGGACAGCAGCAATGTCCTACCATATCATACTTGATCGACTGATTTCGCCAAGTTGCTAAGCGAGGCACAAGAAGTCTTCCTGTAAGCAAGACCATGATCAGATATCAGACAAGAGTCTCACATACCGTCCTCAGTGTGGGTACGCAACTATCAAAAGATCGGTGATGAGAAAGCTTCTGAACGGGTTTTGAAGTGAAACTTGCGGAGTGATAAAGCATACAATTCCTCACTCTGCTAAACGGGAAGACTTGTATCGATTTTAATCGTACGTACCAGATCGTGATTTCTGCAACCCAAATGCTTCGGGTACTCTGGTCTTGTCAGCAACTTTGGGTGCAGGAAGAGGAGACGGAATGTCTCGGGATATCTCGAAAGACCAAAGAATAAACCGCATGCGTTCCATGTTTAGCCCTTAGCAGGACAAGCCAAACTCACTCTAATTGCAACCGTAGAAGCAAAAGCACTTTCGGATCAGCAGCGAAAGATCGGATTAGGCTAGAAGCATGAAACAATTCCAAATTTACTCGTAAGCATTAAATTAGTTTGAGCTCCGTGAAAAAGCCTCTGCAATGCACTCACAGGGGCCTTTGAGTTGACCCTTCTCCTTTTCCGTCGTTGGCCCAAAGGTTCGTGCTTTGGCCGAGTCAGAAAGTTGTGTGAGGAACGTGGACTGTCGGAGAAGAACCTGTCCAAATTCGCTGTGTTAATGTTCCTCAGGCACCTCAATCTCGTCACTTTTTCACCAAATTCAAGACCTCCGTGATAGCCACCATCTGCCTCGTCGAGATCTCCCGGGCCATCCCCGAAAGTCTGCATCGCATTAGAGAGAACTCGCAGGTGGATCTTCCTTGCCCCGTGCCTTCTTTGCCCAGGAACTCTCCACAAGCGCGAGCTAGCTATAAAACTTCTGATGAAGCTCGTTCCACTGCACGACCTGCATTGCTTTTTAGCCGAGATCCGAATTCAGCATCCCGATTCAGGACACGAAAGGGGCAGCTGATGACCAGCTGAGGAGTTTCTATCTGCAGCTTCGAATCCGTCTGCGGCTTTATCCATCTCTGAGACTCGCTGCCGTTTCATATCACATTGCTTCAGCTCGGAAATTCCTCGACTATGAACTCGCCTCGCTGCCCCTCTCGGATCCCGATTCTATCTGATCATATCAGATGAGCTTCTCCAAGCCCAAGAAGAACTCGCTCTGAGCTACTACCCTCCGCCTCCACTCTCCCAGCGAACGTCCAGTGACGAGTATAATCTCTGCATGCATGTGAAAGCAAACTTTTCACGGCCCATAGTAGCTGCTGCTGCTGCTGCTGCTTGCATGCCGTGACTCGTAACATGACCGTCCAAAGCTTACGTGCAAGAATGAGATGTACTCACTCTCTAAATCATATTCGAGAACCACGTGCAATTGAATTTCCGAGTAGAATACGAAACCTTTCGGGTTGGCAAAATCTGTCTTTTCGGCGAAAGGTTCACTGCGTCACTTGCATTCACATGATGTCTTTGCGCGCTTCCTGGAGACACACGCAACCATCAATGCCGTGCTTGCCTATGTGGTTACACTCGAGGTCGGTGCGATTTATTTCCGGAACTTTTTGGCTCCCTACCTCTCGTCGAGTGTGGTTTGGAAGAGGTTCACCACCTCACATTCATGCTTAAGAAATATGATTGTCCGATGTCAGACAGCACACCTCGAGTCGGACAAAATCGCACTTTGCGACTGAAAGATTAAATTTCATTATCCCAAGCCCAACCTGCCACGATGTGATTCAGAGATTCACAAATTCTGCCGCTTCTCAACCCTGTGCGCGTGTCCTCCTGTGTAGAAACTTACAAACTCGCTGTGTTTCCAAAAGTACGAGGAAGACGTCCTTTGATGGTGGGTCCCGATCAGACAGACTATGGCAAACCATCTACTCTGTACTCAAGAGGGACACTGCTGACGACACAGCTGAGAGGAAGTTCCTTCAGACCCCACCATCTCTGAGACCCGCACTTAACCACAAATCTAGCGCAGGAAGTGAGGGAAACTATTACCTGACCCGATCTGTGGTTGGACGTGTGCTCTCAAGAAGCCTGAGGCTCTCCAATGTTCCAGTCCTGCACCCAGCGACGAGACGAGTCGGGTTGGATCGACATCACCCGAAGCAATTACTGCGCGAACTTGAGGAAAGGGCAGCAGCTCCGGTCCGGGCCCAAATCCTCGATCATGGCATTTGGATGATTTCCACCTCGCCTTCGGAAGGGATGTGCGAGGTTTGCGGGCGTGGATCGAGTACGGCAGCATGGGAAGGGTCACTCCAGGTGAAAATACTGGGGACGTTTTTCTAACGAGAAAAACTCGTCGGCGATGGCGAGCTCTAGAAGCATGTCCGTGTCAGACGGGAATTATTCCCGTCTGACACGGACATGCGTGCGGCGGTCGGAGCTTGTGACTGCTCGTGGCAAATCCAGAAGCTTGGCTCCACAAGGGGGATTTTCCTCACTTGTCAAGGAAGCACCTCGAGCCAGCGGCATGCCATTTCTTGATTCGATTCTGTCGAGAGCGAGATGAATTGGTCGTCATGTAGAATTTCGTTCCTTCAGTGCTCCACTTCACGGCGTTTTCTCGTCATTTTGTACCGGTGGATGGGTGGATTCGCTCCAGGTCTTCATCGCTTTCACATTGGTCTAGCGGCACTGATTGTTTTCTGATTTCTTTAAAAGCCGATCGAATAAGCCTTCGGGTTGTGATTTGCCGATCCGAAAACAGGTTTGGTGACTGATTCCGTCGTGCCTTTCCCATTTTCATCCGCCCATGGATCTTGGTCGAGAAATCGGAAAATTCAGACACTCCGCGAGTGTGAATGTGGTCTGTGAAAGAAATCGACTGCGCATGAAAACCTAGAACTGCAGGAAGTAAATTCGACACTCGCCCATCGAGAGGCACGACATTCCGTCCGTCATGGATTTGATATACGACATTCTCGATGAACTGTCGGGGAATAATCCGCCAGCGAACCAGAGCGCCGACCGCCCACAACAAGCAACAGAAAACGCGACGGACGACCAAACCCATAGATCCACAAATCCATCGAATTTCGACGAAGAGCTTCCGATCCTCGACGCGACCGCGACCGCGAGCGAGTCGGACGACTCGCGCACCTGGGAAAGGCACACGAAGAGCATCCAAGGCGAGTACTGCAAAGACTCAGACCCTAACCAGAACCGCAAAATCTCCAAAGCTCTGGAATCGCTGGGCCCGAAAGAAGGGTGGCTGAATCTGGACGACCTCGAACTCTCGACCGAGCCGTCGAATTTCCCGCCCCCTCCGCGCCCGGCCCCCACCGCCGCCATACCTTCCACCTCGGGGCCCGAGCGCAATAATAATAAGGGCAAGGAGAAATTCGTCGAGAAGGTGACGGTCACGAGGCGAATCAGTTACGAGCTCGTCGAGGAAGACGTTTACGACGCCGACGACGAGGAGGACGGGGGGGACGGAGGGAAGCTGCGCGACTTAATCGACATTTCGACCGTCGGCCCGGACGGGCGCGAGGAGACGTTCGCCGCCGATATGAGCCACAAGGCCGAGACGCAGATGCGCAAGGTGGCAACGGCCATCGAGCTTGACCTGGCGGCGCTGTTCGGAGACGATGGTCCCGGCGCCGGGAAGGAAACGGGAACACCGGCGGTGGACCCCAAAGGCAAAGGCAAAGGCCTAGCCGGTGACGGTGCCGGAAGCGGGGCGACGGAAGAGGCCGACGGCGATTTGAAACGGCGGCGGGAGATGGAGGAGATGGAGCGGGCGGCGGAGGAGGCGGAGGCGGAATTCAAAAAGTGGGCGGCCGGCAAGGAGGGCAACCTGCGGGCGTTGCTGGCGTCGCTGCAGACGGTGCTGGGGCCCGGGTCCGGGTGGCAGCCGGTGGCGCTGCAGGACCTGCTGGACGGCGCGGCCGTGCGGCGGCAGTACCGCCGGGCAACGTTGCTCGTGCACCCCGACAAGCTGCAGCAGAAGCGCGCCTCGCCGCGCCAGAAGCTCCTGGCGCAGAAGGTGTTCGGCCTCCTCAAGGACGCCTCCAAGGCCTTCGACTCCCGCGAGCTCCTCTGACATCTCTCGCTTCGACCCTGCGCTCTTGCTCCATCGCCCCCATCCATCAATCTCTCGCCTCTCTCGGTCGTCGCGCGAATGTTTGACGATGACTCCTTTTTTTTTTTGCCTTCGTTTCTTTTCCGGTTAGCGCAGGCCTTATGAGTAGGGTTGGAGGCACAGCCAAAAAGGCATGCCCCCGGGCGAGGGCATGGGGGCATGCCTCATTTGCATTTTGTGTATGGGGCATGCCCGTATGTATATACGTATTAATCATACTGTAACTTCGGAATATTCATATATGCGTCATTTTTTTTCTTCTATCCAGGTGCGAAACTTTTTATGAACTTACGTCCCAGGTATTAAATCTGGTCTGGAAACAGCACTGGAAACAGTCTGGAAAACTCTTTAGGGTAATGGTTTAGTAGTTAGAATGTGATGCAGTTGTATAGTGCATGTGGAGATCATCTCACAGTATATTGTGCTGTGTTCTATAAATTATAAAGCATTGTTCAGTATACACTAATTACAACTAATTGTATATTAATTATATTTTAATTATAGTTACTTATTATACGTATACTCATGTATTGTACTTAAATTTATGTATACTTTGTATATATCGGATATATATACGTATTGTGATACGGGCATACCTTTTGATCTGGAAATGGGGCACGGGCATGACTGCAAAAATTTTATCGTCCTTCCAACCCTACTGATGAGGCCTGGAATTCCCCTAACTAACGAAATTAATTTAGAATGTGGATTCTACTCGTTTTAATTTTGGGATTTGTCAATAAATAGAGTTGATACGCACGGTATTACTCGACGCTAACTAACTTCCTCACGTGTGAGTATGGGAAAATATTATGAGAGAATGATTTCTGTACAAAGACGAAGAATACATAACAATACTTGTGACAAAGGCAACGTAGAATAATCCTACTTGTGGCAAAGGTAAATTTGTGATCATGACCTCTTGATTCATGGATGAAACAAGATTTAATTTTGGTTAATTATGGTATTTTGTTGACGAATCCCAGAATTTAGGAGGCCTGGGTTAGCGTCATGTGAGCAATCGTGTTTCCATTCCACGAGTTTTCCGCATATGGTTCGACTCCCCTCCCCACCACACTCGATTTCCATTCGCATTTCTGTTGTCAGTCGGGTTTCGATTTTCTACGGTTTTGCATTGAGTTTGAGACAGGATGACCATAAGTTTGCTGCGGCCGTTGGACTAACGCCAGATTCGTGACGGTGAAACTTGTCGCCCTTGAATAACATAAGATCCCATAACGATTTTCTCCGGTTCATCTCATGAAGACGGGGTCTCTGATACAATTGTCTGCAATTGCAACAAAAGTCCTTTAAAGTCGAACTCTTTGTGATTTATATTTTCGACGGAAGTATCAATAAGAGGATATCGATGAAGATTTTTGCTTGATTCTCTTTTGAAAAGCTGGTAAATTTATATAATTTATATAAATTTATATGTAAAGGTCTAAATCATATAATGTGAAATTCAAAGCCTTGCTAGACTCCTGAAGCTTCAATGTGTTTCATTGAAAAAGACTTTGCAAAACAACATAGTTTGATCTTAGACTTCAAAAATTTCTGATTCATGTAGAAGTTATTGATGGTAGATAACTTGCATGTAATGACATGATTCAAGAATCCAAATCACTATATGTCATGCTAGAAAATCATCAATATACTCATCATAGAAAATCATCACAACACTAAAGCTTTTTAATTCATATGATTTTTGTCAAACCCATTGTGTTAAAACTTTTTTGGCTCAATAAATACAATTCGGATTATTGATTGAATAAAATCACAATCAAAAATTGATTTCAATTTACTTTTACTTCTAAAATACTTGGTTAGTTGGATCAAGCAAAAATATGTGTAATGATCTATATTCAAGGAGCTTACAATCTAGTGTGGAGCAAAGAAGATGATGAATGAGGGTATGAACATTTTGAATACAATGTGATGACTTCTGGATTTACAAATATATCCGTCACATATTTAATAGACATCTTTCAAAAGATTCTGGATGATTATTTTTTTTGTTATCCTGATGATATTCTGATCTATCCGATGATATTCTGATCTATCCAAACGATGAAGAAGATAGAGTTTGATTGCTATTGAAGAAGTTTGATTGCTAAAAGTGTGTGTTTCACCAACTTCAATTTGAATTTCTAGGTTATATCATATGTGTATAGGATATATTTCTGGATCCCAAGAAGATTCTGACAATCTTTGAAAGATGAAAAACCAACAACAATTTGAGATGTTCAATAATTTTTCTACTTTGCAAATTTTTATCAAATTTTCATGAGATTATTCTAAGATTGTCTTTTCATGAGCACAACTCACATGCAAAGACAAGTTTGAATGTACTATGGCAAGAGAACAAGCATTTGTCTTCCTAGAAGCATCATTTATTACTGCGAATATCTTGATCCATCCTGATTTGTAGAGACCGATCTTTCTTGAAAACAATGTCTCTGATTTTATCCATGGAGTTTTTCTTGTGAGTAAACAGATCAACTAGGTGGCATACAAGTTGAAACTGCGATATTTTATGAAAATGCATCCATTGTTTCATGTTTCCTTGCCGGTGCCAAATTAATATATTTTGGCACAATTGTTAACACCTCCGCAACCAATCGAGATTAACGAGAAGAGGAATTTGAAACTTCTAAGATCTTAAACTTCGGCATCAATCGAAAAAGATAAGAATCTCTTGTATACTGGCAAGAGTACAAAGTAAAACTAACTTGGTAAACTCATGACGTTTCCAAAATGATCAAGAAAGTTCATTGTCAACACCCAAAGAAACTAAGTGCCAAAAACTAGTGAATCCAACACATATGGACAAACACTAGCATTGAATCAGGCTGCAGCCATGTGAATATCACATGGACTTCTTGTAATAGATTTTTAGATTTTGTTAAGATATATAGACCAACTCTTGGATTTCCATGGTTGAAGTTGTATGATGCTATAAACATGACATACACAACCAAGTCGCGATGGATGATCGATCCATTGATGAGTTTCACTGCCAAGAGAATGAACTCATTTGGGGAGAAGCAACGGTACTAACTTCAGGCATACGATCACAATTTGAATTGACCTTCGCAACATCCCCATTATTTTCTACCGACATCTGTACGTATCGAGGAAGATTACATAGTAAACACATCTTCATCACAATTACCTTGGAGTTACACTGAGACCCCGCAAGCAGACTCAGCTCTATACTCAGTGTTAACCCCGAGTCTGAAGAACAAATATGTAGAACGGGAAGTACTTTGAGCTTACTTTACTACGTAAGTCACCATAGTTATACCCTCTACTTCTCTCTGCCATAGTAGTATCTTAGTCAATTAGAATAGCATTTTATGTTCAGAATTTGTCAAGTCTGACAACGAATAGATCTTTGTTTTGCAAGTGAGGATAGTGGTCTATTGTACTGTACACAAAGGTAACGCATGCAACCGGATTGGTTCAGGAAGAAAACAAAAGACAAGAATGTTTCTAACTGGAAACTCTTAATGTATCTTCTACACGGGAGCATGTTCTCTGACAGGAGTCTGGTTTAAGATCACATTAAATTGACATAAAATGTTGTTGGACATCGAAGATCGCGTCAATTTTTCACGCATTCTTGGGTTCTGAGAATGAATGAAAACATATTTGCACCTTTTCAAAGAAATATGTGCTTATTCAGATCCAACACATATCACTTACGAAAACAGTTCGACCTCGTTTAAGAACATGACATTGTGCTCATGTTTGTCAGACAGAGAAGAGTAACGTGAACAGGGCTGGAAGTTACCATGAAACGACGTATGGATGAAACATAGGGGGAATCTGTGTTTGAGTCCGATATCTCGTCACAAAGAGAAATATATCCTCCTGTCCCTTTATAACTAATAGCTGTGTTCTGAATATATCCAATATTAATATTATGTGAATTTGACTCATTAATGGTAATATATCCATCTACATCAACATGTGCCATGTCACTCCTCGAGCATGCCTTGATTAGCGTTGAACCTTCCAACACTAAACCCTAACTGGCAAGATTTTGAGAGTTTACCCGAATTGTGCAAATCTTCTCGGACGAACTGGAAGTTTTATGGTCATACAGTGACCATAAAACCGGTATAGATTGCAGGATTAACCTCCCACGAGGTGTAAATAGAAGGACCATCTACTCTGAAACTTGACCACAAGTACAACATCCTAGGTAGGGATGAAAACAAAATTCTGCTCTAAACTAAGTATGAATTCATGGAGCCATTGCATTCCACCCTTTGTGGAAGATGCTAGATTGACAACATTATTTCATTATCATCATCAATCAGTCAATCAAAGTGTTTGAAGTATATTCACATGCGACTTCAAATCCACATCAACCGAGATTGATTACCCTCCACTTTGAAACTTCAAACATAAACCGAATCGACCTGTAATTGGCAAAACGTTGGTGACGGAGCTTTCTACAATACGGTACAGAATAGTCAAAGAACTAAATGGGATACATTTCCGAGCTCTATGTACAGTTCTTCAAGCTACCCGCATTTGAGCTTGCTTCGGGTCGCTTGTCTGTATTGTTAGTTACTAGTTCTACTTCTACTGTCATATATCCTGAGATTCCCCTATGCTTCAGACAATGTCAAGCGAGGGCAGATGTTCATGGATTGAAGCTCCTGGAAATTTCAAGTTCAATGCGTTAGTAACCATAGTGCTCAAGACCTTAAAACTCTCCAGACGACAAAGAACTTGGGCTTTTGAGTAAGTTTGAGAACCAACCTGGAAGAGAAGCTTGCAGGCATATGGTAGCTTCATAGTTGCAATACTTGCACCATTCTTACACGATGAACAATAACTCATCTTCAGGTTATGGTTGTAATGTCCCAACAGTCCACATACTGTACAGACCTGCATCCATAAACTCACCACTTAGTTTGAATAAGGCACTTTATCTTGACCTGGAAAATTCAAGCTCTAACCATATGTACACACAGTCACTTACAACAGATGGTCATTCAGCTGCTGGAAATCGTGACAGTAATAACGTAACCTACGGCAAATAGACCATGGGCTGGATTTCCTACAGAGACGTAAGGATCTAGACCAAAGAGTTGCGTCACCTGGATCTGGAACTGATCACTCGAAATCATAAGTCGCTCCAAGATCATCATGCTCGCTCCATAAGCAATCAGACAATCTCGCTCCATCTCTCCGAGTCTCAAACCTACACGTCAAAGAACGAGAGTATAAATCAACCATTCAACCTGAACAACAAGATGTGATTAAATCTCAGAGTCTGACCATATCAGTACCAGTAGATTATAAATTGGTTTGACTATTGGTTATAGAGGTAAACAGTATAATATCATTTTGTGGAGGAGAAGTCGCCAGCAATTATCGTGTAGAGTTTGGATTTGTGTGTTCAACCTCAACTTTGAGGCTGGACACATAACTGAAAGCTGTAATATACTGCCGCTAAATCACTAGAGTAATCACGTATATCTTGCCGGTAATCATTCCCTCAGTTTGTAATCACACCTGCATTGATGTTGAATTAGTGAGAGGGGACTATTGCGGGTGGTGATAGCAATCTAACTAAAATTCGAGTTAAGTTTGGTCCAAGGTGGGAAGTGCTGCATTGAGAGTTCTGATCCAAGACCATTGCTCAGAATCTACCTGAGTTGGATTGAGTTGGTCAAGTTAGAGATTCACGACTCCTACCTCCTTCACGACTCCTTCCTTCTGTTGGTTGCCTTGTTAACACCACCCGAGGACCTCGAGCACGTGCATGCATCTTATCAAGAACCTGATAGAAGAAAAATTAACCACTATTATCAGTTTAAGCAGTCAACTCAGTTTTTGACTCGCTTGCGAATATTTATGAAGCTGACAGATGAGTCGATTCACTTTCTGTACTCAGGTACGACTAAGAAAAGGAGAACGAGGCGTTGCAAGGCTGAAACAAAAATCTTCTTTGAGTAACTTCAAATATATAGTTACCATGTGCTTCAGTTTCTGGTAGTAGATCGGCCCCATGAAAACATACGCCTGCAGCGGGTGTCCAGTAATTCCTAGAAATATAGAAGCAAAACATATTGTTGGTCCTCTCTCACACATAAGGAAGTCCTACAATGGTACACGATGACCGAACTGGACCTTAGACTCTACGAAATGATGAAAGCTTAGGGCTCACCTGAGTAAATAAAGTCCTTGCCGCTATAGCTGAATCCGTTTCTGATAAGCGTATTACTGGTTTTCACACGATTTCAATGAGTTCAAAGATTATATCCAAAAACGTCAACATTAAACTAGGTCAATGAAAGAGCCATCATAGAAGCACACGCGCGACACCAAGGAGTACAAAATTCCAAAGATGAAGTGAAGACCATACCTGATAGCATGTACAGTATCTGCGTGACCACTAGGTTCACCAAAAGCACTTCCATAATGGAACTTCCCGCTCATTACGCCGGCTTTACCTCCTAGAAGCTCTATCATCTTCCCAACAGTCATTCGACTGGCACCAGTAAAAATAAGTTAATCTGGTAACTACTCGAGGAACGCATGACTTAGAAGCTTGAAGCTGCACTAGGTTCCCTCGACAATATTTATAAGCTTCATTAGCCATGGACGAAAGATTATCAGATGAAAAGCGAGACAGGCAAAAGAAGAACTGGGTACACAAAGAGTGAAGACTGACACGCCAAGAACTCATAAGAAAGATGGATGTGAATCTCAAGAAACGAAACGTTCGTATAAGCGAACTAATTGCATTAGTTGAAGTCCAACCTTGGAAATCCGTGAGGATTCATGATGAGATCAGGACAGACACCCTTCTCAGAAAAAGGGAAATCTTCCTGTTGCACGATTGTGCCGCAAACACCTTTCTGTCCATGGCGACTACTAAACTTGTCTCCAATCTGGCAAAACGGAAATGGGCAGACAAGGTGAGAGGTGCGACAAAGGGGCAGAGTGCGACCGTCAATGGAAAATCCTTGTTTCCCAGGTTTCTCGAGTGCACCAGCAACGGTTTAACTTAAGAATCTATTCGAAGTTTTCAGAGACATTATCTGGACATGTCTGAACAATTTGCATAATATGGCAAGTAGAGCTTACTTCCGGTCGCCGAGTGTGTCGAATAAGGGCCTTGATCATGAAATGATTTTCATCATTGGAGGTAAGAAGCACCTTGTCCACAACAGCGCACTCTCCAGGCGGCCCTTTGTAGGTTTGAGGGGTCGGTTTGTAAGCGCTGTCGTAGATGAGAGTCCACCAGAAGTTCTGATGAGAAACTCATATCGAGAAAAATCAATAAAATTGCAGGTATTTTACAGCGTTCGAATCTTTACTGCGCTACATTACCTGTCTTTCATTGCCATAGGATTCGGGACATCATCTCGTGTGTTGATGGGACTCTGCTTGTTAACGTAGATATCTCCAGGACGTATCATCTCCCCAACAGCTGCAATACCATCTTGATCTTGTAGCTACAATAGAAGACGCCAAGAAAACAAAGACAAAAGATTACAATCACCGGTGAGAGGAACTCGCAAACGTGCTTGAGCTCATAGCCCTGACAAAGTCATCCAACTTACAATATTCCTGAAGTATCCTTCAGGAGCTCATGCCCGGCACATCAAACAGCGGAAGTTGAGAGTTAGGAGAAAAGAAATATACCACCAAAAAACCAGTGAGTAACATGCAAGACGCTTCCCTACCTGGCAGCGACTAGCAACAGCCATGATATTATTCTTTCCGGTCGCAATCATTTGTGGGGCAACAATTCGATCTGCAGTTCGATTTTGATATTTCTTCAAGCTCGTAGAGTACCTGGTAACAAGGTACACGTTAGACGACATATAAACGTACCAAGAGGAAAGGAGTTCACGAATGAAGCCTTAGAATCCGAGTATTTACTTGGATTCTAGGGCGTACGTACAAATACGTACTTTTTCACGACAATACAGCGGCCAAATCCACGATCGAGCGATGATTTGTTCATAACAATGGCGTCCTCAATATCATAACCACTGTAACTCATCACTGCAACACTTGCATTTTGCCCTGCCCCAAGTTTGTCGTAACCAACCTGCATATAGATCCCACGTGAATCAGAATGTAGGGTGTCTCAAAGTGGACGACTGGGCACACTTCAGCGTTCTATAAGATTGCCCAGATATAATGTGGCTCAATCTGGACAAAAGACTACCAATGCAAAGCTTTTGAAGTTGGGCAGACATGTCTCGTAGAGAAGCTTACAAGCTCAATGCTCTTCGTAGTAAGGAGAGGCCTTTGCGGATACACCAGCATGTAAAGGAGTGTGTCCATTCGAGAGAGCTGAGAAACACAAGAAACTGGAACTGATTAGAAACACCTGATCCACCAAATCAATAACAAACACAAAAGACATTGACGAAAAAAGAAGTGAAGATGATTCCACCAACTTTTACTAGTACTTGAAGAAATCAGATGATACTAGCAAAAAGGTGAACATAGAACCTGATTGTAAGCGATATTGCCCATCGCCTGCTTTCCCATAGCACACTACAAGAAAGAGGCGAAATAAATTAAGTATATTAGTTGCAGTGAGACACATCAATGACATCTCAGACTCAACAGCACATGTTATGTAAACCAGAATTCAACATTATATAACATTTAATATTGAGTCATCAGAATTGTCAGTATGAACTCACTTGGTAAGTATTACGAGGAGATTGATTGTGATGTGGATAAGGGATGAGCCCCGCACAAACTCCCAGAATAGTGAACGGTTCGATCTCTATATGAGTCGTAGCAGGTGTTGCATCCGCTTCATATAGGGCAATCTGTGCAACATACAGATCATTTTAAAGCCGCGTCAGCTGGTCGCCGAGCAATCATTCCAATATTCCATCTCACTAACCACGGCGACTCGTAGACAGCGGATGAAACGGAACGGAACGGATCTTCCCCAGATGAGAATACTTCGGAAGAACCAACAACGAAGACCTTCCAGTAGCTTCTACTGAGCGAGAGCTCACAGAGTGGACCCACGAGTCGTTTATCCAATGGAATAAAAATTTGAAAAAGTTGATCTTGAATGACACCAACAGGCTCATCCTACATTAGACCATATAGCCGTACCCCATTTTGAAACAAGTCTTAGTTATATAACGGAAGGATCTTCGATTATTACGCGTAAGCTAGGACAAAACAGCAAAAGTTAAATTCCGAAATGATGAAATTTTAGCGTGAACAGCAGCACGTCATTAACACCACAAACTAAGGACAACGACTATGATTGGGAGAAAGAACATACCAGACAATTATTCTCCTCGTTCACATCCAAAAATTCAACAAGTCCTTCCCGCAGAAAGTCTTCAAACGTGCGAAATCCATCCTATAGACAAGGTGCAGCCAAAAAAAGCAGTTTGATCAGAAAACTTGTCACCGCTTGAAAACCTGCAATCTCGTCCAACTACCATTTGGTTTCATTTGGTTCTGAAGAAGCATAAAGCTAACGAATAGTGATAATGAAAATGATTCCAGGGCTTTTACCTTTAACTCCTTCATGTGATGTTCTTTCACCCTAGAAACTCCTTTATCTGCAATTACTAAAGGTCGGCACACACGCCCTCCATCGGAAGCAATGTAAATACAGCGCTGTATACATGACAGCCATGTTTGGTAAGTTCAATCTAGCAAAGTCAAGACGATTGATCAAGCAAGTGAGATAGTGCAAATTCAGAGTTTTCATTGGACTCTTTGAATGATGTTCTTCGTATAACATAGGATATACTCGAAGAAAGCAAGCCACCAAAACTTCAAAGCATGGACTTTTGACAATCAGGAATAAATCACCATCATGATTACCTGCCCAGAGTGCACATGTAAGCTTACAAATTCTCCAATTTTCCCAGCACGTCTCAATTTCCTCAAGTGATCTGCAAAACGCTGCAGCACAAACGCCGATTTGCAGTATCTTTTTGGAATGCAAGTAGAACACTGCCACTTGCCAAAGCCAAAGCTCTGAAAGCACCAACAATACTCTACAAACGTTTCAAATTGACCAGTCCAGCGTAGTAGCTCTTGTTCCTACATCTATATAGTGAATAAATCATATATGAGACCAGTCATGCTGGCACAATTCACATACCAGTGGTCTTCTGTGAACTCCGAGAATTGTTCCATTGAAAAATACAATGAACGTGCTCCCAGCATGAAGCTCTTCTCCAGAAAGCATGCTCAAATCCTCAACTCCTAACGTCGTACACTGCAAGTCGGTATGATACAATCAGGACGAAAAACAAATCCCACTACACCTCAATCTCTATTTCCGCTCATCTTAAATTCTCCCTGCAAGGAAACCTTCGTTCAAACGCTGAAACATGTAGTCTACGTCATTCTGTACTCTGTTGTTGCGGACAAGTCTGCTCGACATTGTTTCTAGTGAGTTCCGCTTTAAAACTCAATTGACACAAACTTCTTGTAACAAGTATGATACTCTACATTCCAAGTCTGGTCTCCGAAATATAAACGATTCATCACGTCCACCAGTGACCAGGCTTAGACACACTCCTACCAGTATACAAATAAATCTATTGCCAAGTGTGAAGGATCAAACGTGAGACTCGAAGTCCTAATCTCAATTGCATTTAATCCAGTCAAGGAGGCGGAACAGTGAGAAAAGTCCAAACATGAGCTGCTTGGAAGGTAATTAACAAGCGATACGTGAAGAGGTGTGTTTCTCTTCATCTCTAAAACTAAAAAGACGAATTGACGCTACACTCATGCCGAAGAAACGAAGTCGACGAAGAGATATCTTCGTCGTCAGAAAATGTCAGAAATCAATAGATAGCGAACTTGACGTGACCGATCGAGCGAATATCGCTCAACTCGTTTTGGCTCCAAGCCAATCTAGTAGGTGAATAATGGGACCCTCATTTCACTCGATCGAGCCAGATTAAGTTGAGGCATTGCCACATTTGTTTGAAATTTAATCCCAGCCACTAGTTTCAAGGGCAGGCTTGAAGAGCATTCAATAAAGGGATCTTATAAATTACATTGGTTGTGGCAATCATGAGATAAGTTCTAAATTCATTTCGTCTTTTCATAAATATAGATAACATTTTAAGTCATGCAGTTAATACGAAAGACATCCACAGAAAAGCAGCTTGGTCTTATTTCGTTGCTAACACACGGACATCATTCCTTACTTGAACAAATATGGACTTGAACAAGAACTGGTACTCGTTCATAATCAACTATGAGAAAGAGAAATAGACACTTACCAAAGCAATAATTGGACCCTCGTCTTCATCAGTGGTAACATGTGTCATTAGCGCCAGATTCTTAACAAGCCCGCAGGCTTCCCCTTCAGGAGTGTCACAAGGGCAAAGCATTCCCCACTGAATACGAAACAGTAGGTAAAGCAGATTTGCTAAGTTAAGAGCAGTCATGATGATGCAACACACTATGATCTCCAATTGCAGAACAAACAAAAACGAAAACGCTGGGGAAAAGCCTTTTGCAGCAACGATTGGTTCTCGACATTTCTACATCAACCACTTTTCACAACACGAGTGCTTTTGATCTGAACGGTATTTATAGCGGAAGGATGATCTTTGATAACGTTTTAGGCATCGCGAGCTTCACCAATAAACACATAATAAATTCCTGAACTCAGTCAAACTGCGACCAAAACTTAATATTCCAGAATTTGACAGTTCACTGCACAGGGTCTGAAAAGCAGGTCTGTTCACCACCTGACTGGGTTGCAGCGCTCGTGGTCCACTGACTTTGCGGGTTTTTTCGAACTGGGATGTAATTCGTGTCATGTGGCCCAAGGCAGCTATGAAGGAAAGCCTCGAAACAACCTGACGAAACAACAGCCAACGTTGAGCGAGACATCCAGTACAATCCTGACTTCTTTGTTCGTTGGTAACAAATGTTCGATAGCCAATACAGGTTTTGCAGTAGCTAAAACAGTAAAGATACATCTTCACCCTCGAGCTATAGACACGAAGCCAAGATAGAAGTCGCTCATAATGCAGACCCTCGAGCACTGAACGTAACCAAGATGACCAGACATTCATGTACCTGCGTCACACCTTTTCTGTCCATCCTGAACCTTTTCACAGTCCAATTACCACTTGAAATTGCATGCTCCAAACCGCTTGTAAGAAAATCAGGTCTCATACACTACAGTAGAAGACGCTTTGCATCAGAGAAAAGTTTATTGCAAATTCACAAATGAAAGGCTGGAACTAATTTTAATGCAAGGGCATTTTGATGATCTGTTTGAGTAGCGATCAAGTACTGGAGTGAAGGCATCCCTCTTGACCTCAAGATAGCAAGCTCGGGGACCACCCCGCTACTTGCACACTCTGTAGTATAGAGGAGGGCTGATCTTCCAGATGTGAAAGGCAAATACTGATGAATACAGTCTTTAGGATGCAATACCTTCGCAATATCAAACTGGGTGGACCTGTTAGCTTTGGACAGAGTTATGTCGACGTGCTTCTTTAATTCTCCATTCATACGCTTAAAACAATCCTGCAAAGTTTAGATGGATCAGATTCAAAATCTGTAACGCTTCGATTTTCTTAACGTTTGAAAAAGAAGGATTGTAGGGTCAAAGGTTTTGCCTAAGCCATTTTGGTAAATTATCACCTCAAACAAAAGGGCGAGAAGCTGCCCAGCAAGCTCGAGCCTTTTATTTCCAACGTAATCCTGCAACGGCAAGAAATCATCGTGCTTAGTGCCATTCTTTTTAGCATATCTATCTGATTTGACCCTATGATAAGGAATCACTAATACGGGCAAACCATTCGTGAACAGCATCGGAAAAATGCATCAACAAGCGTTCTGCTTCTGGGTAGACTCTTGAAAGGCATTACTCCATAACGACTTATAACCCCCAAACAGTCAATCACGAATAAGAACTGATGGCATGGAAGAGACAAAGAGGCAAACAAAGAACACCTTGTCGTCGACAGCCTCTGAGTTCAGCATTGCTTCTAGCATTCTTCTGATCATAACTGCAATGTAGATACACTTATTACGAAAATCATATTGAATAACCTGGATAGACATACAGAAAATATGTTAGGCTGCAACCAACTTTGACAAAACATCTGATTCTGGAAGCAGAAAGAAAATCTTAACCTCGCTGGTGATGTCTCCCCATATCAGGTGAAATATAAGCATGAAACAAGCTGATTTCAACTTCCACTCGATGAGATCCACCAGCTTATGGTACTTACAGGAACATGCGCTAAAACAACATTGGCGAGAATATCTCGAGCCTCGTCGACCTGAAACAACACAAACAAATTTCAGCCGAGACTGAAGTAGAAAACTTCAACGTGCTGCTAATTTAGCTGTATATAATTTCATGAGCTGCAACTTGAAAATAAGTCATGTATAACACGCGCCTTCGATCTCTTGGCTTTGACCCACATATTCCGACTTGATTTAACCTGCACATCTCAAATACAAACTGAAAGGTCATTTCCTTCCTTTTCCTCTTGGCGACTCTCATGGCAGTAAATTGGTGATACAAAAGCTGACGTTGATACTTCACCACTGTGACTATGATGTCTTTCAGACTATATTCAAGGAACAAAGAACTTAGTGCATCTGAAAATATCTCAGAAAGAACAAGTTTAAAGACCTTTGAACCAAGATACTCAAGGGCCTGCTGCTGTGAGTAGATAGATAACGAAACACATTCCTGTACAGCAGACGAGCAAATGCCAGAGAGTCAAACACGATTTTTTTGGAATTATAGAGAGATTCAAAGTCTCAACCATTCACGTCGGTCCTTATCAACAACATATACTTCGACTAAAACGGCTTAGAAGGTTCCGACAAGCGGAAATATGACACAATTTCAACTCCATGACAAGCTTTGAATTTATAGGCATGAAATGGACGGTCAAGAATCTACCTGCATCGATGGGGCAAGTATGCCTGCGTATTTAGGATCTCTTCCCACCATTTGAACAATCTCCTGATCGTTCTCCACTCCCATGGCTTTCAAGACAATAACGATAGGAATCTGCAAGTTTCGATTTCAACGTGCTCAAAAGAGGAAAGGAAGTTAAACCATTGAATTTCCTTAAAACATTCACATACAATCTGCGGTCGAATTATTACATTGGACAGAACGCTAGAGGGAAATATCTCTGAATCCAGGTAAACAGGTCCAATGCGTCTTCAACAAGTGTAATTCCATTGGGAAGGACACATACATCATCACCGAAAGTGTTGTGCCGCAGATAAATCTTTTCGTGCTTCACGGCGAGATTTGTCTTACTCTTTCGCTCATGTGTGCTACTTGTTACGGAAGCTGCTACACTGTCAAGGTATAAACGATGTCAGCGTGTATACAACCATTTCGTACATGCACATTTGACTTCCTCAAATGAATGAGTAGTTCGGAGTACCCATGCATCAACCAAGAATCATCCTGAAACTGAAAATCACCCACTTCACGATATGAAAGGAACCAGTAACTATGAGTCCAGCTGCTTTGGGCTTGGGATAAAGGCTGCTGATTTCAGTAATCTTGGATTCCACCAGCTTCATTCTTATGTTAGAAAGATTAAATCAGATAAAGCACGGGAGTTTCTCCTCCTTGCAACAACGTGTGCAAGGAGGTAGCACAACGGTTCCCCATCTTGCACTTCTTTCCATTGACAAGGATTAACCCCACTCAGCACTTGAACTTCACATGCGTCACCAGACAAGGAACACCCATACAAGTCAAGGTCAAGGGACCAAAACGGTTGTCTACCGATAAGGCAACCTTGGCAGAGTGCATATATCGAATTGAGCATTGTACTACTTTGGAATCCAAACCGTCAAAAGTAGCAAGTATGAGAGACTTCGCTTTCTTACTTGCCGTGACTGTCAGTGTCGATGATAATTCGATTTTTTGACAGTTGCTCTTGAATCAAAATGACCTGCACAAAAGGAGCATCCTGAGTTATAATGCGCATGACAAACAAGCACAGTGTTTACCAGATACAGTAATTCCAGGTCTTCCAAGGCGCATTGTATACAACGATGATTGGTACTTATGAAACTTACCTTTTCCGTACCCTTCACAACAAAGTAACCACCTGGATCCAAGGGGCACTCGCCTGGTAAAAAAGAAGGCAACCCGATCAATGTGAATGACTTAGCATGTGTCAAGCACGAAACTAATGCAATACACGAAAACCTGTCATTTATGATCTTCTCTTCGACTCAATTCAACAGTAAAAAGCTCAAAAGCGCAAGTTGGCAGAGAATGAACCCCTCTCTCTAACCTAATTTTGCAAGTTCAGCTTCGTTCTTCCCGTACAGTACACAGCGAGAACTTCTCAACATGAGTGGCATTCTTCCGATGACCAAGGCACCCTGCGACCAAGCCAGGACTGTATATTATTTCCAAGACTGGCATACGAAGTGCTTCTACGAAGCCGTACACAAACTGCAACTGGATGACAAAAGCTAAATCATACCTTACGCTAAGCTGTACGAACAAGCCTAACCTTGTCACCACCGGTCACTAAACAGTACTTTGAGCTAAAGTTTGTTATTACTGAAAAACTTACGACAACAATATACACCTTACCTGGCCGTCTTTCCCTTTCCGGACTACGATCTCCTTTCCTCGTGTGTACTCCACATCTACACTGATAGGAGCGGCATACCTGCAACCATTCAAAACTTCATACTGTTACATTGCAGATGTGAAATCAAACTCCTCCCTTTGCTGCTGTTATTGAGAAGACATGTACTAATTCAAAATTATAAGAGGCAAAAGCTGCTAATCAGGTATAGATAAACAAAACGAGGACCACGGCACTGTCTCCTCTACGCTGAGAGCAGGTGCGCTTACAGTATCTATGAGGTTACAGTATCAAGGCACCTACGTCATGTCCCGAAGACGACATTGATGAGGGGTAATATCCTCCACAATATAATCCTGCTCCACGCAAGGCTTCCCCACAAATATGTCCGTGAATCTGAAGAAGAATCACGAAGAATACATAGGCGAATGATGAACCACAGAGAGCGGTGGTAATGAGATATCTGCAACTATAGTTCAAAATGGGATTCAGATAAAATAGCCGCTGAATTTTTTGATCCGAGGGAGCTAGGTAGGTACTTACTTGAGATAAAAATTAGGATCCACATCAGATGTAATTTTCTCATTTGCTTTGGCGTGAATAATTTTCTTTATTTCACAATTAATGAGGTAGTTAAAAGAGTCGATGTGCTGCTTCACCAGGCCCTTCACCTGAACACAATTCACTCAAACAATGAGTGTGAATGGCTACTGGGGATTGCGCCCATACTGCTGTCTTCTTTTTGAACCACATTTTACAGACGGTAAAGAATGGTGAGCTGAAGAGATCTTGACCTTCAAGAACGCAGGCAGCAAAGCAAATTTATCCACAGTACTCCTTAAAGGCACTTCCAAGTGCTTTCCGCCATACAACCTGCAAAAACGTATGTAAGTCACTTTCAGACGCTTACCAAAAACGACATCCAACATACATCTGCTCCTGCTCTCACTATTATGCAAAGGCTACATCTGCACGTGCAGGCTGATGGCCCAAATTAGCACTTCTGAGGTAAGGTTACTTACTCTTTCTCAAAGGCCACTCGGGGATCAGCGTATTTAAGATCCCCATCAGCCTTGCAGCTCTCCTCGAATTTCACTTTCCGAATGTTTGCCTTGCTTTCAGTCTCTAAAATCGAAGGCTTCGTTTCTGCCACCATTCTGGCGGAGCAGTCAAAACTTGAGAAGCATCACTCCAGCAGCTGCTTCCTGCACATAATTCCGAGTAAATGACAGGTTCAAGCAGAGGAAAAGATAAATCAGGTGGTCCCATTGCCACAGTCAGCCTAGCAGGTCAGTAATATTCCCAACGAGTCCGTATAGATTGCAGGTTTCTCAATCTGCCCAGCAATTGGTCTGCCAGGTGTATTAGTCAGCTGCCCTTCCACTGACTGTGAGGATCAGAGTACCAACAGGATCATCTACAATTTGGTGACCTTATCCCTACGCAATGAACAAGCTGACTCTCCCAGGAGTTTTATTACAACCATATGAACAATGTTGCTTCTTCACTTGATCGCTCAAGGCTCCAGCTTGTGAAACCTCAAGTAATCGAAACACATAAGAGTGGAACACGACTGTTCAAGCGATGGTTGACCTACAATGGGCTCATGGCAAGCCGGATAATCCAAATTGAAAGCACTCCATTCTCCAGTTTGTCAAATCCCAACCACCCCTCTGAAAACGATCTCAGTGGGTCGGAATGCAGAAATATGTATATATATATCAACGTTTCAGATTTCGCGCATAAACACCACGTTTGCAATTTGAACTTGGAATTTACATCAGTGCAAAAAACCGATTAAAACGTCAATGAGAAATCTGCCAAACACCAGCAACCCTGAAATCCAAGCAGCACCCGCCAATAAAATAGCGTGCAATAAAACTTTCAATTCATCGACCTACGACAGACAGAACACGCACCAGAGAATTCGAATCCACTGAGATCAAACGACCGAGGAACTCGCTTTCGATCAAAACCCCTGCGCTATGCTACCTGCTCCCGCGAGCGCATTCGGAATCCCAGGGTTTAACGAACGAAATGCCTCTCCCAAAAACCCTCTGCCCTGACGAGAAAACAGTAAAGTCCCGGCGGGAGAGAGCTCCAGCATCTGCCTACGTGGCCGTCGCGACTTCTCCCAGTCAGCCCCATAAAGGTAAATACCAAAGGGGCAGTTTTGTATGTCGTGCTGACGTGCCGTTTCTCTGAATCCTACGAGAGGAAAGGGAAAAGCGAGACTCATGGAATTAATCGAATGAAATACCCAATGGTTCAACATGTCCACTAATTTAATTAAAGCCCAGGCTGTGTAATTATCAATATCTGAAACTCGGTTTGATTATTTTAGTAACATTATTTTCTCTTCTGCTTGATATATTTATAATTCGAAATAAATAACTAAAAGGGTGACACCGAAGACACGGAAAATCTGAAACTGGACGGACCCGCTACGACAAGACGTGCGACCGTTCTGTTTTGGAGTATTGTCCGAAGCCAGTCCTCGTGAACGTATTTTTAGTCACCTCGAGGCACTTGCTACATCACAGTGTCTCGAGGATGCCGGTATCCGGTAACCGGTGGCGTCTGGCAAGCGCCAGCAGAACGAAGCACGGCCGGAGTTGTGACAATTTAACGCTTGTCGGCAAAGTCTTTCCGTCGGCAGATGCCGGGCGTAGGAACACGGTGATTATAGACCCAATCGTGCAGTCTACGTCGCGTCGCGTCCACGTAGAACGAGTCGGTCGGGCTCCTAATGGGCTCAGATTGGTTGGACAGACCCTTGTTCCATCTTTTGACCAATAATCACGCAGAATTATCGCGCCCGATGCACTGGGTCACATTCACCGTGAAACTTCACGTCGCTTTGTTTGCTTCCATTCAGAAAAGTAAGATGTATCGGAACGTTGACCATTAATTGTCATGAATAATGAATTTCGTCATCGCGATGACATTTCGATACCCCTCGCACGAGAAGAGTCAACGGGGTATGAACCCGCATAATGGTTTCCAGGGGAAGACCTCTCCTGGTGGCCTACTTGTACTCAATTTGCAATTTGCTTTTCATCCAATACTCATTTACGAAAAAATACAAGGGCTGAATCCAAATCCCAAATTGTCGCTAAATGCAAAGTGCACATTTTCGCTAACTTCAAACTCATCCGCTACTCTCGACGTCGACGGGAAAGAAGACTAGTCTAATCTGGTATTACTGTGTGGCTGATCCTGGTCGATCCTCCCTCCTTAAAATTAGTTATGTGAAGTTGCACTTACAACAAATTCATTCCAGGTCTTGGATGAATCTCAGTGAGTGCAAAGACGACCGTATTTCCCTCGTATCAGCCTTGAGCCGTGAGCGATGGAGTGCTGACGGACACTGTGGGAATCTCCTGCTTCATACGCTTCCTCTCGCGTCCAGAGGATGGTAGATTCTGTAGACTCGAGGCTCGGGAAGTCGTCAATCGCCTCGGACCCGTCGGGACGAACTCTGACTGACGTGTGAGGACGACAATAGTCATTGGGAGAGGAGAAACCGGAACGATCATGACTCTTTGCCCAGATGTTCGATCTCAGGCCATCCATCCTTCGCAAATTACACCATGAAGCTGTGATGCGCTTTGCCTCTGCTGAAAGTCTGCTCGTCAGTCTGGAAGGACGAATATCACTCTGTTGCAGGGCGGTGGCAAAATTCTCACACTCACGTCCCAGAGAAAACGCTTCGAGGATGTATCGGGAACATAATTTGTTTGGATTGTCTGTCAGCTTTTGGATCTGAAGCAAGCACCTGGCCCTGAGCTGTCCCAGCTGGCCCTGAGGCCCGCTTTGTATGTGCCAGAGAAAAGTAATACATCAAACCGACTGACGAGGTTTCAATCTCTGTGCAAAGGTGCACGTGCATTTTACACCGACGATCGATCGATCTCTACTCTGAACACCCATAAAGCTGGACCGGATTCTACTCAGCAACAGAGGGGACAAGCCCCCAGCCCAGCCTGTGATGATGGATGGATGGATGCAGAGAAAATAACCTCTCGAACCATGCTTTGTGCTCTACCTGTGGGACATGTGAAAGTTTTCAAGCCTGCTCGAGGAAGCAATCACAGCTAGATGGAGCACAGAGCGAAAGTGTGTGGGCCTGCTGAGCAGTTACTTATCTCCACACTGTCCATCATATATTACACATGCATCCTACTTTCCGGCCAGTGCAAAAGCCTATAAATCCATACTTCTGCACCCACTGAAAATCTCATGACAGACCCGACTGGAGATTCAGTCCAAAGTTTCACTCGCAACAACAATTTTCACCCCTTGCGTGAAAATTGAAGACCTGTCTCTGGAGTAATGAAATCGAAACTTGCAACTGACAAAATCCCCTGTGAATGACGATGTCGGAGTCCATATTCATCCCACCGAGAATGAGAACCGAGCGGGAAGGGGTCTGCGAGGAAATTGACCAGCAATTTACGCCAGGAGTGCATCTGTTTCTTTCGGTATTCGAGCTCCGAGCTAGACGAAGACAACAGATGTGATACGTGCATGAGTGTGCACACGCTTACAATAACATCGTTCCAAGATATATTACGATCGAATGATAAAATCCTTCGGCTCACAAACGCTCGAGAAGAAGGATGGAATTCATCGACTCAGCCCCGGCTCACGGCTGACACACTCTGTACAGCGAAAACTCGAGATGCCAATCTAAGAAGTTGAATATGCACTCGTCCTCTCGAGAACCAGTCGTAAAACCTCCTGCGAGAGGGATGGGTTGCCTCCTCTCCTCTCCTCTAGACCTCGCCTGCTTAGAAGAAAGGCTGCAGCACTTTCCAGATCCACCTTCTAACTCCGTTTTTACTCTCTGCCCCTCTAAGTCTTCTCCTTCCTTGTATTCCCCATGCCCGGCAAGCTCTCTGGCAGGGCTCTGGGGACTCGAAACCAACACACGGACTCACTAACCAACCCCTCTAATTTCCCTACTCTCGCCGCATTTGATAGAACTTACAAATTGCACAAGCATCGATACCTGATGGTCGGACGACCTCGCTCGGGATAGCTCTCAGCTGCTTTCCAGGCCTGCAGCAGCGAGTGAATGCTATGGTGCTAGGTAGCTGAGTTCTAAGGATTCATATACAATATGTACTGGGAAGACTCCGCGTGCCTCGAAGTCGATGACCTGATCGATCGAACCTGAGGCATGGTCGCCCGCCACGACTGTTTAGCATGATCACCTCGTCGGGTCCGCAGACATGTCACTTTACTTGATGAGGAGCAGTCAAATCCGTCATGAGCAGTCCGGAATTGAGGGAGGAGAGGGAATTGAGAGATCGGATGCGGAGCATGGTGTCGTGAGGCTCGCCGAACATTTTCTCGAACGTCATGGCCCGGCTCAGAGGAACTTTGGGCTTGGCGCCGATGGGGCGAGCAGCGTGCGATGCTGCACTCCAGATCATGTCGACGTACGCATCGCCCAGTTTTTCCATCACGGTGCGTCTGCTGGCGGACGACGTGGAAGCGGATCGGCGCAAAGCCGCACCTTCGGCTGCGGCGGCTGCCTTTTGCTCCTTCGCCTTACTGCCGTCGCTCCTGGCGCCATCGCCCAGCTTCGACTTCCTCGACGACAGCCCGAAGCGGAACGAGGACGACTTCGTGGGCGCATAGTCGCCCGCCGGTCCCAGCCTCCCATAGCGTTTGCGCAGCAGTAGCCTCACCACCCTCGACGGCTCCACGCCTGGCTCTCCCGCTCCCGCCGCCATCCTGCTCCTCCCTGCAGAATCAGCCCGCTTACTGCTGCTGCTCATCGGCCACATTTTCACCCCCTTCCTCACTTGCTCCAAATTCCAAATTCCCTCCCGCTCAACCGATTCTCCCCACTCCTCTCACGCCCAGGCACCGAGTGCTGCTGATGATGATGATGATGATTATGATTCCGCTCGACCAATTCCGTCACTCGATCATAGCCTGCCTGTGCCTCGACTATGAGGTAAGAGAGAGAGAGAGAGAGCTCAGATTAACGTTTATCACAAATTCAGACGTAGACGAAGACGAATGCTTTCAAAGGATCCCTTGCAGGCTACGAGAAATAAGTACGTTGCGAATCGGCCGCCACGCACGCAGGCCTGCCTTGGCGTGAATCGATAGGGAGGGAGGGGTCGGGTCAATGCAATCCAATCCAAAGCAAATTTGGGTTTTTAGGCCGAGCACGCACGAAGGCGTCCCGGAGAAGGACGACGACCTGGCAGCAGGCACAGCTCGAGGCGAGCGAGCCCAGTCAAGCCAAGGGACGGGGGAGATGCTTTTCTAACTCTTTTTATTAGACGCCGGGGACCGAGTGATGTCCACGAGACAATCAATCGAAAGCGAGAGAGCGACGAGCGAGCTCAGATAAGGAGAGAGGGGCTCGCTCCCAGAGAGGGCCCCCCGCCTCGTCGTCGTCGTGGATCGAGTCAATCCCCCCCCTTCTCTAGCCCGAGCGCCATCGCCAGGTGCCAGCAGCAGCAGCAGCAGCAGACGACGACGGCGACGACGCGGCGACGGCGGCCCCACAACGACGTCGGTACGGATACGACCGGACTCCGTCGCCTTGCACCGCCGCTCTGATTGATTTATACGCGCCGGCTTATATTTAGCTTATATTCTCCTCGGTTCAAATTGACGAACAGTGATAAGATTCGACGGAGGAAATCTCTTCGTTGACTCCGTCGTCGTCGGTCTGTCCGACCTTTGCGGTTGTACGGCCCCCCAAGGGGGCCGGAGGACACGTTCCTGACTGGCCCGTAGGATTCTACGCTTTGGGGGCTTCTTCTGTTGAAGAGGGAAGCAGCGAGAGGCTGAGGGATGACACGAACGAGTACGACGACGACGACGACTTTGTGGTCATTTTTAATTTGTGGAGCTAGGACTGAATCTCAGAGTGACTCGGTTCCTTGTGCCTATCAACATTGCAGAGATCCGAGGTGACACACAAGTCCAGGTTTGGTTAGGGGAGTGCGGATGTACGTCGTGATGATGATTGTCCAGCAGCTCCCGAGCTGCGTTCAGGAAGCCGTAATGAGTGGTTGGATCCACAGGCCGGTCTTTGTCACCCGGCTCCTACACCAGATCTCTCTCTCCCTCTCTCTCCCTCTCTCTCTGAAGGCATCGTCTGCATGTGCTGCGATTTTGTTGATCTCCGTCAGAGAGATCAACACGAGACTCTGTCAGCGGGCCTTTCTCTCTTCGCTCGACTGACTCTATCAAGCGACAAATTGCACAAGTCTAAGGGAGTGAGGGCGGCCTGAACTTCATCCAAGGAAGGATTTGTCGCAACGGTTATTTTGTTGGGCTCTGGGATGGAAAGTCGAACACTGGACGAGAGACATCGAGAGTAACGGCTAACTGCATGCTTTACTCAACGTAGAATTTCCAAAGCGGTTCCGATAATTGAGAGCTTAGATCGCACGGTAATTTGACTCGACGACGGACCGAAGACTCTTGTGCTGCAGCTGTGAATTGCGTGTGAAGGAAGGAAGGTTGGGTGAGGTTCGGTAATTTCCCATCTTCAACTACAATTACAGCCACGAGCTGGACTTACCTGATTCATTCAGCCTTCATCAATCTCAAACGATGGGAGCAATTACGATCCTCGTCCTGCTGGGGTCACTTTTCTCAGAATGTAACCAACTTTACAGAAAGGGCTGCCAGGAATGAAAAATCCCAAAGCTCCAATTTAAAAGTCCAGTGTCAGATCCTACGCGATTTGTAGGCATCGATCGTTTGCCGATCTCTCGGATCCTGAAAAGGATTGAGTTCTGTCAGCCTGCGGGTCTCGGGAGCACGAGGGACAAACGACAGATTCACGTACAAACCCAGGAGGGAGGGCATGTGGACTGACTAAAAAGCTGAGCGATCTGGAAACCAATTTTATCTTCCTACTCTCTGTCTGTCGTAGGAATGGGAGTGCACCACGCCAGCAATCCTCCGGCTCATGAACACGAATCTTTCACTGTAAATGGTTGGAACTCGAAAATGGATGCCGAGCACACTGTCCCGTTCTTCTCGCAGGCGAACTTATGACTGGCACTGTTGGTCCACGCACGGTCACAGGCATGATGGGCACCGTCAACCCATGACACCGACAGTCAGCCCAGGCCAGAAATGCGGCAGAATTCTATAGACGAGACCGCGCTGCTCAGGCCATGACTGCTCAGACACACGGTGGCATAATTAAATCTTCGTGTCCCGTCTTGTGTGCACGGCTTTCATTCCCTCTGAGAAGAAGAAGAAGATGCACTCGGCATCCTCTCCTCCGCATGCCTCGATGCCAGTACTGTATGCAGAACATGCAAGGGCGGCGCAGATTATGCACAACAACATGAACTTTCTAGAAGCTTCAGAAATTCTATCCATCTAGCTGGACTCAGGAGCACAAATATGTGCGGCATATTTATGACTCAATCCTCCACCATATTTGGTCTCACAGCACGAGTATACCAAAGCCTATGATTTTGATTCGAGCGATTTCATTTACTAGAAAGAGTGCACGATCAATTAGGATGTCAATTCATAAAAATAAACAAACAAACGTCTGTGAACGAGACATACGACGTCAAATTTGACGTCAACTCTGTAGCATAGTGATGGATATCTTGCAAAAGCAAGTTACTGTGTTAGAGTCTCAGGCTCTCCGCACTTCTGAGACTCCACAGCGCTGAAGGGAAGGGGTTGGACTGTCCGGATCAGCTCTGAAAACTCTAGACGGAAGCATGTCTCAACAATACGAATGATGTCGTCCTCATTGAAGACAGAATTTTGGACTCTCCATGCACATCTCGGACCCTGAAATATTTGAAAATAAAATTCTTACATTTTACACTCATACTGTTATATTATATCAAATCATCGAAAATAAGATTTGATTCAAGCACGACCTCTTAATCGTTGAGCACTTACATATGAAGGACGTTGATATGTCTTTCCTAATGTATGATCAAAAATGCGACTGCGCCAACATTTTTTCGATATAAACGAATTGATACGCAGCGACTTGAAATAAACTGATTCGACTGTACCAGGCAATATTAACAAATCATGGACACCATTAACCATAGCATTCTCTGCCACGTCATGAAATTATGCAAATGTTATAGTCTAAAAATGAAGACATTTAGAAAAAAATACAACAAGTGCTCTACGTAGTTTGAAGACACAATATCAAATAGGTATGACTCCAAACCTATCAGATTAAAAAATTCATATGATATTCAAATGCAAAATTTTAAACTGGAGATAGTTTATTCTTAGAGAAGTTTTATATTTCTGAAAAAAGAACAATCGTGTAATTATATATCTTTATATAAAGATTTATTAAAAAAATATAGAAACTATTAACCTGATATTTTAAAATTTTGAATTATTTCTAATCTAGGTGAAGTTTAATAATTAAATGATCAATTTAATTTATTCAAAATAAACATCGTAATGTCAAACAAAAAATATATGCCTAACTCTACATCAACATCCACAACAATTACCTGTGACATTTGTTCATATAAAACCCTTTTTTTCCTCAATAAGTCATCCAATTTAAAACATTCCTTGTTGTATCAACAAGTTCGCTTTCACGTGAATGCTTTCTTGAGATTAATTCATTTGTGATAGCAAACACTTAGTATATTAGAAACTAATCCATTTATACAATTTATATTTCCACTTGATGAACCGTCTTGTAATAACGTCTCAAGATACATGTACTTCGGATTGGAGAAAACATCTTCCAACTCTATCACACTTGATAAGTAGGTTTATGGAAAGTCTATTGCATACTAAGATAATGGGCTAGAAAATTTTTAATTGGAAAGCTGTAAAGAAGACATACATTTTGTCAGTTTTTGATGAAAAAAAAAACTTATTATCAATTTTTGGGATGACACATATATACTAACAAATTGGTAGTAAACAATCTTTACACCTTTGTTAGATTTGCAATTGTAACTGCATTTATTATCATCATTGAGAATTTTATATTTACATAGATGAGAATTAACATTCTAATAAATGAAGAATGCTTTGTATACTATAAAGCATTATGAGTTTTTATTTTTTCCTCCTTGTGTGCTAATTAACACAAGATAGTATATGTTACATTGTGATGTTTTTCTTACAATGCCCCGTATAAGTGTGTAGGTTTCATCCATGTGAGAGTTATCATCCTAATTGTTAATTTATATAAGAAGGTATCATTCATGCACTCCTTGATGGGGCCTTCAGTCCGTGAAGGTATAATTCATGTGCTACTTGACGGGGCCTCCCATCCTTTTGGTATTTTACTTTGTTAATTTTCTGTCTTTCATTAGCATCTACTATTCAGGATATTGTCAAATGAGCCGCCGCCGCCGCCGGCCACGCTATATTCAGAGCGGGATGCCCTCGTTGTAAATTTACCTTCGTATTCTCCCCTTTTCCATAAGCACGTACTTCTAATTTATTATTCAGAACTTCAACGTCGATTTCGACATATTGTCAAAAGAGCCGCCGGCGGCAACGTTCTGTTCAGCGCGCGCGAGTACACTGCGTTCGAGCAAAGCTCGTGGTACATAACGCTCGCAAGAATTCAAGAATGGAGCTGAGTGCCCGCGCGCACTCGATTTCATGGAAGTTCTTGAATCTGATCTCGGGTCGACGATGGTATCGTTGGGATGTAGATGTCGAGGTGTGACAGCGGTACGAGAGTGGAGAAAATCCTTCAAAAATCGAGTGTTGGGGAATCAGGTCGGTTCCAGAAGAAGTAGGAGCAATGCCTTCGACAATGAGCAATTCGACGAGTATAGACTTGGGTAGTCTCCTTGATTGAATTGCTGTCTGATAGGGCTGCAACGTCATGACGATCTGTCTCATTTCGTCCGGTATCTGAAGTCATGCGAGGAAAGTAAATGCGAGGCGTGAGTGCCTGCCAATGCTGTCAACGATTGAATCACGTCCTCATGGGACGGCTGTGAATTTGCCTTGAGGGCTCCATCCCAGGAACATACAACGCGTGTGTACAAGTCCCAGAGAGGCTCGTATGCAGAGAACTTCTCCAGATTCATTCAAATCAGATGCGTCGACATGCTTCACGCGACGATCGGGGAAATGCGGCGTTCAGAACTTTGAGTACGGAAAACGGAGTATCTATGAAGTATCAAACATCCGCGTGGAGGTTAAAGGGAAACGAAGAGAGACTCGATGCTGACCAGACCTTGAAGAGATTTACAATCTCCGGGAAGGAAATTCAGACATATTCATTCAAACGCTACAAGGAGTTGTAGAGATTTAAGACGCAAAGTATTTCCACATGTGACATATGCAGATTTGCAGGTGATGGTGATGATGAGAGCCGATCTACTGAGATCGCTATCCGCATTCCACTCGTGAACAGTAAATGATATCCATCGAGATCACCAGTGTGGTGTTGTAGTTGTTCTGCATCTGAGATGCAATTGGAAACGGGGATTCTATGTCAAGTAGATCCGGTATTCGTATTTCTCGAAGTGTAGACTGGTGCTTGAGGTAAAACACGGGATGGTGCAACTACAGTAGACTGGATCGAAGGGAATAAGTCCATGGAGGCCTTGGATGGACCCCTAGACGCGAAATAAACGAACTCGGTAAGTACAATGAAAACATGATCTTCAAAAATGAACTCCAAAAATGAAATCAACCTCTAGAAACTTTGGATCTCTTTGGAATGCTCCATGAAACCACTGTCAGTTGTTCTGTACTTCAGTGATGGACGACATCTGTTTGTGGTACTAGTTACCTTCATCTCGTCACTGTGGGGTATATTCCTCCATTACTGCTCCTACGCTCATGGCTTCCTGCGCAGATCCTCCTCTTATCATTTCTATATCCGTTCCTACCTGTCCTCAAAGAGCTTGACAAACTCTTTGAGGAATGTAACATGGGCCCATGCTACAAACTAATATCCAGCATGCAGCATCCAGATTAAACAGGCAGACTGTCCCGCGACCGAAACCTTTCTTTTGCTCCGCATCGAATTCTCCTCCACTCCTGCACTCCTGCACAAACATCGACTGCACCATGCACCTCTGTCAACGTTGATTCCAGTGGATGCTCCGTCAGGATTTGCTGCGAGCACTGCAGCGTCTGCGCTTGATAAGAGATTGTGAGGAAGTACCATGCATCCAGAAGAGACACGGTACTGTGGCTTAGCATGAGGGATCCCACTCCTCATGGTCGTGAATCAGTCCACCGCCTCCCTTGCTCCATGATCAAAAGTCCTAATCACGAAGACTCCGGAGTAGTGCCAGTGTAGTAGGCTAAAACGAAGGACATGCACTGCACTGCTCCCACCATGCTTTCTTTGTTCATTCGGTTCTAACCATGTCAGATAAGCTTTGATCCCACGGCAAGAGATTCTATAAGCAGGTGGTTACCAGCAGAAGAGGAGCTAAATGGACTTGGGCCCGACATCATAGGTTGCAATCTGGTACGCGTCGATCGATTTGGTTGCGTGGGCTGCAACGCACGCCCGGCGACATGGTTTGAGTTTGTGTGCAGCCCTCAGTATATAGGAAGATTATGCAGTGTTGATGTCACTTCAAATGTCCTGCAGAGAAGCATGTACTTCTCCCAACTTGGGAGAATGTGTTGAGATTTGAGGCGTGTGGCAGAGCTGGACTGCTGACGGCCTTCTCAAGCAACGACTTCGACCGTCCGTGTCAGAGGGCCCGATCTGATCGTGCCTCTAGGAGTAGCTAGATGAGATAGATCGTTGAATTTCATCAGTCTCATGAATGTTCGAATGTTGGAGCATCGGAAATCAAGACATAGCTTCTTTTGGATGAGAGAAAGCTCCGTCAGGTGGAATTGTGTTGGAGTGTGGAGATCAAATTTGACCTCTAGTTGTCGCATTTGACCTCCAATCGGCCAGAGGTCCGCGGGTTTCGTCCCCCGCCGCGTCGGTGATTGGAGGGATCGTGATGAATGTGTAGCTGAGCAAAATGCATTCATCTTCAGAGTCCAATCCTGTCCACAATTCAGATGTTCGCCGTCCTTCAGTTGATCAGTACAATCCAGCCAAGCTCTCCGCCTCGCTCTCTGTCCTGCTTGATAGAAATGCCCCGCTAGCGCGACTTGATGCAGGGGTTCTCTTGGATAGACTGAAGAGGGTTAAAAGCGAGAATGTTAGAGTATTCGACGATTCTTATTACGAAACCTTCAACTTTGATGGACTCGACGCTCCAACAAAACCGGGGTTGACGAGGAGATTGTCGTCGATAAGATTGGTCAATCTCGAATCAGGCCTCGTGAAGGAGTTGTCAGTTAGAGCTCGGAGAAGCTCGGCAGACACAAGAAAGATCCAGATTACGAATGACCCAGACTTCGACATTCTTGAAGGTGTAGATGTTGAAGACATCTTCCAAGTCATCACTCGCCAGGGTCGCGAGCCACCATCTTCCCTCGAGTCTGAGAAGGAGGATGCCCCTGGTCCGAGCAAGGCGAATGTGTGTGAAGCAGTTCTAAGAGCTGTATTTGCTCCCAAATTCCAAGGAGAATATGAGAAGGAGGAGGAAGAGACAGTGGAGACTTTGAGAGACGCATTTGCTCTACCAGGATCTCAGTTCGACAATGCAGAGAGGCGTGCAACATATGCAGCTCGCTATCGTAGAGCAGGTAATTCAATTCGTCCCACTCCTTCCACATTTGCTCTGCGTTGTAAATTAAATCTCACGCAAGAGCAATAGGACAGTTTATGTTGCCCTCTTGGTTCAGTTGGTTTCAAACGATAGAAGTAAGCTAACAAGTTTTTGCACCATCATGATATGAAGTAGAGAAGACTTCTGAAGAATGGAAGATTTCGAATCAAAATCATCACTGAAGTCAGGTTAAATCTGGATGTTAATTCCGCCTGCTTGTTCGGCATGCAGAGTTGAAAGCCAAATTCAGGGCACTTAGCAGGGATAAAGATGAGACCGTACAACCAAACCAGTTTGGAGATCAGGCCTCGTACGAATCATGGAAGAAACAGGAACTCGATAAAATCTTGGAGCTCATTACATCTTTGGGAGGCGAGTTGCCTCCGTTTTCAGGATCCGTGCAAATCCTGAAAATTGCTGCCTATCATTTGAAGCCAGCAAAGTGGATCAGACGGTTGCAGTGCAGCAGAGGACGTTCTACATTTCAAGTATACTACACAGTCAAAGTACTTTCTTCTACTATACAATCTCCCAGTTACCAAAAAGCTATCGATCTTGACGGAGATGATGCAACTTCACTCTTGGAGCCTGCATTTCTCAGCAAGGTGGTTGTGTGCAAGGGCAGCGCAGACTGGCAGGGCGAATCACCGTGGATCACGGTAAACAGGTAGACAGAAACACAACTTCTTGAAGCTTTCAAGCTTAGTTGCAAGAGATAATGTGTGCGGTTTATTGTGTTGATAACTTGTGCGAAGATTTTTCACAGAATTTTGTTCGAAGTCAGAGTGGTAAGTGCGCAGATGTTCGCTTGAAATTTCCTGTCTCAAATCGAAAGCTCTGAACCTCCGAACCATAATCATCCAGACTTCTAGTCACTTCTCGCACATTTAATCAGCTACATAAATTCAAAATATCCGAAATTTAACTCAGCGCTAAGGAACATTGCTGTATTGGGTTCAGTCCACTTATCCCATCTCAGGGTGGCAGTGCCCGTCTTTGAACAGTCGACTTGACAGGCCTCTGCAGATGCTAGTGACTCGAAAGAGAATCTACAGTCATATCTGCCTGAGATACGTGCAATTCTGACAATTTCTTAGTGCAACATTTCTAAAACCAAGACAGCTGCCGAATCAGCAGGTTATTCCGGGCCATCATCAACTCATCTAGCTCAATATCACGAATATAGTCAAACAAGTTCGCATCTCCGGTTGACATGAGAAATTTTTTATGCATCACAATTGAAATATCTCTGAACTGGCGCTTGAATAAGTCTGCATGATTAGGAGTGACCTTCGAACATTATTTGATCAGACGACCAATACGACCTTTTAACGGGATATGATGTCTATTGCAGTTTGCAGGATCAAATTCTCATCGAGTTCTGGGAAAGAAGAGAGGAAAAGTGTATAAAATTTAGAATTGCCAACAAAAAGCTGGATCATGGTTGCATGCCCAATGTGGGATGTGGTCTCAAGCGGAAGGGCACTGGAAGACGGAAGGTAAGACCGTGATCTCTAACATAAAAGAAAAGATCATCTAGTAAGATATTAACATTCCACATTTCTTGGTGGGCTTTGTTCAATATGGACAGGTTTAGATTTTGGTTACTAGATCTCTAGAAGAGTTGTTAAACATCTTCACGGTGGAGTGCAGACAGCACCACGGATTGGGGACCTATTCCTCGGCCAAAAATACGTCAACTTCAGCCACATCGAGAGGCAGGCATTAGCTGATGGCGGTATGCAAGGCAAAGCTCCCGAGGAATTGGAGAATCTGGCCGACGAGAAAAACCGCGATTGCATGAGCGTGGTCCAAATGCAATTTGCCGCCTGCTGTAAGAATGATTCAAGGTTAGTAAGCAACTGCCACCGATCGCGCGCAAAAATTGACCTTTTTCATCATCTTTGTGGAAGAGCAATTTCACTTCGAATTCATGAGTTATTTTAAATCTCCACAGGTGTCGAAGCGTTTGGATACATAATATGCTTCTTCCTTGTGGGGTCAAGCCTTGATTATTCCGCACTCTCAGAGTAAACTAAACCGTGGTTGATTTGACAGAGATACACCTCCGAACGAGTTGTTACTGCAACCGCCGGTGGAAGATCTGGGGAGAGCATATGACTGTCTTATACGCGTTGCTTTTCAAGCAGATAAGGCAGGTGTGAACTGCTAACGATTTTGTCTTACTTGAAATAATTTGGACAGAGACATGCAGAGCAATGTGGAGGAATTTGACACGATTCGTAACTTTCGTGTGATTTTGTTCTCGCGAACTTAAGCATTCATCGGTGTGTTATTTTTTAAAACATACCGGATTATAACTCGGATGGTAAATATGAGTTCTTGAGTCTAAGTAGCGTTTGAGGTGAGAAGGTATAAGTAAGAAAAGTTGTCTAATCCTAGAAAATTATCTTCGAAAAAGATTTCCTATTTGTATTAGCATTTTGAGTAGGATAAATATAATGGCAAGAAGTATCTAACATTGTGCACTGATAGACAACAGTATGCACGGCTATTGCATGTGGTGTGTTCACCATTTCTGCTGTGTTCTTTCAGTGTACAAGCTCGGAAAGAAGTGGGAGAAGGTAGTTGAAGACTTCGCTGCCCACTACCGGATAAGAACGGAGAGATGCCAACTTGGTTTGGTTCAAATTCTGGCCGAAAAATTCGAACCGACCTTCAGATACCTAAGTACTGTTGTTGATGATTGGTCACCAGTATGCACAGCAGCCAGAGAAGGAAAACTGACAAAGACTGAGCTTGCTATGCACAGCGATATTGCTCGGAGTACGTATGTAACACCAATTGTTTCTTTCTGTATATTCTTTCCTGCTCATGTGTCTAATGTCTCTTGAATGGTGTGATTTCAAAACCAATGGAGTTGTTTGTGATATGTTTCAGATGACGGATTTGTCAGAAACTGAACATAAACTGAAAAGAAAACTGAATAATCTTTTACTAATTTTAGTTCACTTCTTATGAGTATCTAATGAGCATGGCTGGGAATGCGGTTCCATATCGAGCAGTACTAGCTAAACCAGCAGAGGAGGCTTTGGAGAACTTCCAGACAACGTTCAATGAAAGTCAACCGGCTGGTTCGTTATCCAAGCTGCTGGAACTTTTGGCGCTCATTCTTTGCTGGGATCCAAATGTAAACGAAATTTTAATCCCCCTCAGGGGATGGATCGAGGTACTTCGCTGTCCACAATCGTCGTAAAATGTTTATTTTCATCTACCAGATGGTAGTAATATATGTTTGCTTTGAATGAACCAGAACTATCAGCAGCTGTAGTTGCTTAAGATATTCACATCTATCTTGCTCTCCAGATATTGACAAAGTTGCAACTGGTAAAACAAACGAATGTTAAAACAGGACTCTTGCGAGAAGAGGGTACGAAGTAAGCTCTTCTACGACGCTAATGGCGAAAAGCAAGAAGAGATTACGTTACAGAATTTAATCGAGACAGTAAAGCTGGTCCGTTCCGATATAGAGGAGCACGGAAAAGTGTATCAGCGCGAATTTCCACCTGATATCAAGTTGCCCACAATCACCGCACGCATTCATTACAAACTGGTACGACGTCGTATGTTGATGGTGCATGGTTGCAAAATTTGATGCTTCTTTTCACACAAGGATTAAAAGTTGTAGATAATGAATGAATCGGAATGGGTTATGTCGCCGTTGGAATATGCTGGATACATCATGCTCACTTTCATAGTTCTGTTTGCAGGTTATCGAATACACAAAAAGTTTTGTAGACAGCGTCGCTGAAAAGACCTTCACTAAAGAATACGGGGTAAGAGGACTACACTTTGTAGGGCCTTAATAGTTTGAAGTCAAAATTGCAGATCACGTCTGTATTCATGCTGGCGTTGTGTCAGAGAATTGAAAAGTTGATTCGATGTGAGCACTCTATGAATATTTTGCAAAGAGTAAGTAATTGTAGCGTATCCGCTTCTCCGATTCCGTTCCGATTTGTACAGGAGCTTGCTTCAGAGTTACTAGCTCTGCAACAAGACGTTGAAAGACATGGAATACAACTTCCTTTCGCGGATATTCATCACATTTTCGAGAAAAATATTTCCGAGTGGCTCGCCGTGATGGAACCTCGCATGTTTGAGTGAGTTATTTATGTGCCCATGTGTTAGCAGATTGTTTTTATGCTCCAATTGATATCTTGTTGTCAATCGGTCCGTCACAATTATGCTCGGAAACTGGATAAGTCCATGAAGAAATGTTTTACACCATAGATTTCTCCGTAAATGTGCAGCTTCGTCATGAACAGTTGCAGTGGTGAAAGATGGGAACCTTTAACCAAGGCCACAACAATGACAGAGACTACCTTTTTATATTCGGGATCTGTCATTGGTACGCTCATCTCCTTGTGAACTTGAGTCAGTGAATTCCGGCATTTATGTCCTACCTTCCACCCTTGCTGCAAACATTGACGCCCTATCCCAACTAGCTTGGGATGTATCTAGTTAAAAGTACCTGGAAAGCACTCTTAGTTGAAGAAGGAATGGGCAGGTGAGCTTTTACACAGAAATGGTGACTGACAAGGTGCAAATGCCTGGCTCCTCTGTGAACAGATTTGTACTGGATGATGACTGAATACGTTGATGAGCTAACTTCCCGGCTTCTCATTTTACCGTCCGGGCTACAATATGTGTGGCACATCGAGGCTGGAATTTGTGCTGCTGTACAACTTTACGTTGGACGGCTTGAAAAACTTTGCCTCCGGGATTTGCCTGAAGAGGAGCGGGGAACTGTGGATGATGACACTGATGAATCGGATTCGGACATTGGAACCATCACTGTCAATGCTCCGCACGCTCCTTCTCAGTATATATCAATGTCACTGTGTGTTAAGGTAACAACAAAGTGTGCTCTTAGAGATATCTCAACCTATTCAAAAACTTTAGGTACTGACTTTTTCTGTACTCAGACTCCTCGCAGTTTCCCATGAAGTAACTTGTTTGTGACCACATGTCATACAAATCTTGAGCTAAGTCGGGCTTATACTTAGACGGATACCATATACTGATCATGGATGCCAACAACGCACTGTTTGTCAACTGAGTGCTTTATGCTAGACACCGTTATTTCTAAGATCGAACGTTTTTTTTCTCTGCCTGCACAGCTCAACAACATCAATGAGGTCATACAGCGCCAGCAAGAGCTTGAATCTTATCTGGATAAGAAGCTTCAGTTTTTTGTTCCGAGCGTGAATGACGACGATGAACTATCTATGTAAGTTCATATCTTCTGAAGAAGTTGCAGCATTGAATAAGTTGACAACAGAACAACTCACTGACACGACTGTAATGATTGCGAGATAGAAAGAGCGTTCTATGCATCATTATATCTTGGTCCCCTCTTTCCGCCTTTTCTTTCCGTGGATCACTTCATCCTTCTAGAAAGAAGATTTCATATTGAACCTTATACTATGGCTGATGACTTCATACATTTGCTTTTAGCGACGACTCCAAGTCCTCCGTGTTATGCTGATGATCCTTTCGACATGAAATAGGTCGGAGGACTTTGGAACGGAAGAGAGATTCCAGTCTGTAAATGACGACCTGGATGCAAAAAATAAAGTTGGGGAGAAATTCAAGGATTTGGGGAAAGTTATTCATCACACTTACAACAATGTGATCGGATCAATCGTTGAAAGGATGCAGGTAGGCCCTGAATAAGCTCTAAACTTTCTCTAAGTTTGTCTCTGAAAGGCTTGCCACAATGAATTAAACTCCAAATGCTTTGACTCGCTTCTACTTGCATGATTGTAAATTTTTTTGGCTTAATTCTCTAGTTGATCCTCTAGTTAACAAAATGTGCTTTCCATATTAACTCCAGATGTATTCCTTACATGCAGGGCCGGCTCAGGTTGGAGCTACAGACAGTGCTGAAAAGCGTGCCCGAGGGAGATGAGTATGCAATTGAGGATGTATTGGAGCCTTTGACCAGCTACATGGACGAAAATATAGTAGTTATGAATGACTGGCTGCACCCAACTATCTTCAAGCGTTTACTCAAGGTAAGATGTTAGCCAACATATTTGATGAACAGCTAACACTGGATTTATCTTGTGTTGGAAGTGTTGCCCTATATAGTCGTTGTAGCCATCGTAAAAGGTGAACTGAGTACAGAAAAATTCAAACCGTCATATGGACTTGTGCAGGAAATGGCCAAGGCGCTGTTCTTTTGCATGGAAGAGTTTGTTCTGAACAAGGATGAAGACCCCACCCCCATGACACCACATCAAAGAGAAATGCTCAAGAGAAGTTTAACTGAACTTTATGACTATTTCGATGGTTACGGACAAAGTAATGGACGAGGATTGACTTTGAGTCAAACCCATCAAGCTTGTGCTCGTCTGCGTAAGATTCTGGAATGTTGGGATCTGAGCACGAGAATATTATGTACTCGGTACTGGCCTGCTTGGATAAAATTTAATGACTACATGTTTCAGAAGCAAGAAAGCTCTCGCCAAATACGTTACAACTCTGAGGATAATCTGAGGAGTACTTCCTCTTCGTCAATAGATGATGAACCTTTGGACGAAGAAGTGGAGCTTCATGTGCTAGACTACTTGTGGCTTCTTAAGCAGAGAAAAGACGACGAAGCCAAGGAGCTAGTTGCTACTCAGAGTCTAATCGCTACTGAAAAGACGACACAGGTTTGTGGTTGAGAACACTATCTTTGGATATTTTATTTGCTAAAGCTGCATCGTTCCACGCTGATCTGAGAGATGGTCCTCGGTTTCTGAAGTCAGAACTTTATCGTAATAATATTTGTGGATCAGTCTTTGAACTTGTCGTCCTCCCATAATGTGTGTTCTTGAGATTGGGAATATGTTCAGAGACTTATATGCTGTTGTTGATTTCGCAGTTCATATTTGGTCTGCCTAGAGATGAGGAAATCATCGCATCATTCAGTTGCAGGTAATTCGTGAATTCAAGCATGCCTTCTTAAATTCAGGAAAAGTTTAATAAATTCCATGATATTCATGCACGATCCATTGTTGGACAGTTTTTGTGTGGTTCCAGTTCGAGCTTTGGAGATTATTTTCGAGTTGAATATTATCCAAGTATTTTTTCAGTTTATCGCTTCTTAATAAATCTTATTCTCTGCCTTTAACTCTACATTGTCTTTATCTACGTGTGGTTTATCTGACCTTGAAGGGACGCATCTAAAAAGGAGGGTACTTTGTATATTACTACCCACCATATTGCGTTTGCCGAGAACAACGTAGTAGCAGCTCACAATCCGCGGTTATTCGTGCTTTCTTTCGAACGCCTTATGTCCGTGCACACAAAAGGCGAGAATACTGTGGTCCTTGTACCATTCAATCTCCGTCCAAAATCATTCACAAACTTATCAGATTCAGCTGCTGTCCCTCGCACTATATTCGACCAGGTAATTCAGCCCGTCCATCCTCCAAGAATCATCGTGATCAATACAATGAACATTTTATTTCTTCCCCTACAGGAACTCCTGATCTTTGGGGTCGAGGGTTAGAGAAATATATATACTTGACAGTGTACTTGATGTATTCTTCTTAACTAATGTTGTTGCTGTAATGGTACGTCACATGATTTGTTCTTGGCAGATAGAAGGAAGTGGAACGTACTTAGAGAAAAGTATGAGGCCCTCATATTCTAAACAGAATAGTCTTTCCGACATAGTTCTTAAAGGTATAAACCTTCTTACCTCTCAACTTTACTGTAAATGTCCATGCATTTGTCATTCTTCTAGACGAGCAATTCTTCTTTTATCTGAGACTAGTTTCAAGGATGGTTTCTTAAGTCTGACCAAAAAATACTACTCCAAAATAAGATAAAGACAGTACTACTTGACGGACAAATTAATAACATATAAACAGATTCATCTTGTGAGAACTTGGGATAGGACAGCAAGAACCTCTTGAAACTGGAAAAAATTTAGTGTTATCTTGGAATCGAGGCATATCTTCTGTATTTTGCGGACTTTACGTTTTTCGGGTAGGTCTTTCTATCAAGGGGCAAGCTTGGGGTGGGATGTTCGACGAGCTGTAGGCTGCAGGGCTCGGTTGGTAGTTTCCAAGGGAGGAACAGATATGAAAGCCAGCATCGCCTGAGTGAAATTCGTACCTTGAACAGAAGGCATCTAACACGTTTCACTTATGATGGTTACAGAATATCATTGTTCGAAGCGCCAAGGTGTGATTCGCCAACTACGTGGTACACTGGTGATTTCAGCAACGCATATCACTTTCGAACCGCTGGAAATTCTAAAACAGGAGGTACGTTGTTGTGAATCCATCAGTTCTTTAAGGCATAATGCTGTCCGCCTAAAGCATGATGCTTATCGGTCTAAGAAGACACTGTGCTGGAGCTTTCTTTTGAGTAAAATCATTTGAGCTACAATTACAGGAGTTTACATATTTTCCCTCTGCTTATCTTCGCAGAGAGAATCCATGGACTTTGCAAGCATCAGCAACGTAGCAGAGAGAAAAGGTCTGCGAACCAGTTGTCTGGTGATTGATCTTAAATATGGAGGTCATGTACGTAATTCCTCTCACCTTTCCTCGCAGACAATACGTTGTACATGTTTGACAGATTTCTCCTCCTTGTCAATAGCGAGCCTTCCATCATTGTTTGATCTTAACAAGTTCGTGCGTTGAACTTCTTTGACAGATTGAGTTCGTGGAGTTTACAAAAACCGAACTCTCACTTCCAGAAATAGTGAAGGAGATTCAGAAATTGGTTCTATCTACATGACAATAATTTCATAAACGAAGAGGTGATTCAAAGAAACAGAAAATGAGTTCATTGTGCATTGTTTGCGATGTTCAGCATTCTAAATTTTCCCCTTATTTGCATAAGCCTCAAATGTCCCACCTTTACCTAGGTAACTAAACCCACAACAACTACAGAAGATGGGCTCTCTCCACCTTATCAGGGGCGAGTCTTGGTTAAGGGAAAATTCATAATGTACTAGGAGAAAATTCACTTGGAAACTGCCCTTACCAAGCCCAGATCCGATTCAGACACCTCCAACTACATTGGAGATTGTTTGTTGCAAATTGTAAATGCACCAAGTTGGAGGTGCATTTACACCTCCAACTTGCAGATTCTGCATGGAGAATCTGCAAGTTGAGAGTAATGTAAATGTATTCCACAAACTTGAACTAGAAATAGAAGTTTTCAATCTCTCCGAAGAGGTCATAGCACCTTCTACTTGTATTGACCAATATGAAGCAAGTAGGAACGTATGTACGAGGATAGGGTAACAAGAAGTCTGGTTCCATAATACGTAGAATCGGCGTAGAATGATCTCTCTTAAAATGTCTCTTAGATAACAACTGAATGGAAAAATGTATCTATACACACATTCTGATGCCGAAAAATTTGCCTTGGCAGACTTCTCGGCATTATTAAGTTCACATTCTTATAAATGAAAATTGTTCCAACCGTGTTGCGGTCGGATTGCTGTTTATTTTGTTCTCTGTATTTATCGTGACTTTCAGGAGACCATTGCACATACTCTCATAACTGGTCTCGCTTGGTGTGCTTAAATGGTTCTCCTGCTTCTACGCACAATATTGAGTTTTCTTCACTGTAAAATTAATATCTATATAATCACACGATGGTCAGATTGGGAATAGCACACGCAGGTAGATAAACACATTCAAGTGACAATTGGGTAAACTTTGGCAGTAAGCATGCAGTATACTTGTACAACTACATGACTATTATATCAGTCTCGAAGTTCAGTACAAGACATAGAGTCAGGAAAACCATGCACATTTAAAAAGGTGTTCATTTGTCATCAAAGTAACACTTAGGGCTACATGGTGAACATGCATGTAATTTCAGGACTGCGATAAACTCTACAAGGTATTCTTGGACAGTTGATTCGTTGTTGACCGCACAAGGAAATGTCCTTATCGGTGAAATCCTTACGATTTGAGGCTAAACAAACCAGTTGTCTATTAGATAGTTCGACGTGTTTTAACAACTGTTCAGATGCTGCACAGAAGTCCAGAGGATGTGATCATTTAACTGATGTATGTACTCAACCTTCCGTGTTCGGCTTCATACGGAAACTGCAACCTTAGGCGGCTGGGACTAGAATGCTTCTCATGACCTTGGGCTCATGCTAGCTTTCTGTTTCCAACAGTTTTCATCTCCGTTCTAATTCGGAACCTCTAGGCATAATTCTTGATCTCCGTAACAACGTAATTCCTTTGAACTCAACATACAGTGGATCTATTGATTCCAGATCTTAGCCAATAATTAACTGAATTGCATGCATGGCAGAGGAGTGTGTGAACTGGAACACCATGACATTTAAGCTACAAGATTCTTTACGTAGTTCTAAGTAATGTAATAAGGTGCAAAGTGACTTACAAGGCTCTAAAAATTCCTTGCCTTCTAAATATCTTCCCAACCTTTTCTAAGTGCAACAACAGTCGCATAAGCTCTACTTCGTCACATTCTCTGTATTTCAGAGCTATCTCCAACAACGACGCCTGAAATAGACCCACGCTGATGTTAGAAAATCACAGTCAACTACCATAGACAAAACAAAGCTCTTGTAAGGTCTATTTGAACTTGGTATGTGAATCCTGAAACGTAAGATGTGAGGGGGCATATAAGTGGAAACATGTTTGACACGAATGGGAAGGGCCAGGATATGTGAAGAGGTTGGTGTGCTGTACGAGAAACAATCTTTCTACATCAGCTGACGAAACGCACATGACTGACTGGCTTATATGCTTCAAGGTTGTTCAAAGGTGAATGCACAACATTCTACTATCTTGGTAACTATGTTCAGTCACGAGGACATGACTTGAACCATCGTCGCACGTCAGGAGGTAGCATAATCACAGCAAACTTTCAAGAAGACAGAGTCAGAGGGAAACTCAAGAGCAGGACTTTTGAATTTATCTACGTCTGTCAAAACATATTACTGTAAAGCACAAACCGCGAGGCGTTGTTATGTTTATCACAAAAGACATATTGCATTGTACGGGCAGGCCTATTTCTTGACGCGGTTCCCTGTTCGTTGGATTGATTACAATAGGGAAACCCTCCGAATTTGGCACTCGGGGTTAGGGGCCTCTCTTTGCCATGATTTTCATTGTTCAATCTGCTGGTTCACTTCATTCAAATCTCAATATGGTAAGAAAATCGCATGCCTACTCCATTGACCTGAGATAACGAACACTTACCCCATCTTTCTCTAGGAGCCATTGTAACATAGCTGCTTCTGATATCTGGGTGGGAAACCTTTCATCATCCGAGCTCGGTGTTCCCCAGTCCGTTACAGGTTGGCCATACTCCCTTTGTGATGCTATATTCAATATAGTTTCATAAGAAAAACCACACCTCAGCATTGTCATGTACAGTCCGAAATGAACTTCAGTGACCTGGAGACAGTAGCCATATAGACGATTTAGCTCCTGAAAGTGGATTAGCCAGATAGCTCAGGCACATTATGCGAGTTTAAATCATACATTCGAACTCGCCTAGACCACCTGTGCGAAATTCAAATAATGAGGTGAAATGCTAGAGTCAACGAGTGCATAGCCGACTGGCGTAGAAACTCACACCAGAGGAGCAAAGTTTCATAAGTGGAGGCCATTCGATTGGAGCACCCTTAGCTTCAGCAACCAGCTTTTCTGTGGCTTGAATCAGTCTCTTCGAAATATCTAGAGTGAATTGCGCTTCTTTGCAGAGTTCATACCAGTCTACATAAAAGTCATTTTGAATACAACTGAATATACAGAAAAATACACCCGTTTCCGTCATATTCCGTTGTTTCTGTACATCAAAAGTAACAAACCTTTCAGTCACAACACCTCAAAAAGAAAAAGACTAATTATGTTCGGCAAGCCTATTCATGTTTCCCTGAAACGCTCCATTGTGGTCATCATTTTCTTCCCTCTAGCTGAGTAACTGTCATTCTTCACAAACAGTAATCCCTCAAGTTTTAGAAAACGGCACAATCGACCAAGACATACATTGAAAGCCAGTAGCAGCACTTACGGCAATCTTAGATATGGGAAGCCCAACTCGTTGCCAAAGGTCCCAGCATTCGCGTATCTCGGGTGGGACCGTTTCACTGTTTTCATCGATAGTATCCGCCACTTCAAAGGATTCTTCCTGTGAGGAATCACGAATACATCTTTCAGTTCGGTATACAATGTGTGGAAGACAGATTCTTTGCTAGTAGAACTGCACGGGTGACTGCGACCCTCATAAACCAGTGTAACAGTGTAACAAGGAGCTTTCTGTTGTTCTGATCTGCTGGCTTAAGCAACTCATCCTTCATGAGCCTAATCCACAAGTAGAGCAAGTGTAGACACGGTCTTGATCATAGTGCTGAATGCTGCCACAGGGTGTTTGCTACATGAGATCGGGTCCTGATGTGTCCCGATATTTAATGGACCAAGTAACTCAATAAAGGTACGTAGCTGCCAGATATACTGTGATCCTGATTTGGCATAAAAAGCAGTTGATATCATGTTCAAGCACGTAGACGGGGACTAGTAATCCAGGTGAAGGAAAACTGAGCTGAAACTGCAGGTAGGCTTATTGTTCTCTCGACTGAAACAGAAATGGATGGTTCTACATCAATCAAATCCTCTTAGTGGTAGATAGACAGAGAAGAGGAAACTCCGAGAAAGAAAAGTACATGCCAAAAGTTAATGCCTGGAAAGAACCCGAGGAGACCTTGCCTAGATACAGTTCTCCTTCCTGCTCCTCTTCGAGAATTCGCTGCTCCTCTCCTAAAATTTCTTCCTCCGAAATTTCCATGCTCTCCATGACGCAACATACACGCCCAACATTTCCAGACCTGCCTAGCTGCAGGATTCTAGAGTCAAAGCATGTTGATGCGTGAGACGCTGGTCGACTAACTTGAGGTTTCCGGCCGACCCGAAAATCATGACGCGGGTGATTAGCCCTTGAGATTTCCAGATTCAGCTTGCCATATACACCTACACGAGAAAATAGAAACCCAGGATCAGACGCCATGTTATTGATATCATTTTGGAGTCAAAGTCCTTTGTGGAGGAAAACATTTGATAAAGGCAGCAAGAAGAACATTGAGCTAAAAAAGTATGAGTACCGAGCATCTTGATACCTTGTCTAATACCTGCTGTAAGAATTAAATCATGCATCATATGACATATGAAAGGAAGGCAACGTGAGTTCGCACCTAAAGTACGGGAACATAGCGCATTGTCAACTTGGAACTGGAATGATGTGGTGGCGACATTGGCAACATATTGCAGCGAGCAAGTACTCTTCACTCCAAGGATCGTCATTCTCGCTCAACGGTTTTGTAGTCAATGAGATACTGTTGCTTTGAGATAACAAGGTACCTCCCGAATGATCAGGCTTCAGACAGACAACATCTCAGAATGTGAAGCCTTTCCATGAGTACTCTGCAGAGAGGTGAAAGTTAATCAGCTGATGGTGCGCCATCAAAAGATTCCCAGTAAAGCCAGCACAGGTTCGGATTCTCTGAAATACGCCTCAAGTCATCAAACAAGGATAACTTTGTGGAATCATACCACTGAATTTCGAAAACCCGTGACCTTTTGTAATGAAGATATCAGATTTTAAACAGATTCAGGAGGAAAAAGTTAACGGACACCATGAATTGAGCAGAAAGTACCCTTAACACCACTGTTACAGGACAATAGTAGAAGTGATAGACATGAACATTCAGGTAAATGAAAAAGAACAATAGCACCACTTTTCAAAACATGCAAGCATCAAGGGCTCAGGGGGTCCAATTTCAATCCCCCGTACATGTAGAAAGAATTACACGAATGGATCTAGAATCCGTGAACTAGTTACAGAGCCAAATGGTACAAATTCAATCAGGAGGAAGTGCATCCGAAACTAGTAGGCCCTTAAAGACAAGTTTCAAGCTAACAAAAGTTTCAATGCAATCCAAGTTCTCGTGACATATTTCAGCTCAGTATTATCTGAACCAGCCCCGTGAATTATCGAACAGAGAGCTCACGAATTGGGGGTAAAATAAGGGGCAGGGTGGTGACGAGATCAGCCAAAAACCCCATTCATCTCATCCCTAATAGCTGTCAGCAGATACCCACCCAAAACCCCGGAACGAGCCAACCCACTCTAGAAAGACTAATGTGAACACCTCCGAATCTCACTCACGGCTCAGAAACGTCATAAAATTTCTTTCCACCAGATATCCCAACCATTCCAGGCATCCAATTGCGGCTCGCGACCAGACATTCAATTCCATGACATGCCATTCGGCGGGGTTTATAAAACCCCGCCGAATGTCATAAACCCCTGTTTGGACGCAACCGGCTCGAACTCGACCAAGGCAAGGCAAGGCAAGCCAAAGCCAACACAATTCAACCCATGAAAGCATGAAAGCAAAGGTTCCGAATTCTTACCAAAACGCGCGAGATTGCAAATCACACAGCACGGCGAAATCACGCGACCGAGAAACGCAGGAAATTCACCGGGCGCAGCGGAAATTCAAGGTCCGGGAGGAAGACTTGGGACGCGGAGAAGATGGAGCAAATGATTCGGGCCCTTCGGTGATTCGTCGACCATTCGATCCGTCTCGGCTGTGCAACCGCAACGAAACCCAACCTGAACCAGAGAATTGCGCACGCTGTGACGTCTCGAGGTCACGGCGCTCGACGCTCTACGCTCTACGCTCTTCGCTTTACCCAGTCGAGTGGATAAGGCGCCGCTCGATACAGCAGCCCGACAACGGACGCCGTCCAAGAGAGACGACGTCGTCGTCGTCGTCAAAGAGAGAAGCCAGATCCACCGCCGACTTGGCGGAGCCTCTAGACGGATTCACGTGGCAATGCACAAGGCAGACTATCTTGTACAAGAACGTGGAACCCGGAGGGATCTCTTTTAGGCGCCTCCCTATCCCTATAAACTAAAGTTCGTTTCACGCGGTGGTTCTTTTCACACTGTCACTCTCTGAGTTCTTCTGTGCTAGAGGATATTTGAGATTCATCTTCGCTGCAGTCCAAGCATGTGCGCATGCATGCTCGTCAATCATCAGTGCTTTCCATTTCGGATGAGTCCATCCATCTCCATTCTTATTAATCATGAGATTGGATTTCAGTTAGATGCAAGGGTAAATATATTTAGTTGCCCATTTGAAGTAAATTTTTATAAGTAAAATGGCACAAGAGGTTGGATGTTCATCCTCTTGGGGCATTTCACTAATGAAGTGGAGAGATTGTTGTCACTTAGTTTTAAAAATGTGCATGATTAGTTTGGGATGAAAAGTTATATCAAATTTGTTGCTTTTCATTTCTTACACGTTATATAGTTTTGGAATGTATATTTATTCATCCTCCTTGGCTGTACGACGACGAGTGGAAAGTCAACAATCGATGTACTCAATTAAAGTAACACATAAAACGGTGTTTATTTTCTTTATTAATCATGGAGATTTTCAAAGCTATGGCGGTCACTTCGAGAAGCTTGTAATATACCACAATATGAGATATGAGATTTTGCATATTTATTGTGTTATTATTGAATTTTGAATCTCGTTTAGGTGATGAAACATTCTTTGGTGAAATTTAAATAACATCAATCACTGTACTTGATAATTACACATGTAAGTATTACCTGATTTAAAAATTTACAGATATAAATTTAAAACAATTTTTATTTGTAGATGCATTATCATCTACTTCTCAACATAGTGTTAGCCTCATACAAATTGCTTGATGTTATTGATGTATGACTTGATGATGTCTTCTCATAATTTGATGTTATTATTTAATATTGTGTATGAAATTAACTTTATCTTTTTATTATAAGGAATTACGGTGTCATATTATGACTTGATGAACGCAATCATGTAAGATGAGACAAAATAACAAATCATCACAATATAAAACATATAAACTTAAAATTTTCAAATTGTTTTGAACAAAACATATACATGTACTATCCTCACCTAATATAAAGTTATGATGTAAATTGCACACGTCAAATTTTTCGTGGAACAATAAATATTGTTGATTAAATATGTCAAGATTACTAAAAAAGAAAAAGTATGATATCTTGATATTTAAGCTAATTAGTTTTCAGCTACAAGTAAAAGTGTTAATCATAACTCTACATATTTTCAAAGCCAGAGCTACAAAGAGTTGAATTGTGTGCAGTCATTGACTTTATATAATCTTTTTTCTTCCGATCTTACCGCAACCCATCTAGAAAATGAATATTACATATCTAAGTCTTTTTCTTCAACGTAATTTGATAATTCTAATCTTAGTAAATAAAAGTAAAGAAAAGTTTTGCTCCAGATAAGATAATCATCATTTATTTAATAGCATTACACCTTTTTCACTCTTAAAGGATTGGTAACCATACGGATCTTTTGTACAAACATATACATATCACAATCACATGTACATCATTTTTATGCTCCAGCAACGGCTGAAACCGCATGAATATTAAAAAAATATCTTGTGTGAGTTGGCTAATATTTGGGTGTACCTATAACTTTTTATTATAATCTTCCTGATTTCAACGTAATACATCTATGAACACAAAATTGGGAAAAAAAATTCTTAATTACATGGAGGATTGTTAAAAGTTTACTAAGAGACATATCTCTATACAACATTGTAAACCTTTCAGATCAAAATTTGCAACCAACACAAAACTTCCTCTCAGTTTTCCACTAATCGAATCAAATTCATTTACTGGAAAACTGTAGATAACCTCACACTGAATGAATATTTACTTATATCTCTCATATGTATTTTCCACCCCCCCCCCCCCCCCCCCCTAATTTCTCGTTCCTCATATCGACATAGCATGATGATACCAAAGATCTAGTATGGTTTAAATTCATGTTATTCTCAATTTCTCAAATCGTCTTCTTCAAATGAAACAATTCCTTAATTTTCTTCTTTTTTTAACCATTCTAGTTTTGTCTCTCGCACGTCACATTCATCCTATTAGCTTATGTTATATAAATTCACTTCCCCCATTGAGTTTCATTATTATTTAACTTGTCTTTCTTTCAAAGATCTCTTGAGTAGATTTCATACAGATATATAATCACTCGGGACTTTGATCTGCGGGAACACCACATGGATTATATTTTCAGAATTACCCTAAATGAGATATAGACAGACGGGTGGAGGAGGAATTTTTAATTGGAAGCGAAATTCATTAATCTCTCCCAAACCATACGTTATTCTGAAAATCATGCCTAAAAACTTTATGGCAAATGAGTTGCAAAGTGAGACTTAGGTAATCTATGAACCTTCACACATCCAGCAAATTGGCGAATTTTATTTATCAGAATATGCCAATCACTACCGAATGAAGATTTGCGCGCAGTGAGTTACACACATATGTGTGTAACTCTTAGAGATCCAAGAACTAATGAACATGAGAATCACTCATCTTCTTCTTCATTTATCCTTTCTCTTATGACTTATGCTTTAGTGGGTAAAACTTGCAATCTTGTCACAATACGCTACATACAACTCTCTAGGATCACAGTACAATGGCAAATATCAAAATGTTGCACAAACACCTAGACAGAAAGTGGATCCATCACCAAGTGAAAAATGCTTCATAAACATCATATACATATTGGTCAAGTGTATAGAATGAAGTCGTTCACCGTCGCAAGCCCACCAAACTTGATGTATTGAATGATTAAAATGTGAAGTAACTCAAATGAATATCTTATTAGACAAAAATGGACACAAATGTTCCTGTAAATAACAACCCAATTTACCTTTCCAGAGCAAATTTACTTTAGAGAGAGTAGAATAAATGTCCTAGTTCAAGAAATCGAATGTTTGAGTGGGCTGTATATAGAGTGTGCACCTGTACTCTATTGTAATGGAAAAAAGTTTAATATATTCGCTATTTGTACTTACATTGAAAAAACTACTTGAAGGTGCATTTTTCTGAAGTACGTACGGTGATATCAATGCAAGATGCGGATAGGCAAGGTTATGGACCACAACCAAGTAGCTAAAGACCCCATTTCTCACCCTACATATGAAAAGACAGATGAAAATTAGTTGAAAATAAACTTTTGTACTCTCCAGGGGAAGTTCGCATTTCTGAAGAGCGTGCAACGTCATCAGCCTCTAAAAGGCCCTCTTATTTCATTCCAACATGATCAATTTTGTACTGAGCTACTTGTGAACTCGGTTGCAAATATACCAAGACTCAGTCTGTCGTGGTGGTGCAAGTGAACAGTGAACGAGACAAGTTTGGTGCAATTCATTCGCCGAGATTTGCAGCCACAAGCGAAAATCCAAGAAAATCACTGAAACAGGAAGCATGGGACTGAAATTAAATTTTAGCAAGGAAAAATAATTTAATTCTGGTTTGAAACCTGGGATCCAATATTGCGGGGGAGAGACGACTCATTGGGCTCAACCTTTGAACCCAATGAGTTTGGTTTGTACCGGCAATTCATTTCAATATTATGGTACCATTCCACTAGTGATGGTCTACAATCATCGAAATAGAAGGACTAATTTTAACCGCGATAGATCAAAATGCACGCTTTTTTTCTGACCTTTTATGATGGGTTTTAATATGGACAATTATTTGATCAGCCGCCTTAAGTTGACCTTGTACTATATATCGCCCTCCTACAAGCTTCCTACACGAGGTTAACATGGTTTTGAGGAATCCACACGTTGATAGTTTGCACATTGCAATGCCGAGTTTTAAATGTCATTGTGTTTTCATGATAAAGTGACTGCGCTCCGAGCAGAATTCAAGATGAATAAAGAATTGTGAAGGAAAATTCCATCCCTGCAAAGTGTATCATAAAGAAAAGGTAAACTCTAAATTTGAATTTTAGGTAACAGTCTGATTGTGTCAATATTTGGATAGATATCTTTCACAACGAAGCACTAATCCATTTATGTATTCTTTACCTTGCACCAAACCACGCTATAAATTCGATAATGTTAACAATTATATAGCTTTATTAAGATTATATATTCAAATTCTTAGTTTAATGATATTGAGTCATCACATAATATATCATAACAAAGATGTCGAAACACGACAAAACTCTACGAATAATGTGAAGACATTACTCTCTACTAGAGAGAAAAGTTGCCAAACATAGTCACCAACTGGAATATGGATGTATGGCTAGATATTACTTGGATGGTATAGTTGACTACGTAATTTGAAATGGTATCCACTTCTTTCTTAATGAAAAGCTTTAGATTTTATCATGAAAACAACTGATTGTTTAATGTATTCCACTTTTCTACATCTAATAGAGTTATGGAAATTATTTTTTCCTTATAGTTTTCTTATCGTATGCAAGATATGATCAGAAAGATCAGCTCAAACTGTCTGATATTAATTAAAAAAATTGTGAATAGTTTATATTCTTTACAACATTGATCTTATCTGAAACAACGCATCACTATTTTTTCCTCAACTTTATCGTTCAAGTGATTCATCGAACGTATTTACTCTCAGCTATCAATGCAGAAAATAAAAGTAAGAAAACTAAGTTGAGAAATGTAAAAAACTTCAAATTCCCAACAAGCAACCCACCGCAGCTGAAGCTGTGCTGATTTTTCCAGACACACCAATTGTTGTGCTCCTGGTCCTGGTAGGCGCCCACAAGGAGGCCAACGACGGCCATGTTTGTTAGTTGGACACAATATGTACTTTCCAAGTAATGACTCCAACGCTACTTGAATGGGCTATTAAAGTTAGAGCTATTTGTCATGTGCTTTTGACTTTGTGCGGCTAGCTGTTCATCTGATTCTTTTGACCCTCGGCGGGGTTTCCTCTGGCCTTCGCTCTATATTGCCAATTTATTCCACGCGCCACGCTTTCTCTTGCAACTCATCTTCACGGGCCTGACCACTGTCTGATAAACTTATAATCTTTTCGTGTACAAAATTACACAAGCTCTGAATGTCATAAAAAAAGGTCCAGATACTCACACTTTTATAATTGACGTGTGTTGTGACCGTTGGATGCGATATACATTTGAGATTTCGTAGCCATGTACTCCACGTGCCCTGTTTCTTCATCAGATGCACGGAAATGATAAAAGCTTATAGCACGGCCATTATTTTTACAAACAGAGATAAACATATTGAAACCTACGTTACAACAAGTTTCCTTCAACGTTGAAGTACATATAAGCTAGACTCTATCTTCTATAGCACGAATTAGGACGGTTGTATACGATCATCTATGTACACGGGGCTAATCTACTATCACATGATGAACAATATTCTAAAGCAAGAATTATTATGTTCTACAGAATTAAAGCCTACGAGAACTGATTCAGTAGATAAACCTATTCAGGTTAAAATTCCTGAATAGGCTTATCTATGAACAAAGAGATTAACAAAGAAATTTGGAAATCTCATGAAATTTCAAGCATCATTTATCAGTGTCTGAAACCATGTACTTCAGAGTTACTGCTCTCTCGGTTGGTCGGTTGCTAATAATCGTAGGTGAGTTTTCAATAGTCCCGCTTGTGGCGCCTTCAAATAACCTACATTCTGACTTTCACGTGGTTAGAAACAAAGACATTACTGAGATCTTGTTATCCGTTTGTTTACTTTAGAAACGAAGACATGAGTGAAACCGTGTTCAATTAATTGCAAAAATTGCAAATCCCAATCTATAATGAAAAACCAGGGTTCTAGAATTTCTAAAAAATATTTTGAAGAATGTAACTTTGTAGAATATGTAAGAAGCTCGTAATTACTAAAATTTCCAGAAGTTCCAACACTGAGTTTCAAAGTACATGGTAATATTCTAAGGAATGAGCAAACGCTACCTGTTGATTATATAATCTGATGCCAAAAGGTATGGATCGAAGCTTCCTTCTGGTCTAAGAATTTTTGTTGATGAATATTATCAGATCTTCTGAGAGAAGCATATGAGTTTTTTAGACTTTGAGAATTTGTTTAGCAGAATTTACTATTTTGCATGTATAATATTGGATCAAACGTTGATTCTATTTTTATTATATTCACTAAGTTATCTCTCACAGGGCGCCAAATAGGTTTAGGATAATCCAGATGGATATAAACTATTCAATCGTTGTATCTGCATGATTCTTGCCATCTGGAAACAAAATGGGAAACAAAATCTGTTTAGACAGGAGATCTACATGGAGGGCTTCTTGAATTCCGCATCTCTTCGACAGATCTCCCACTATATTATCAGGTGAGCGTCATACATTCTCACAAGATTCTTCAATTCGCTGTCATACAGCTTCGTCGACCGTTACCCTTGTCACGGAATTCAGAGGTTCAACAGTCTGCGACTTGATACGCTGATTTTACTAGAGGACTTTCCGTTCTCTTCAAATGACAAACTGATTTAGCTTGTTTGTCAGTCCCGTCTAGTTTTCCGCAACATGTGAGGCTCACAAGTGTTACATTGCTCCTTTCTGTATAGAAGGGAATATGGGTCTGTGGATCATAATCTTCACAATTGGAAATTGTCATAAGGTTGAGGATGTACCCACATCCTCAGAGGATGCCTCGGCAGAGTCCGCACTCCGTTGTAAGTTCTCAGCCTGCATGTAATATTCATGGCAATTGAACAATGTCTGCCAAAATATGGTATCATTGTTGCCCATTCCACTTCGTTTTATTGCCACCTGCTTTGAATTTACTTGAATGTTGGTTAGTTATTAGCCTGTTGATCTAGATTGAATACGCGTATCGAGTGAGTATGCTGATATAGAATAGCTCCCCAATCCTGACAGAGGTCAACAATACAAACTTTTGTTGGAAATTTAGAGATTGAGAAGACAGTGAATTCGGTAAACCCTAAACCCTATTAGCTTCATATACTTCAGTACGAAATTGAATATATTATTCTGATATTCTTAAATTCCATTTATACCAAATTGAATATCATGGGATACTTTATTATAAATATTTTGTGACATTTTTCATTTGTATAATTTTGAACGATGGTACTGGAAGCCTTGGTGCTACATATCTAGCTTGCTTTAACCTCCCCCTTAATCCGCTTTGGTTTTATTGAAATATAATTGAAATCTACAAATAACATTCTTTTAAATCAAGAAAATTGTTTAATAATTTAGTTCCTTTATGACTATCAGTTTCACATATTATGTAAGATTTGCAGAGCGAAACATTAGAACAATGTAGCCATTGAAGAGCTTACACGAATGATCCATATAGAGTGAGTTCTTCTATGGTTATCATCTCACATATGATGTGTGATTTGTTAATATTTTGCTCTGCAAATGGATGAATATACATTATGGTATGTTCATTATGTCTATTATTGTTTTTTGATCAAATATTATGCATTTGACCTCAAATTTCATGAATTATGAACTATACTCTCGACATGAATACATCATGTCGAGAGTTTAGTGGATTTTTTTATTGCAAAGCATGTGGAAAATTTACACATACATAATAATTAAATTATTCAACACAAATATGGTAATCAATCATGCTTGTGATTGTTGATTTGAACAAGAATAATGATAATTTGAGTAACTCAAATGCTTTTAGTTTACTTTAAATGGAAGTATCATTTGTAAAAGTAATTTAGATACGTTTTTTCATTTCAAATATTTTTGAAGGTAGAAAAATGAAATCTTAATAAATCATGAAAGTTATTTTATATTTTATATGTATGCAATCTATTTTATGATCTTAATTATTTTTAAATATTTTTAAACTTTTGCTCTTGATGTCTACTCTGATTCTAATTCAATTGCTATCAGAGTGAACAAATGACAAATGAATTTAAAATATCGATACATGAAAATATGATAGTTAGCATGACAATTTATCTATAGATCTAGTACATGTTATTATCGAATCATGAATGTGAACAAGAATAAATTTGGCCTTATTGCGGTTAGTGTATTTTTTCATATGTTTAGATGAATGATCGTTTAAAAATATATATTTTACTTTATTTTTGTTGTTCATATGAGTAGCTGAATTTAGTTCTTAGTTCTTTAACATTCACCCTTTAGGTACTACAATCTCATTAATATATCATTTATGTACTATATCGCATAAATATAAAAGTATCAAGTACAGGAATCATTATCTTTTGATAAATATTTGTGTATGTATCTACAAACTATTTAAATGATTATATTTTGTGAATAATTCTAAGATTGTATTTCAATCATAGAATTTGTTCACATAAATCATTAACTTTATTTCTTATGATGATGTCATTAAAAAAATGCAAAATCACAAATTTAATCTATTTATTTATGTAATGACAAATTTTATGAAAGATTAAAAATACAAGTTTCAAAAATAATAATTTTGTGCTATTATGGAAAAAAAATTTGGATTTTTTTGGGCAATAATCGGCTTGGAAATAAATAAATTAGACGTTCTTCAGATAAATTTAAATAAATAATTATTTTTTATATTTTTATATTTTTTATTTAAATTTGAAATAATTTCAGCAGTAAAATGTATGAAAAAATCTTCTAATAAAAATAGAAATGTAAGTAATAAAAATATATCAAAATAAAATGTTTGATAATAGTTAAATCATTTTTAAACTTGTTTTGAAAGGCAGCTTAAAAAAAATAAAATTTGATTTACATACAAATCTCAACAGACATAATATTTTCTTTTCTTTAGTTAAGATGAAGTTTGAAATTGTTTTCAGATTTATTATCAAAACAGTCAAAGCGATTTCAATTTCTACTTCATACTTTATAAAGTGTTATAAAAAAAAGTTAAGGTTTATTTTATTTTGGTTTATTTTGGTAGATGTATTTAATAATGTTCTATCAAATATTATATGCATAAATCAATATGAAGCTTTGTCATCATATTATGGACAATCTTTCTTTGGTAATTGATTCAAGATTTGAACAATTAAATGTATTTCCTTAAGTTTGTGAAAATTCTGAAACATTTTTAGAAGTTTGACATCAATCATTTGGACATGCCACTGAATAGATTATTGCAGTACATTATTTCTTCTGAAATTATCACATAATTTTATGTTGATGAATAGTCAAATAATCAATCAATTGATAACACCTTGTGATTTTATCTTTATTAAAATTCAAAATCAGTTTAAATATTAAATACTTAAATTTTATTTTAACTGAATAATAATACATGTTAAAAAATGTAATGATACATGTGCTCTATTACAAAAAAAAATTAAAAATTATATTCTAGCATTTAGCTTAATAAAATACAACGCTTGCAAAATCAAATATTTAAAATAAAATCTTTATCCAATTTTCTATTTTGGAATTATATGCAGTAATTTTTTCATTGATTGGAAAAAAAAATAACTTTTTTTCTTTCTCATTTTTCTATGTGTGTTTGTATATATATATTTTGTGCATAGTTTCACAACATATATGAAATCTACATTTATGCTTTAAAGTGCAGCTTTTGTGTTTTTTATTATTTCAAGAGTTTTCAAAAACATATTTCATGATCACAAATGTTCAAAATTGTCAAAATTATTATTCATAATTTGCACTTTGCACATTACTCATTTGTCACCATTTTGATGAAATGGTGACAAATGAACTTAGATGCAAGATTAGTTTTAGCTTATGATATTGTTGCATAGTCTTAGCTTGCAATATTTTTATAACAGTTTTGTATCTATCATGTCTGAAACTGTCATGTCTTGTATTAAGTATTTTTCATTATTTGTTTAATATATGGAAAATTTATGTTTGAATCAAAGCAGTTTATAACTACAAAAAAAATCATTATAAATTTTCTATAATGAGTAGATGTATGCTTGTGGATCTTGTTTTAACCTCATAGTAGACTCATTAACTCATACATTTGGATCTTATATATTTATACGTATTTGTATATTCAGTATCGCATGTGGTAGTAAAATTACTTTAGAAAAAATGTGAATGCATGCAACTTGTCATTTAATAACTTGAAATCATTTATCATGTTATTGAAATATATTGAGATGTTGAATAAATTTTTATAAACAAATTGTGATTTCAGTTAACATCAACCACATTCTCCGTATGTCATAAATTTATGTCACAATTGTATACCTATATAGTACCAGTGTTACATATGATCAATTTTTATATCAATATAAAAAACAATATGAAAAACCTGATTAATTTTGCAGTGTTTGATATATGCAGCTTAGAATATCAACGCTCATTTTTGTGGGGAGTTTTGGCAAAAACTACATCAAATAAAAAAATTTGTATTCAAGCGTCATATGAAAAAAATTTGACCATCGTTAATTATTTTAAAATCCAGTATTTATTTTAAATTATACGTATACAAACATATAAGATTATTTTCTCCCAAAAATCAGTCATTATCAATATTCTCTCTATGATATCTGGATTTCATTTGATGCATTGAGATACATTTTTCAATCGATGAAAATTTATCAATGTTTTTTTGGTTGTCTGTGTGTTGCTGTGTTTTTTTTCTTGATTATATATATATTATATATATAATTTCACACGTGTTTTATGATCTTTTGCATGAATGTTATGCTGTATGATTGATCATAACTTAAAAACCAATTAATAAAGCTTTAAGCGTAAGACATATAACGCGAATCGGAATGAATCAATCTTATAAAACAATCCCATTTAGATATAGATATGTCATTTTTGGAGCTGATTGTGATGGTTTCGAAATCTAAATACGAGAGATGTAAAATATCTAAAAATATCTAAACTCAAATTATAGATGTCCAGCAATACTTTGTTATTCTGTGTTTCACAAATATATATTTTTATATAAGTTAGTAAATGTGCATTATTCCATGAGACTCATGAATAGAAACAATGGAAGTGTTCAAACATTCAATGGCTCTTTTTTTTCAACAAAAAAAGGTCATGGTATAGATTAGAACAACGTTATTATTTACTCATGTTTTTGTACACGAATATAAAATTGAGCTGGATACAATAGAGCTAGAAGTCGACAGCATCACACTTTCAAATATTTGTCAAATGATCCACACTACATGATCATAAAAAAATGTAATTTACATAGTGGAATTTCTTACGATGGATTTCAATAGTAAGATTATAGATGTTGGCCAATATTAGAATTAAAATATATTAATATTCATGTACTTCTAGTGTGATAAGCTTGTGCAACCTTAAATGATGAAGTTGGTATCGATATTTTCATATATGCCCAGTATTAATGAAGTAAATACTATACCTCTGCGCAAACCTGGAGATATTGTGTGTCTTTGCTCGACTTGTCAAGCATACACAAATTTGGAATCTCCTCATGAAGTCTAATGCCATTCAAAATGAATGGAGGAAATAAGAGTATACATGTATACTCTATTTGCAAGTAAGATTGTGCCAGTCAACAAAACTTTTATTTGTGGTTTCCATAAACAAATATAACATAAGCTAATATAAGAACACTGTATATTTAAAACACACGAACATTCACACTTTTGGACATTTCCATTTTTGTATACTCTGAAACAGGTCATAATGCACTTTTAGGTCCGGACTAAGAATGCATAATTGCATCCAAAATACCATGTGCAAGCGCAACCTCCATGACGCAGAAGTAACACACCTGCTCTCGAAGGATTTGCACAAGTTATACTCAGAGGAACACGGACACAAACAAAAGATTTAAATATTCTTAAATGCACACAGAAAAAACTTGTTGCAAAAGAGGGGAAAATGCTTGGAAAGGAAAGCGGTGGTGGTCAGGAGCAGAGGGCCTATTGGACTCTGCTTGATCCTGATGGAAAGCTTTTACTAAATTGGTGCATACAAGAGAGTACACTCGTGTACTAAAGTCAAGGGCAGAGAGTTTGTTTTTATTGCAAAAGCCAGGTGCCTCAAACTGTGGACACACATGTTTTCCATACTGATTCGAAAATGACCGAATAAGAATATGAAGATTGCAGGCTAGAATTGTGTAGCTTGCAGTACAGTGGTAGCTTTTGGCTGTTCGGATAGGCTCTT